CCACTCTCCAGTTGGTCTGGCGGCATCATTGCACCCCTTGTATCACTCACATGTGTGTACAGCTTCTCCACACCGCTGAAGCCAGTCGCCCGCTCGTGGTGCTCCTTGATCACTCGGGGCAGCTCCTCGAGCGGCACCACGGGGCACCACCGCCACTCTCCGCTGCGCTTGACGCAGCGGCACAGGATGTCCTGACCGCCAGCGCCCTTCAGCACCTGGAAGAACTGCAGCACCTTCTTGCTGTAGTTCTTGGCGCCGCCCTGCACTGCCGCCCCCCCTCCCGCACCCCGCCGCCGCCGGCCTGAGGGCGCCTGCTGGTCGCCCTGCTTGATCCGGATGATGCCCTCTACATCTGACTTAGTGAGAAACACATTCTTGGCGCCGTTTTGGCGCCGTTCTAAGGCATAAAGGATGACAGGTTGGTTCATAATTTTAAATTTGCGGCAGCTGCGGGGTGCGGGAGGGGAGAAATAGAAGCCTTAGAGACTCTGAAAGGCGAAGGAAAGGGAGGGATCGCGGGAGAGAGCGTGCCTGATGAGCCAGACGAATCGGGGGAGGTGCCACATCAGCGGGCAACACATGACGTGGTGCTGAGCTGGCACTCCATGTATATCGTGGCCTTTCGGCTGCCGGCTGCGCTGCAACGCACCCTCTGCAGCATGATATGCACCGGCGGGGCCACCCACTGCGCCTCGCGCTGCCAGTAAGCTGCTGCAGGGCGCGAGGGGTTGGTCAGGCTGCTGCCGGCTAGCGCCTCAGGTGGACACTGCAGCAGGGCGTGGGCGTTGGTGCCTTGGAAGGCGTAGGCGCTGACGCCGCTCAGCATCTCGCCACTGGAGTCGTGGAGAGGCAGGCCGGTGGTGGCGCGGGGCATAGTCCACTTGGGCTGCGGCGTGCCTGCAGGAACCGGGCAGCACACTCCCAACAGGCTAACCAGATATGTGTGCCTGTCCACAATAAACCATCTTATGGCTGGCAAGGAGTGTAGAGCAATGCTTAACGCTGCCAGGTCAAGCAATGGCTATAAGTGCCCATTCACCTGTGACCTTCATGCTGGTGATGACGTAAGGATTGAGGTGGCGCAGGTGGCTGATGCCCAGCGAGTGTTTGCCGCCCAGTGCCATGGCGGCATGCGCAAAGCCCACCATGCCCGAGGCAGGCTCCGAGTGGCCGACCCATGACTTGGACCCAAACAAGGCCAGCGGCTGCTGCACGCGCTTCGCGTTTTGGCGCTCCACCAGGACCGCTGCTGCGGCACCCACTTCTATAGGGTCGCCCAGCGGGGTGCCTGACCAAGGGAGGGAGGAGGAATAATGAGTGGCTGCCAAAGCGATGGGGTGCTGGGGTGTTCATGCATCACAACCACATTATGGAAGCTGCTGCTGGGAGGCAGCCACATGCACACCTGTGCCGTGCATTGACAGCTCCGTGATGCTGCCAGGTGCAAGACCCGCCTCATCCAGCGCAGCGCGGATGACAGCCTGCTGGCCGGGGCCGTTGGGGGCAGTCAGAGTACTGCTGCGCCCGCCCTGGTTGACCGCTGTGCCCGCCAACAGCACCACCCGGCCACCGGACGTGGTGTCCTCGTAGCCACCGATGGGGTGCAGCAGCACGCTGACTGCCGACTCGGAACGCACGTAGCCGTCGGCGGCGGCATCCAGGGCCTTGCAGCGGCCTTCAGCAGCCATCATGCCTGCCCTCTGCACAGCAGTAATCCACTAGGCAGTGCATCAGCCTAGTAAGAATAAACCTGGGGGCAGATAGGGGAGGCCAATCGTGGACCAGGCTTCCCACTTGCCTGGAACATGGCAAATGTGTCTGGCGTGAGTGCCAAGTTGACGCCGCTGTTCACCGCTAGGCTGCTCTGCCCCACCAGCAGGCTATTGAAGGCCATATGCAGGCTGACCAGGGAGGAGGAGCAGGCTGCATGTAGGGAGAGGGAATGGGCAGGAAGGAATGGATGGAGCAGTGCGATGATGGCTGGATCTTGCATCAACGCATTCTCTGCCTCCAGCCATGTGGCACCACTCTGCGAGCACCCCATCCACCTGTGTCCACAGAGAGCGCTGGCCCCTTGAGGCGCATGGCGTAGCTGAGGCGGCCGGATACCACAGACAGTGCGGTGCATGTTGGCATGGGAACGCCAAGCCCGGCACGGTAGCGGCGGCTGACTGAGTAATGGCACAGCCGACCGCCGCGGCAGGCCACTTTGCACTCCTGCCTGCAATGCATGCACCCTTACATGTGCAGCCTTCTGGTATTTTCATGTGCCTGGGAGATGTGCGGGCATGGGGGCCCATGTGCCCCATGCCATTTGAGTGCCCGGCGGCGGCGCTGCCTGCCGCCGGGAGCCCGCACCAGCATCGGCACCCGTCGGCCTGGCAGGCCTAAGCTGCTAAGGATCCCCACGTCCCCCACCACGTTGTGGGGGTTGCGTGTCCGGCAGGACGGGGAGCGGGGCCAGGGTGGGGTGACCCTGGGACGCTCAGCTGGGGGGAGGGTGGTCGGAGCCATGGAGAGGGTGCTCCATGGTCCACCCCCTCTCTTGATGCCCCTTGATCACGTGTGCCCCCTGCCCAAGGTCTGCTCACGCGGCCTATCATAGCGGGGTGACTGTAACACAGGGTAGCCGGTGGCTGAGTAGGGCGACGTGTAGGCTCCCATCATGTGTTTGGACATCACACGATGGTAGTCGTTGGAGGACACGCCCTAAATAATTGGCGGAGCAGGGAGAAAGGCAGGGTGGAGGCGGACGTAATCCGGCAATGACATGCCTTCATGCAAGGTGGACACTGGCTGAACTGCCGCTGCTTTTACTGCTGCTGAACAGCTGAACTGCTCAGTTCGTTTATGTTTGAGCTGCAAGCACTCACCACAAACACGCCCCAGTTGGCACGCAGCAGCTCGTCCGCCGCCTCGGCTGAACGTGCCAGCAGCACCTCGCTGGCAGTCTCCAGCAGCAGGCGCTGCTGCGGATCCATCAGTGCCGCTTCGGGCTCGCTGATGCTCAACGCGGCGGGGTCAAACAGTGCCACGCCATCCAGGAACACGCCAAACTGCAGAGCATCAATGCAGAGAACACGTTGACAAGGCTCGAGCTAGTAGACAGGCCACATGCACTTTGCAGTTCCAGGTGCAGCTTGCCTGGACGGGGGTGCCGCTGACCAGTTCTGCCTGCGCCTCCACGTCCCAGCGCTCCACTGGAATGGGAATGCTCTGGTCGCAGGGCTGCGGGCACAACATTGCATCTCCAGCCGAGCGCACAGCCAACTCACTGGCGCCCACAAGGCGAAGCTGTGGAGCCACATCTGCAGGCATCAGCTCCAAGCTTCCCAGGCTGCCTTCGTCTTCCGATGCCCAGTCGACCTCATATCCTGCTGCCGCCAGCTCAGCATGCTGCTGACTCAGCGCCACTTTACCCGCCATAAAGCCTGCTAGCGCGGAGATGGTAGGGTAGTCAAACACCAGGGTGGAGGGTAGCTCAACGCCTGCCTGCTTCTCGAGAGCGTTGCGGAGCTCGACTGCGGGACACGGCAGGGAGAGGGGCATGGCAAGAATTTGTTCCCCTCCAAATTGGCAAGGCCACCCGCTTTCAACCCTGCTCTCAGCCCAGAAAGCAGAGCGATGCGACCTGCAGCATAGCAGGCCGGTGTGCAATACCCTACCTGAGCCAAGCGAGTCCAGGCCGGCCGCCATTAGCGGATCGTCCAGCCCAACCGCCGAGCCCAGCACTGAGGCCACTGCCTCCTGCACCTGAGCCACCATGTATTCCTTGCTGGCTGCGGCATCAGAGGCTGCTGTCCCAGCAGCGGCTGCGGCAGCGATCTTGACGGGCCGCCTGGATGCCGCCGCAATGCGCCGCCTGGGAGATGATCGGCGGTGCCTGCTGGATTTCACATCCGCATCGCCAGCTGCCTCCTCAATGGCAGCTGGCAAGGCGGCGGGGCCGGCCCGAGCTGCTGTCTGCTCCTTGGCAGTGTCTGCTGCGGCCTCAGCTTCGAAAGCAGCAAACATGGGGGGCAGAGGGCCGCCGCCCAGGCGCTGGATGAAGCGGACCCAGCGGAACGGCACCACTGCCGTAACAGCCGGCAGTGCTGCTATTCCATGAAGCAGCATGAGTGCTTGAATGGCACCCACCCCCTGGTCTGGAGCAATCATGCGCATGCCCAGGCGCTCAACTGCCTTGGCGGTGGCTGCATTGCCGGCCGCCATGCCGCCCTCAGCCCAAGCGCCCCACTGGATGCTCAGCCCACCCAAGCCCTGCACGAGATGTGTGGAACGTGGGATGGATGGGAGACAGGGGGAGGACGATGGACAAGGTGCGCAATTATGGTAGTGTGCTCTATCAAGCGCGCACCTGTTCCCGCCATCCATGAGCCGTGGCATCCAGCACCGCGTTCGCTGCGCTGTAGTTGGCCTGGCCAGGAGAGCCCAGCAGAGCTGCCACCGAGGAGAACGTCAGATGCAGTGCCGAGGGCTGTAGGCCAACAGGCAGCTGCCATAGGTGAGCACCCGATGCCTTGGGTGCAAAGGAGGTGCGAATGCTCTGCATGGTCTGGTTGGCAATGGCGGCGTCCGCTAGCACGCCGCCAGAGTGGATCACTCCCTGCAGAAAGCCAGCAGCAAAAGGAAAGGGTTGAAAAGGCAAAGCAATTCAGCCACTGGCCAGCCGGAATGTCGACAACCTCCCTCACAAGTGGCACAAACCTGTAGTCTGCGACCGTGTGTGGCTGCCAATGCAATAGCTGCCACCTCATCTCCGCTGGCGGCGTCGCAGCGAACCAAATGGAAGGCAGCGGCAGCGCCGCCGCCTGCGACGAGCTGCTCCACCGCGCCAGCGTCTGCGCCAGGGCGGCCGCTGCGACCCAGCAGCAGAATGTTTGCCACCTGCTGCTTTGCCAGCCAGGAGGCCACCAGGGAGCCAATCATGCCCAGCCCACCAGTGACGACGACAGATCCCTACACATCACAAAAGGAGCGCTGTGGAAATGTCCCAAACCTCTCTTCAGACTATGCATTTGCACCAACATGCATATCCAGCACGACCATCGGACGGAGGGACTGCCTACAGGGAGACTGACCTTTTCAGTGCCCTGCTGCTGCTGCAGAGTGCGTGCATGGACCACAATCTTGCCGACGTGGCGGGCCTGGCTCATCTGGCGCAAAGCGGCGCGCACGGCAGCCAGTTTGTGCACCACGCGCGGCAGAGGGCGCAGCGCGCAAGTGGCGAGGTCGGAGGCCAGGCGGGACAGGGTTGCGTTCACAGCGGGCGGAGGCAGGAAGTCCACAGCCACCAGTGAGTAGGCGACGTCGGGGCGCTCTGCGACAGGGAGGACAGCAGGAGATAGGGGGATTAGGCTGTAGGGAAGAGTAGGAAAGGCAAGGAGCTCGAGGGGTAGCTGAAGCCTGCTATTCGAAACCAGATCCGGTTAGCCGGCAGCCAGTTTTGCGAGTCATCCAAAATAAAATACAGTTCGACTGACTGCTTCATCGAAGGTTGGAACGGTTGAGAACGTTCAATAAACGCCGATCGATACAGTGGTGAGCATGTATCGGTTCAGCAACTCGACTGGGAGCTATTGAGAAATGGAACTTTCAATCGGGGTGAGCGGCAATGCAATCCGATAAACGGCAGCAATCGTTATTTTTTCTGCTGCCGAAACATGTCAACCGGGAGCCAATTCCGTTGGACCTTTTCAATGGATCAACTTAGCTAGGGGCTCTTGCAGGAGTCCTAAGCATCCCAGCGCATCCCCCTGCCACTCTCAACTCACCCTGTGCTACCCGTGCCGCACTCCAGATGTCGCGCTTGCTGATCTCCACAAACCGGCCGCCGGCGCTCAGCGCCGCCAACGACCCCGCCACCATGCCGCTGCTGGTCAGGCTGTTGAGTGCCACGCTGGCGCCACCCAGCTGGGCTGCCTCTGATGCGAACACGGTGTCCCGGGAGCCCAGCACCTGGCTGGGGCCCAACGAGCGGACCAACGCCCGCTTGTTGCTGCTGCCGGCAGTAGCCAGCGTCTCGGCACCCAGGGCAGCGATGAGCTGAATTGCAGCAATGCCCACGCCGCCAGCAGCAGCGTGCACCAGCACCCGGTCTCCGGGGAGCACCGCCGCCGACTGGCGGAATGCACTGTCCACTGTGATGCAGACGGTGGGTGTGGTGGCCGCCTCCTCAAAGTCCAAATTGGTGGGCATCTGCAGCAAGGCGAGAGAGGAGCACATCGTCGGCGTTTCCAACTCCCATCCAAAAACAACTCATTGAACTGACACGCAAGGTGATTGGACGGTACGCTGCAAGCATCCTCCTAGGCAAGCGAGCTCCATGCCTCCGGCTAACTCACATGAGTGACGGTTTGAGCACTGACATGCACGTGGCTGCCCAGGCTGCCGCCAGCCAGCCCAAACACGGCGTCACCAGGCCTGAGATGGCTCACGCCAGCACCAGATGCCACAACCACGCCGGCACAGTCACCGCCGGGCGCACCGGGGTCTCCTGGGTACATGCCCAGCACGTTGAGCACATCCCTGTGGTATGGTGGGGAAGACAACACGACTTGCACTGTCAATCGACTGACGGGGAGAGTTGAGATGCATCTGGCACCCTCCATCTCCACTCAGCCCTTAGCGCACCTGAAGTTGATGCCCACTGCCTTGACTGCAACCAGCAACTGGCCCGCGCCCACACTGGCAGCACTGCCATCCACCGGCAGTGGCGCCAGGTTCTGCAGCGCGCCACGCGGCTGAGGGAATAACTGGAAGGGGGACAGCATGGACTTGACAGCGCTTCGCTGCAAGGAGGCTGCCACCAGGCTCCCGCCTTGGGCTGCCAGGCCATATGGGCTCCCCTGCGCCTCAGGTGAAGGCGGCAGCAGGGCGCCTGCCTTGCTAGCTGGAGCGGCAAGCATTGCCGCGGCCACCAGGGCTGTGCCAGCCGCCAACTGCTGCTGCAGGTCGATGGCTTGCACGTCGAATGTCGTGAGTTCCTGCGCCATGGTGCGAGCGAGGGCCCACAGCCCGGCAGCCTGCGCCATGCTGCTGCCAACGGCAGCAGGACCAGCCGTCGTCACCGGCAGTGCACCCTGAGTGAGCAGAGCCACCGACTGAAGGCTGCAAGTAGCGGCTTGCTGCCCCACCGAGATGGCAGCAGCAGTCGTGCAGGCGTAGCCACCTGCCATTCCAAGCCGCATGCTACCAGAAGCGGCTGCCTGGGCGGCACAAGATGCAACCTCGCCGCCACTGCTGCTTTGGGTGAGCCATTCGAGTGAGTAAAGCCACTCCTCTTGTCGCAGCGAGTCGCGGCTAGCATCTGTCGCCACCGGAGCAGCCATCAGACGCCTGCCGGCCGGCCTCCTCTTGGGGGCTGTGCTCCCTGTGTTACAGTCACCCCGCTATGATAGGCCGCGTGAGCAGACCTTGGGCAGGGGGCACACGTGATCAAGGGGCATCAAGAGAGGGGGTGGACCATGGAGCACCCTCTCCATGGCTCCGACCACCCTCCCCCCAGCTGAGCGTCCCAGGGTCACCCCACCCTGGCCCCGCTCCCCGTCCTGCCGGACACGCAACCCCAAGTGTGCTACCCAAGGGCCGCGCCTCCATTTCTTGAATGGTGCACGCCGCCCTGCCACTGCTGCCGTTGGCCAGGCAATAATCTGTGAATGTGGCATCGCCATCGTCAGGCACCAGTTCAGCTGAAGGGCAGGACAGAGCCACAAACCCACTGCTCTTGCTGTGGCCTGCTGCTGACGCTGTGGCTGGCTTGCTGCCGAGGAGCAGGAGGCCGACACCTGCGGGGATGCGCAGCATGGAGCCAGCAGCTGGCACAGCTGCCAGCTGCAGACAGCAATCCAGCACGGCGGGCGACACCGTCACAGCCGATTCGTCGTGGCTGCTCCGGGCCAGCTCAGCAAAGGATACTGCCTGTCGCTGCTGGATGGTGGTGGCCAGCAGTTGCCTGCTGGGGCCGAGTCGCTGCTGTCGCTGCTGCGGTACAGCTGGCCTGACAGCCGCTCTGTCGCCACGGCCGAACCCAGGCGCAGTGTGGGCCACGTGGCAGTCCACATGGAGCGTTGGCCTGCTCTTACTGCCGCCCTGAACCGACTGTACTGCCACTGCTCCATCAGCTGCCGAGTAGCTGGCCTGCAAAACAACTGCCCCACCAGCTGCGGAAGGCTGCGGCAGCAGCAGCGGTGCTACGATGCTCGCGCCTTCCAGCGCTGCCTCTGTCAACGCTGGCCCACCGCTGCCGTGTGCAGCGGCCAGCATGCCAGTGGCTGAGCCGGCCATTTCAAAATAGCCAGCCCCCGGGAAGACTGGCCGTCCAGACACCTGGTGATCCCACAGGTAGGACAGCCCAGAGCTGCCCACAGCAGTGGCACCCGCCAGGCAGCAGGCCAACACAGCCTTGTGGCCCTTGGCTGGGCGGAAGGACTCCAACAGGCTGTGGACAGCCGGCGACACCCAGTAGCGCTGCTGCTGCCAGGCCGAGCTGGCGCCCATGGGGCCCACCCTGGCGCTGGCGAATGGAGCAGCCGCCAGCAGAGCGTGGGCATTGGTGCCTTGGAATGCAAACGCGCTGGTGCCGATGACAGCATGCATATCTGGGCTGGCCTCATTGGCGGGCAGGGTGCCCAGCTCAGCGGGCTGGCGTGGAACTGACCAGCTTCCAGGCTGCCGCTCCATGAGAGCTGTGACATATGGATTCATGGGTCCAAGGTGCAGCACAGGCAGCTTCACGGCACGGGCAAGAGCCAGGTGGGCATGTGTCAGGCCCACAACGCCTGCTCCTGGCTCTGAATGCCCAATCCATGATTTGCTGGCCATAAGAACAAGTGCAGCCCGGGCGTTGCTGCTACTACCGCTGCTGCCGACCGCCAACACTGCTGCTGCTGCTCCCACTTCAATCGGGTCGCCGAGCGCTGTCCCAGTACCATGCATGCTGAGTCCAGCCACCGCAACAGCTGCCAGGCTGGCGGCGCCTAGCGCCTGGCGCATCACTTCCTGCTGGCTGGGACCGTTGGGAGCCGTCAGGCTGCTGCTGCGTCCATCCTGGTTGACTGCGCTGCCCGCGAGAGTTGCTACCGGCCCACTGCCGTCACTGGCGCCGGCCTGCTGCAGCAGTAGCACTCCACAGGCCTCTGCCCTCCCGTAGCCATCTGCCGCTGCGCTCAGCGCCTTGCAACGGCCGTCAGGGGCCAGCATGCCGGCCTTTTGGGCAATGGCGGAGGTCTCTTGGTGCAGGATGAGGTTGACACCAGCAGCCGCAGCCGAGGCAGACTGGCGCAGCTGAAGAGCGTTGAAGCCCATGTGCACGCTGACCAGTGATGAGGAGCAAGCTGCAAACGTGGGCAAAGGGCAAGGGATGCCAGCATAAGCATCAGGTAGGGGAGAGTATCCATGCAGTACAGGTTCCTAAGCTTACCCGTGTCGATGGTAAGGGCGGGGCCCCTCAGCCCAAAGCTGTAGCTGATGCGCCCGCTGACCACGCTGGATGTGGTGCCTGTGGCTGTATAGGTGGTCACGCCTGCAGACTCTGAGGTCAGGCGCCCATAGTCCTCAAATGATGTGCCCACATAGACACCACAAGCCGCCGCTTCACGGCGCTGCACACACACGCAACGAGGAAGTTGGTTGAGGCAGAAGCGGGGACAGCTTTCTTTTCCAGCACATGTCTGTCTGCTGCACATGCTTGCCTGCAGGGTGTTGGTTCCGCCTTGCATCAGCGCCTCTGCCACCGACTCCAGCAGCAGGCGCTGCTGCGGATCCATGAGCACCGCCTCGGCGTCGCTGATGCTGAAGGCTGCGGCATCAAACAGGTCAACCACCTGCATAATACCAGCGCCAGGAGATTTCAATATCACACTGATATGCACAGGACCACTAGCTGGCTTGAACAACACACTGAGGTGGAAAGTAGCAGCCTTATCTTCTTATCTTGCCTGAAGTATGCTGGTGAAGCGATAAGGGAGCCCTCCCACCAGGGGGGTACACAGGCGGTCCACGTCGTACCGAGCGAGGCCAACCGGGGCCAAGGAATCTCGGCTGTAACCTCAGACACAAAATGCAGGCAGCGGTCAATCGATGGTGAGCGCAAGCCAGACAAACTTCTCCAAGTCTCTGCACTCATGCATGGCGGCAAGCCACGCACGCACCTGTCAGTGTTGCCGCCTGCCATGATGCCTGCAGGCTGGCGAGTGACGATGGCTGACACCTCCACAGCACCACTGCCACTGCTGCTGCCAGCTGCCAGGTCGTAGAAGCCAGAAGTATCCACCAGGGAGGTGTCCAGCAAATTCGACAGAAAGTCGGCCTCCATGCCGCCGGCTGCAGGAGCTGCCGCTCCACCAGGGGGAGCCAGCATTGTGCTGACCAGGCGTGCAATGGCGGCCACAGTTGGGTAGTCAAACACCAGGGTGGAAGGCAGCTCGATGCCAAGCTTGACCTCCAGGCTGTTGCGCAGCTCGACTGCACACATACAAACAGATGCACACATGCACAGCAGGCAAACTTTCATCACCTCAGGATCCATCAAGTTCAAGCTGCTCCAGTTGCCACCTGCCCTCCTGCCCACCAGCCTCCACCCCACCTGAGCTCAAAGAGTCCAGGCCCGCCGACATGAGTGGCACATCGTCCACCACGTCGCCTCCAAGGATGCCGCGTAACACCTCAGCAACCTCGCCCTGGATGTATGCCAGATGCTCGGCGCTGGCGGCTTCCCCCACCTCCTTTTCCTCTCCGGTGCTGCCCGCCGCCGCACTTTGCCCAGCCGCTGCAGCTGCTGAGGGATGGTTGGTGCTGATGAACTGGGAAATAGCGTTGACTGTGGGGTAGTCAAACACCAGGGTGGAGGGCAGCTCCAGGCCCAGCTTGCCCTCCAGACTGTTGCGCAGCTCGACTGAAGATAAGCTGTCCAGGCCAGCGGCAACAAGCGGCTCATTGGCGCCAACATCGGCGCCCAAGATGCTTCGGGCTGCTGCCGCCACCTCCGCTGCCACATGCTGCTTGAAGACCTCCAAGGCAGCGCTGGTATGTGGTGGCACAGCTGATTGGCGTGCCACCCGTGGTGCTGCCACGACTGGCCTGGCGGCGGGTCGTGGTGCGGCAGGCGATGCCTCCCTGCCGGCTGTAAGTGCTGGTGCCACCTGGTCTGCAAAGGCAGCAAACATGGATGGCACCGGCTTGCCTCCCAACCTGCCAATGAAGGTGGGCCAGTTGAAGGGGACGGCGGTGAACACGCCGCCGCCGCTGCTGGTGCTGGGAGAAGACAGGAGGTCGTGCAGAGCTCCCATGCCACGCGCAGCATCAATCATGGCCATGCCCATGCGTTGCACCCGTAGCACCGTGGAGCGGTCCTGCGCTGCCATGCCTCCTCCTGACCACGCGCCCCACTGCACGCTGGCTGTGAGCAGCCCCTGCAACAACGGAAGCACCAGAAAGACACTTTTGAGAGAAAGGATGTGTGTCTCAGCCAGTTCATCAAAAGGATGCCATTGCCTCGCCGGTAGACCGACCTTTTGTTGATGGTTGCTTGCCATGGCATCCAGTGCCGCATTGGCTGCGCTGTAGTTAGTCTGGCCTCCTGAGCCCAGCAGAGCCGCAACCGAGGAGAACAGCACTTGAGCAGCAGCTGGCTGTGCTTGCACGGTGTGTTGCCAGCGTTGCGCAGCTGTCACCTTGGCTGAAAACACAGCTCGGATGCCAGCTGGCGCCTGCTTGGCCAGGGTGGCATCAGCCAACAAGCCGCCAGAGTGAAACAGCGCTGTCAGCGCCGCCATCGAGCCAGCTGCTGGCTCCAGTGCACTGCTGCTGCCCTCGCTGCCTGCCACATCAGCCATGGCCAGAGTCATGGCTGCTGCTGAGTTTGCCAGCAGACATGTCAGGCTGGCCGCTGCCTCAGTGCCTGCCAGGCGGCCGGTGCGCCCAAAAAGCACCAGCTGAGTTGCCAGCTCAGCATCCTCCACCCATCTGGCAAGTACCAGGCCCAGGGAGCCCATGCCGCCTGTTACAGCTATCCTGCCGCGGGCAGCCTTGATGGCAGCGAGCTGCCCTCTGTTGCCGCCCGCTGTCGTGGCTGGCGAAGAGGCACAGGGCAGCAGGGCAGCCGAGTAGATGGCGCCGCCCCTTGCTGCTCTGCCATAGGCTTCAGAGGTCATCGGAGGCAGCGCCGCAGTAACTGCCGCCAACTCGAGGAAAGCATTGTCTGGCTGTGGCGCTGCACCTGCTGCCGCAAGGATATCGCTGTCGCTAGCAGATGCGGTCGTGGATGTCTGCTCCAGAGCCACAGAGCGCAGCATGCCCCACAGAAGGCTGGAAACAGAGCTGCCTTTGTCTGCAATGGACACGGTGGTCAGCTGTGGCTGTGCCGCTGTTGTTTGAAGGCGCATGCTGCCCAGCTGCCCTACCACAGCTGCCTGAAAGGCTGCAATTCCGGTGCTGCAAAGTGCAGCTGCGTCGCCTGCCCCTGCGCTGAATGACGCTGCAAAGCCGCCAGCTTGCAATGCACTGGCGTCCCGGTCCGACGGCACCTCTGCTGCAACCCATTGGATCTCATAAAGCATTCTGCTGCTGCCCTCCACAGCCGCAGATGACGGTACCGCCGCCGCTGCACTTTGCTGCTGCGCTCCCAGTGGCTTTGCCAGCAGGCCGCTGACGTTGCACGCAGTTGGGCCAGAAGGTGCCAGCAGGCTGTAGTCAATCACTGATGACACAGAGCTCGCAGCCACCTGCAGCGCTGCTGCACAATAGCTGCTTCCGTCAGCGCACGTCACTGCTCCAGGCAGCAGCAGCGCCTGGATGCCGGCAGGCACCTTCAGCTGGCCAGCAGCAGCGGCCGGCAGTGCGCCCAGGTGCAGGCAGCAATCCAGGACAGCTGGGGACAGGAACACGTCTTTGGCAAGCTGAGCTGAGTCATCAATGTGGGCAAAGTAAGCAGGCTCGGCTGAGGCGTTGCCTGACCGAGAGCTGACAATTGTTCGGAGGCTGGCTTGCAGCCCGGCTGGGAGCGATGCAGCCAAGTCACGTGTGCCACCGGCACTGAAGCCTGCTGCCAGGGTAGCGCGCAGGTGGATGCTTCGCTGCGGCCCAGTGATCTCAATAGCGCCGCTGCCGGCCTGCACCTTGCACAGAAGTGATGGCAATGGCTGTCGGAGCTGCTGATGGTTGGCAGGAGCCAGCACCAGGGGGGCCGGAATGCTGACGCCAGCCAGCACTGTGTTATCTGCTCCTGTAACCAATGCCTTTGCTGCTGCCGCTGCCAGCTCAAAGAAGCCTGTCCCAGGAAACAAGGCCTTGCCGTTGACTTGATGATCCCAGGTATAGGACAGGACAGCGGTTGCCAGGTTAGCTTGCATGATTGCCTGGCGGTTGCCGGACTCCACCGCACCACACAGCAGAGCGGCGTGGGTACGAGGTGCTATCCAGAACCGCTGCCGCGCCCAAAGGGAGGCAGGCTTGCTGATGCTGGCACCGGCCTCATCAGGAGTACCCGCTGCTGTTAGCACTGCGTGGGCGTTGGTGCCTTGGAAAGCAAAAGCGCTGACGCCGCTGGCAGCTGGTGAGGTAGGGCTGGCACCTGTTGGCAGCGCGCCCGGCTGACGAGGCACTGCCCAGCCAGCCTGCTTGCCTGCCGCCATCTCCATCGCACCTGCGGTATCGGCAGACCACTGGTGAGTGATGCACAGGATGCAGGGCATAGGGCATGAAAAATGTCAAACACTGCTTTAGCTGACCTGCCACATAGGGGTTAACATGCTGGAGGTGCAGGATTGGGAGTAGCGCCACCTGCGCCAGGGCTGCCTGCGCATGCACCAGGCCCACCATGCCTGCAGGCAGGGGAGCCAAGAGATCCATTGCACAGGTGCAGCAATGGTGAGGTCGAGTGATCATGCCGCACATGTGCTCAGAAGCAGTAACCGCGGAACATGGGATGTAGCGCAGTACCTGCTCCCGGCTCGGCGTGCCCACTCCATGACTTGGCTGCCAGCAGGCTCAGCGGCGCCGCCCAGCTAGCCGGCCGGCGCTCCACCAGGGCAGCTGCCAAAGCGCCCACTTCAATAGGGTCGCCCAGCGAGGTGCCTGCACAGGCCACCAGATTGAGCGGCAGCTTTGTTAATCCCACAAGAGCAGGCATCGATGAGAGGAGGGAACAGGCACCTTATCGTCAGTATTGGCCTCGCCGTCCCGTCAGACTCACCTGTGCCGTGCATCTGCAGTGCAGTCACTGCGAACGGCTCCAATCGAGCAGCACCCAGCGCCTGGTACACCACCTCCTGCTGGCTGGGGCCGTTTGGCGCCGTCAGACTGCTGCTGCGCCCATCCTGGTTGACTGCTGTGCCGGCGAGCAGGGCCAGGGCGCGGCCGCCATTGGCGCCAGATCCCGTCGGCAGCAGCAGCATGACGCCGCATGCGTCGGCCCTGGCGTAGCCGTCGGCGGCAGGGCTCAGCGTCTTGCAGCGCCCATCCAGCGCCAGCATGCCGGCCTTTTGGGTCATGGCGGTCGTGTTTGGGGTCAGCAGCAGATTGACTCCCGCATTCAGGGCTGAAGGGCACTGCCCTAGGGCCACGCTGGAGAAGGCGATGTGCAGGCTGAGAGCAGCGGAGGACGGAAAGGCACAAAGGGTGCATTGTTAGAACCGGCTCGTGGAACAGCGGGTGAAGCAGCAGCGCTACCATGCCACACCCATTCACCTGACCAGGGAGGAGGAGCAGACAGTGTCCACGGGCAGAGAGGGCCCCTTGAGGCCGAACGTGTAGGACAGGCGACCCGCCGCCACGCCGGCGGTGAGGTGGCCGGTAGCTGAGTAGGGCGTGTAGCCACGAGCATGCCGCTGCACAGGAGAGTCGTCTCGTGCATGTCACGTATTGACCAGCTTTAAGAGCCGGCATCCCGCCGGGCGGAGGGTTCATTCATTCATTCAGCACACAGACCGGCCGCCTCTTGCTCGAGGGCGGCCCACTTTGGCCTGGGCAGCCCGGGCCGCCCTCCCCCCCGGGCGCATGTTCGGTGTTGGAGGGGTGCGCCCAGCGATAGGGGGCCCCTGAAGGCATGCGCCGAGGCCGGGAAGCGTGGTTCGGCGCTGCTGCACGCTTGGCGACTTGAACAGAACCGCGTGCCGCCGAGCTGCGGCCGCAGTTTCCGGCCCACAGTCTACGGCCGCAGCCACGGGACTCGGCGGCACGGCGTTTGGGCCCAAGCTTGCTGCCGCCGCCGCCGTGCCCGGGGGGCAGCGCGGCGGCGGCGGCGGCACGCTGCGACGCCCCCGAGCCACCGAGCTGCGGCCGTAGCTTCCTGCCAGAAGCCCACGGCCACAGCCACGGGACTCGGCGGCACGGCGTTTCGGTCCACGGCTTGCTGCCGCCGCCGTCGCAGGGGTGCTGCCTGCGGCGGCGGCGGCACGGCGTTTGGGTCCACGGCTTGCTGCCGCTGCCGCCGCCGCAGGGGTGCTGCCTGCGGCGGCGGCGGTAGCGCACGTGGCAACCCCCCGCGCTTCCTTGCCTCCCATCCACCGGACCCCGTCCTGCGCTTCACTTTGTTTCGGGAGGGGCTGCTCACTGCTCATTGCTCATTGCTCATCGCACACTGCTCAACGCTCATTGCCCTATATCCCACCCAGCCGCAGGACTCCACTGCCGCCCGCGCCCCGCCCCATCTGGCCGCTTGCGCGCCCCATCCCCCCTCGATGGGGCCCGCCCACACCGGGGCCTCCCCCCTCCCGCCCACTGCTTTCTCAACGGCCCCGAGCCGGGGCTGCCCTCATTGCATACATAGTGCGCCTTTCCCTGCTTTTCTAGTGACCTAGCGTTCCGCACTGCCGTTTGGCCAGCCCATGCTCCCGTACCGTTGCGTTTCTCCCCAATGCGCCATGCCACTTTGCCAGTCATACACACGTTTCGATGCGTGCCCTGTCAGCTGCTTGCGTTGCATGTCGCCTTGCTCCACCCCTGTTTTATTGCTTTCTCTGCTTTCGCCCGGTTCCCGTCCCGTTTCGGCGGGGAGTCTATGTTGCAAGCTAGTTCTTGCTTTACCAGACTTTAAGCCCACACAAGCAAGCATTGACAGGGGAAGCCCACACAAATCAAGTCAAGTATGGAGCATAACAAAGCTCCCCCTTGCACGCCAGCTCACCTGTGCCAGCTGGCCATACTCAGTCGATGTGATGCCCACAAACACGCCTGCGCCGCCGATGCCGCCATCAGCACCAGGGCCAGCAGGGCCAGCACCAGCCGCCCCCGCCGCCAGCAATGCCTCGCCCGCCGCCTCCAGCAGCAGGCGCTGCTGCGGGTCCATGAGCACCGCCTCATTGTCGCTGATGCTGAAGGCGGTGGCATCAAACAGCTCGACGCTGTCCAAGAAGATTGAGAACCTGCCAGGAGGGGGAGAAGGAGATTTTGACTTGAAATGTATCAGCTGGGTAAACTGAGTTGAAAAATTGAGTTGAAAAACATTTGGCTGAACCAGCCATCTGCAGTGCAGCTGTCGGCGCCCAGCCATCAAGCAGCAAGCGTGCCTGATGGGATCTACACCCAAGCTAGTCTCCTGCTCGTGAAGATCCCACCGCTCCAGCGGCACCGCTGATGTGGCATCCACGGGTGCCAAGCCAGATCGCAGAGCGCCCTGCACATGAGAAGATGGAAAACAAGCACCAACCCCCCATGGTCTGACAAGAGACCCCATGGGCAGAAAGCAGGACAGGACGGTGCGGCCATCTTACCTTGGGGGAGCGGAAGGCGATGGCAGCCACCGCCAGGGAAGCTGGGCCCGACATGCCACCTGCCATCATGGCACCATCAATGGAGAAGAGGTCCACCATCGCGCGCGTCTGAGCTTGACCGGCAGCTGGCTGCAGCCTGGAGGCAATGTAGCTGCCGAGGGCTGCCGCTGTGGGGTAGTCAAACACCAGAGTGGAGGGCAGGGCCAGGCCCAGCTTGCTCTCCAGGCTGTTGCGTAGCTCCACGGCTCCCAGGCTGTCCAGGCCAGCAGCCATCAGGGACTGTTGGGGGTCGAGGCTGGCAACATTCAGAATCTCCGACACCACAGCCGCAACAGCCGCTGTTGCTCGCTCCACATGCGCTGCTGATGACACCGCCGATGCTACAGGCGTCTTGACCGTGATGCCAGCTGGCTGAGCCATAGGGGCACCAAGCTGGGCAGAGATGTAGTCAGCCACAGCTGATGCGGTTGGGTAGTCAAAAATGAGGGTGGAGGAAAGTTTGACTGCCAGCTTGGCCTCCAGACTGTTGCGCAGCTCCACGGCGCCCAGGCTGTCCAGGCCGGCCGCCATCAGCGGCTCGCTGGGGCCAATGTCAGCTCCCAGAATGCCGCCCAGTACCACCAGCACATCTCTCAGTACCGCCTCCCTGCTGGCACCAGCTGCAGCTTGCGGGAGCACAGCTATTGCCGCAGCTGTTGCTGCTGGCGAGCTGTCTGCAAACTCAGAGAAGAAAGTGGGTGGCTCTGCCCTTGCAATGGCTGCCCGCTGTATCTGCTGCTGATGCTGGGCGGCAAGCGCGGTCCGCAGGAACGGCACACCCGCAACAACAGCTGGTGCTGCAGGCTCTGCGCACATCAGGTGGTGCAGGGCAGCCAGGCCCGAATCTGGAGGGACCATCGCCATGCCCATGCGCTGCACCCGCAGCGCCGTGGAGCGGTCCTGTGCCGCCATGCCTGCCCCAGACCAGGCACCCCACTGCACGCTGGCTGTAGGCAGCCCAGACTGCTGGGCGCGCTGCGCCGCAGCATCCAGCGCCGCGTTTGCTGCGCTGTAGTTGGCCTGGCCGGGGGAGCCCAGCAGCGCCGCCACCGAGGAAAAGAGCAAGCTGTGGGCAGCAGGATGGAGCAGCAAAAGCGTCTGGAGGTTGCCCAGACCAGACACCTTGGGAGCAAAGGAGCGGCGGATGGCCCCAGGTGTCAGGTTAGACAGTACAGCATCAGCCAGCACACCGCCAGCATGAAGCAGCGCTGTCAGCCGCTGCTCGTCCAGGGCACCAGCCATCGCACCAGCGGTATCCTCTGTCGCTGCTGTGTCGCAGCTTGCGATTGTCATAGAAGCCAGCAGGGCATCACCCCTGCCTGCACTGAGCAGGGATGCTGCCTCGCTGTCTCTGTTCAGGCGACCAGTGCGTCCTAGCAAGCCAAGATGCATGGCTGTGCTGCTGGCATCTGAACCACGAGCAAGGAAATTGGCAACCAGCTGACCCAGAGTGCCGGTTCCGCCAGTGATGAGCACAGCGCCTTGCTGCTGTTGCTGCTGAACTACTGCTGGCCGCTTCATGACAACAGTAGCTGGCTGTAGCACAGGGCGGATGGCAGTGCCCGCGTGGAACACCATCCCATGCACATCTGCTGCTGCACCAGCCGGCGAAGGACGCCCCAGCATCATGGCTGCGGCGACGCTGCTGCCACTGCTGGTGCTGTAGCTGTCTTTTCCGATTACCAAGTAGCTGGATCTGGCATTCTCCTGCGCAGCAGCTTTGAGCAGGCCGTGCAACAGCCCGGCGGCCACAGCCATTGCAGCAGCAGATGCGGGAACCAGCATGTGCCCTGCACCTGTCAACGCATTCGAGGTGGCAAGCAGTGTGTCATTGTTGCCGGTGCTCTGCTGGAGCAGAGCAATGCCAGCTGCTACCATCTGCTGCTCATCCAGATGCTGGGTGCCAAACGTCAATTCTGGGGTAATGCCAGCCGTAGTATGTGCGGCTGTAAGCATCGCTGCCTCAGCTGCCACCCAAGCCACCACATAAAGGTAAAGGTAAAGGTGGGGAAGAGCCTCCACAAGCTTCACTTCCCGGTTTTAACGTCTAGCTTTAGACCATTATTTGATCTGCCCGACGCGCCAAGTGCAGTACCCCCCACTAGTAGTGAATGGGTCCCGGGGAGGCCTGTGCCGAAGCCTTGGCGATTCTATTAGGCGTTCCCGAAGGAATTGGCTTGGATTGGCGCTGAGCCGGTCAGCTATGCCGCGTTTGTCCTCACAAAGTTTCGACATGGGAGGAATCGAACCTGTGCCCTCTCGGAGGGTTTAGACACTAGCTCCAGCGCCTTCAAAGAAGGCCTTTCTTAGCCGCGGCCTAAAGAAGTTCCTCTGCGGGCCCGGGCCCAGTGGCTGCTCCTGCCACTTCTGCTACCGTCTGTGACACTGTAGCCGCAGGAGGCTGGCGGCCTATGGTCCTGGCTTGCAAGCCAGACACATGGCACAGGGTACGGCTGCTGCTGCTGGCCAGCCAGTAATCGCATGTGCTGCTAGTCCGGGCAGCCAAAATCGGCTGGCAGCCTCCCAGCAGCTGTGGTGCGCTACAGCTCCTGCTGTGCACCTGGTACGCGGCAATGGCTGCCGGCACGCGCAGTTCGGGAGGGGCTGAGCTGGCACCAGCTGGCAGGGCACCTAGATGGAAAGATGCATCCAGGCAGGCAGGCTCTACTCCACTGCCTCCAACCCTGCCATCCACGCGTGTTGCCTCGATGCGGCCAAAGCTGGCAGACTGCTGCTTGGCGCCGATTGTAGCTGCAAGCAGCATCAGCAGCACCGGAGCTGCAGCTGTGGAAGCATGTGGAGGCCACTGGGAGAGCTGGATTCCAGGCGCAGACGCAGCGCCATACATGTGCTCTCTGCTGATCCTGTTGCTGACAACAGAAGCAACTCTGGTGCGGCCGGTTGCAGCATCCACCTGGCACTGCAAGAGCAGCTGCTGCCCGCTCCTGCCACCGCCTCCAGCAGCTGCTGGTAGGTCAAGTGGCACAGAGATGATGACAGCTGTCAGCAGCAGGCGCAGGCTGTCATCGCATGTTGCATGGAGGGATGCCGCCGCCACTTCCAGGAAGGCAGCGCCAGGCAGGAGAGGCCTCCCAGCCACCGCATGGTCCCAAATGTGAGCATGCTTGGGCTGCATCAAGTCAGCCTCAAACAAAACTGCTGCTGCTCCTGCGCCTCCCGGGCCTGCCACCCGGGCCACGCGGGCGATGAGGGCGTGTCGCTCAGGTCCAACCCAGAACCGCTCCTTTGACCAAGCTGTAGAGCGAGGGTTGACCTGGGTGAGCACCGCTGAGTCAGCAGATGCCAGCGCCAGCAGTGCATGCGCGTTGGTGCCCTGGAAGGCAAAAGCGCTGACGCCCCAGGCGCCTGTGGCTGGGATTTCTGCGCCTGCAGATGATGCCACGTCAACTGCAACACTCGGGGCGTGCTGCCGGGGCATGAAGAAGGAGCCGGGGCGCGGGATGATGGATGCCACATGTGGGTTGATGGAGGTGAGGTGCAGGATGGGCTGAGATGCAGCCCCGCTTAAGGCCTGCACACCAAATCAGAGAGTGCCAGGATAGTTAGACAGCGGTGGCAGTACAGCCGCGTGCGCAGCAGAAGTAAAGCCGTACCAACCTGATGCAGGTGTGCCATTCCCATGATGCCCGAAGCCGGTTCGCTGTGCCCAAGGCTTGACTTGCTAGCTGCCAGAGCCAACGCCGGCGCGCTTGCCTGCCGCTCCTCCAACAACAAGCCTACACATCGACGCAACAGGGCACGGTGCCGATCTAGCTCAACAGAAAAGGAAGGAACAGCACCAGCCATTCAATAAAAGCACACAAGGCAACTCGTGTTTCCTGTGGGAAGGGAACTCACCCGCCGCTGCGCCTAATTCAATGGGGTCTCCCAGGGTGGTGCCCGTGCCGTGCAGCTGCAAGCCAGCCACATTGTGCACTGCCATGCCTGCAGTATAGTGTGCTGGCAGGTGAGCAAAAGCCTCAGCATCGGCAGGGCTGTGGGAGGAGATGAAGGGAACGGGCGATGAGGCTACAAACCTGCTGAGGCCAGTGCCAGGCGGACCACCTCCTGCTGGCTCGGGCCATTGGGCGCGGTCAGACTGCTGGCTCGGCCGCCTTGGTTCACCGCGCTGCCCAGCAGAAGCACCAGAGCGCCACCCGCCTCGGTGGTAGAGTGGCTCCCAAGCAGCATGAGGGCGCATGCCTCAGAGCGCACATAACCATCGGCTGCATACAGGCGGTTAGAGACAAGGAACACTGTTGTTCGCCGGGCATTGCACATGCATGTGTGAAATCGTACAAGATGGCAGTGCCCTTCTGCTTGCCGCACCACCCGCACCTGACTTGTCAAGTGCCTTGCAGCGCCCGTCCACCGATAGCATGCCGGCACGCTTGAACATGAAAGTGGTGGTCGCGGCCAGCATCATGTTGATGCCGCCTGCCAGTGCAGCTCCTCCGCTGCCAAGCGTCGCGTCCCGGGCCGAGCTGGTGGCCACCAGGGAGGATGAGCAGGCGGTGTCAACCGCTACTGCCGGGCCCTTGAGGCCGTAATGGTATGCCACACGACCGGGACAGACGCTCAGCACAGCGCCCTGAAAGCATCAGGGGAGAGGAGCAGGCACATGTTAAGGGGTGCAAGCAAGGAGGCGCAGTACAAATTCTGCACAAATTCCAAAGGGATGATGATCGCTGGCACCCACCTGCGCAGTATACGCGCTCACAGCTGGAAGGCAAGGCAGGGAAGAGGCAGGGGGACAAACTGTTGTTAGGACAGGAGCAACAGGAGGCAGTGATGTGTGGCGGCGAAGCGAGGCGGCCGAAGCATTAGCAAGCTGAAACCTCCCAACCCGCACCTGTGCCCGCTTCTGCTGCCATGCGAGCATACTCTGTCCATGAAATGCCAACAAACACGCCGGTTCTGGCTGGTGCCACCGGATTCAGGGGTGCAGAAGCAAGCAGAGCTTCCCCAGATGCCTCTAGCACCAGCCTGCACCACATGGCATTGCGCAATTGGAATGTGCGAGGCAGCCAGTCGGCACAGCAGGCTGAGCATAGCTCTATGAAGTGGAGCCCCACCTGTGCTGTGGGTCCATGGCAGCTGCCTCTGCAGCAGACAGCCCATGAGCGGTCCCATCAAAGAGGTCGGCATCGAGCATGAAGGCGCCAAACTGCGCAGCCTGAGTGAGGGCGTCCCCCTGCAGGCGCTCCGCCTGGTCCAGGTCCCAGCGCTCAAATGGCACCCGATGGATGCGGTCTGCTGCCAGGTCGGCCTGCACAGGGACATGGGGGGACCACATGAACCACATGTGCTTCAAAGCAGCCTGGCTTGTTTGGCATGCTCTATTTCATTTGTTGACCCTAAAATTCACCTGGTCGCAAGCAGACAACGGCACCGCCATGAGCGGCCGTGCCACAACCGCCAAGATGGCCAGGTAACGCTGGCGTGGCGACTTGCCAGTGGCCACCAGGTCTGATCCGACTGCTACGCTGCCATACCCGGCCAACTCAGCCTCGGCATCGTACGATTCAGTGGAGACAGGCCCCCGGACAGCAATGGCACGCGCTGCCACCGCCGACTTGAGCATCTGGGCTGTGAGGTACTCTGTGACGGCATTGACTGAAGGGTAGTCAAACACCAGGGTGCCCGGCATTTGCATGCCGAGCTTCTGGCTCAGCACGTTTGCAAACTCCACAGAGCCAAGCGAGTCCAGTCCCGCTGACATGAGCGGCTCGTCGTCACCAATGGCAGTGCCCAGCACCTGCGGGCAGCGATAACATGAACGCCGGTGACAAATCAGCGAGAACAGCCAGCTTGCGCTTTACATGCTGGGAAAGCTATTGAGCTAACAACAGCTCTCCCGCTTGACCCAGACAACGTCAGCTCAGCAGCCACACCTGCACGATAGCGGCTGCCACCTCCCGCTTGACTTGCTCCCGCACAGCAGCCGGGTCCGCCGCAGAGGCAACCGCGGCCACGGAGCGCTTAATGTCGCTCGGTGCTGCTACCACCTTCTTGCTACCCTGCAGCAGTGACGCCTGCTCAGGCGCCATCGCCTCAAAGAAAGCAGGCTGGCTGCTCTTCAGATAGGTTCCCCAGATGAAGGCATTGACCGCCAGCTGAGGGAGGGCAGGTGCGCCAGCAGTGGCAGCGGGCCCACGCAGAATGACGGCAAGGGACAGCAGGCCTTGATCAGCGCTGATGCTGCCTTGGCCGATGCGGTGCAGCCGGCGCAGCACCATCTCCGATGCCATGCCTGCACGCAGGCGCATAAACCCGATTTCAGCATACACCGAGGTCAAAGGCAAATCTGTGGCATGACGCCACCGGCAGCAGCGGCACCGCACCAGAGGAGGCCCAGGCGCCCCACTGTATGCTCTTGGAGGCGCAGCCTGTCGCCTGCCAGGCATGTGAGCATGCATCCATAGCCGCATTGGCAGCGGCATAATTGGCCTGGAGGCAGTGAATGGGGTATCCATGAATAGTTTGAGCATGTCTGGTCAACAATCCCACCAGGCAATCTTGATTTGATGTTCAATCCGTACCTGACCAGCAGCGCCGAGCAGGGAGGCCACTGAAGAGAAGAGTGCCAGGGCGGCCACAGGCTGGCGCTGAAGAGCAGCTGAAACAGTTTCCAGTGCACCCAGCTTGGGTGCAAACACGCGCCTGCACACAGGTGGCCACAAGGAAAAGTACTGGGCTTGCATCGTGACCCTACCTGTGTGCGTAGGGGTCATGAAAATGGGCTCTGCACACCTGAATGACGACGCAGTCTGTCCGCCAAGAAGAGAATCTGCGAGCACGCCGCTGGCATGCAACACAGCCTGGAGGGCGGGGCCCTGCCAAAATGCAGCGGCACCAAGTGCTGCGGTAGCATCCACGGGTGCCCCAGTGTCAGACATGACTGAGCTGATGCAGGCGGCCGTGGCGGCCAGGCCAGCAGCTGCTGCATCCATCACCCTGCCAGAGCGGCTGAGCAGAAGGATGTGGGCTGGGCCATTGCATTGTACCAGCCACTGGCTGATCATCAAGCCTAGCCCGCCTGAGCCACCAGTAATGGCCACAGCTGGGTAGCTGCGGGCTGGGGTGACGGGTGGAGCTTCTGAGGCTCGCTCTGCGACCGCGACTACCTTGCCGACATGGCTGGCCTGCAAGGAGACCATCCCAGAAAATCATCCCTCTCAGCATCAATGATCCAGACCGGTTTGCAAGATTTGTGTTTTCACGTGGGGATGTCCAAAGCGTAGAACGCAAACCCAGCCCAACCACTTGCCTGGATCATCTGACGGAAAGCAGAGGCCACGGAGCCCATGCTGTGGCTGATTTGCCGCAGCGGGCGCAGCACACCGGCCGCAAGCTGGGCCGCCACTTTGTGAAGGGTGGTGTTGATGACGGAGGGCGGCAGAAAGTCCACAGCAACAAGCGAATATAGGACATCGGGACGCTCTGCAGGGAAAGAAGGGACATTGAAGATCCCTTTATGAGGTGAGCACTCAGCATTCAGTCTGGCAGCCTGCCTCACCCTGCGCCACGCGTGCCGGGCTCCAGATGTCGCGCTTGCTGATCTCCACAAATCGCCCGTGCTGGCTGAGCGCTGCCAGCGAGCCACCCACCATGCCGCTGCTGGTCAGGCTGTTCAGGACAATGTCAGCGCCGCCCAGCTGAGCTGCCTCTGAGACAAACACTGTGTCGCGGGAACCCAGCACGCTTGGGACTCCCAAGCTCTGAAGCAGCGACCGCTTGGTAGTTCCACCAGCGGTGGCCAGCACAACAGCACCTTTGGCCTGCACAGATGTCGGGCAGTAGTGAGCATAGCTCTTGTTTCCACAAAAAGCACAGCTAGTGCCAGCCGCACATCAAAAGCAGGGCAATTTAACCCACCTGCGCTACTTGAATGGCTGCCAGGCCCACGCCGCCAGCAGCAGCATGCACCAACACCCGATCCCCCGGCGCCATGGCGGCCGCCTTCTCCATTGCCATCTCCACTGCAGGAACAAAGGTTTGCCAGCTCCCTTGCATATAGCTACATGGCTCTACACGGCAGTTTTGCACAATGACAACTGAAAGCTTGCCTGTGATGAACACGGTGGGGGTGGTAGCGGCTTCATGGAAGCTGAGCGTGCTGGGCATGGGTGCCAGCATGGCACCAGGGCTGGAAACAACCGTGCCCAGGCAGCCATGCGCCAGGCCAAAGACGGCGTCGCCTACACAATAGATATGCAACTGGGCTCAGAAACATTTGCCTTTTTCAACACGAGCACATTACCACATCTGCAGAGCCCACCTGGCTTGAAGCCCGAGGCAGACCCGGCATGCATGACGATCCCGGCACAGTCGCTGCCCGGTGGGCCGGGGTCTCCAGGGTACATGCCCAGCACGTTGAGCACATCCCTAAGCAAGGATAACAGCGAGCAGCAAATAAAATGAGTGTGCATGGTTATACGATGAGTGTGCATGGTTGTTCATTTTATGAAATTGTACTGCCAGCATTGTTATTCATGGCAAACAACTTGACTTTTTCCCCAGTGATATATACACACCTGAAGTTGATGCCGACCGCCTTGACGGCCACCATGACATCGTGACATTTCAGCTTGGTGGCAGCTGGTGCAGAATCGAAGGCCTGGGAAGCCAGGCTAGCCAGGGACCCACGTGGAAGGGGCCGTATCTGCAACAGACCCGCCGCAGGTGCCACAGCGCGGCTGCAGAAGAGTGGTAGCAAAGAAGCAAGCGTGGTTTGCTCAAGTGCAGAGAAGGTTAAACATCACATTCATTAAGGCCACTTGAAGGTACAGCAGGACCAGGCACCTCCTGCCATTAGACGACATGCCTTACCTGGGCAACAGGCGTGGTACAGCAGCGACCCCTTTATGCACACGCTTGGTGCTCAAGATCCCCGTCTCTGTTCCCTGGCTGGTGTCAGCCAATGCCAAAGGCACAGCACTCATCCTGTCAGATGTTGTCAGGCTGTAGGCAGCCGAGGCGTGCTCAGTGGCAGCCACACGTAGCAGCCCCTCCACTGCCCCAGCAGCGAGCAGCTTGCTGGTGGGGCAGCCAGGGGCAGCCGAGGTGCCGCAAGACAGCACCTCTGGCAAGCCAACTTTTAGCGCCGGGGCCTGTGCTGCCTGTGTCTGCTGAACCACTGTCAAGGCGGCTGTGGCAGCCTGGCATGGGCCGGCTGCCAACTCCAGTGCCATGATGCTGCTGCCAAGGGCCAGCAATGCTTCTGGTTCCTGATGTGTGCCGACTGTTGCAGGGTGGCTAGCGACCTCCCAGTCCACCTCATACAGGAATTCTGCGGGTTTTACTGAAGCCGCTGCTGCTGTCTGACCGGCGGCCTTCGGCTTTGTCACCTTGGTTTCCAGACTCCCCAGGCTGGCAAAGGCACCGCCCGCAGAGGCGTGCATCGCAAAGCTGGAGACGTCTGTCTGGCCAGCTGGCACCCTGTACGCTGCCGTGGTGCAGCCCGCCAGCTCAGTGCCTGCTGCCGCATGGCGGTCTGTGAGCGCAAAGGCACCCAGTGCCACAGGCACCTTGGCACCGCAGCCGGGGGCTGCAACTCCCAGGTGCAGGCAGGCATCCATGCACGGTGGTGGCACCAGGTAGCCATCCGTATCGAGCCTGGTGTCTACCACAACACTGCCGGTGGCATGCCCAGCTGCAAGAGCCAGAATCTTGCCGAGCAGCACACGCCGCATTGCCATGGCCCCAACCGCCACAGCTGCGGCAGCTCGTACGGCCACGGCAGTGGCGGCAGCTACAGCAAGGCTGCCACCTGCGCACTGCGTGCTGTGCTTGCTGCCACGTCGCTCAGCATGCGCCAGCTGGAAGTCACCGGCTGCTGGGTTCAGGCTGCATCGCATTACAGTGCCGCCAGCCTGCTGCTGGGAGGGGTGAGAGATGATCAGTGGGCTGCTGATGGCCATGCCAGCAATTGCCAGCGCTGGCCTGCTGCCGCTGCTGCTATCTAAAGTGGTGGTGCCAGCGGCCAGCACAGTCTCCATCATGCCGGCGCCAGGGAACAGCACCCTTCCAAACACCACATGGTCGGCATAGAGTGCGAGGTGTGGAGCCAGAAGGTTGCAGTCAAATGCTGCCGTACGCGGAACGCCAGCCTTGCCGTTGCTTACACTGCCGCTCCCAATCAGCGGATGCGCAGCCGGGAGCACCCAGTAGCGGCTGTGCTGCAAGGATGTACCCTCCATAAAGGCAGCCGAAGGGCCTGGCAGGGAAAAAGTAGCTGCGCTGTTGGAGCCCAGGATGGCGTGGGCATTGGTGCCCTGGAAAGCAAAGGAAGAAATGCCTCCCAAGTAAAGGCCGCCTGAAATTGCCATGCTGGCGCTGGGCTGGCGTGGGGCCGCTACGCGGTGCGCCTCGCCGTGGCTGGCAGCAGCATTCACTGCACACAATGCATGCAGTTAATTAGCAGGTTGCAGAGCAAGTTACGAGTGAATGTTGGGATCCGTGAATGCATTCAGCTTATCCATCTCCTATTGACATTGGCAAAACTCCCAGCGCCAGATTCCCAGCCCCACCTGTGGCGGCTACGTAATGATTCACGGTTGTGAGGTGCAGGATGGGGTCTGAAAGGCTGATGCCCCACAATCAGCGCCAGCTTGGCAATGCCCACAATACCGGCAGCGGGCTCCGCATGGCCCATGAACGACTTGGCAGCAGTGAGGTGCAGCGGTGCGGCACGGGGCTGGCCTGCCTTGAGGAGCACCGCAGCAACGGCGCCCACCTCGATAGGGTCGCCCAGTGGGGTGCCTGCAGAGGAAGCACGTGCCGGTAGAATGTCATACCGTGAGATGGGGGGCAGAAGCAGCAATGAACTCCCCATCTCCTAAAATGCTCTGTATCTGCAAGCTGCTTGTTCCACTCCTACCTGTGCCATGCATCTGCAGGTGGGATACCTGCCAGGCCGACAGGTCGCCATCGCGCAGCGTGGCATTGACCGCCTCTTGCTGGCTGGGGCCGTTGGGAGCTGTCAGGCTGCTGCTGCGCCCATCCTGGTTGACGGAGCTGCCTGCCAGCAGCACCAGCGACTGCCATGCCAGGGCTTTGTTGCCATCGTCTGCGGCCGCCAGTGCCTGACGAGCGGCAGGCTGGTCAGCTGGATGCACCAGAGCCAACATTATCGCCCCCACACCCTCGGCCCGCACATAGCCGTCGGCTGAGGCGTCCAGTGTCTTGCAGCGCCCGACCTCCGACAGCATGCCGGCGCGCAGGCAGGCACGGGTCCAGCTGTGCACCAGGGTCAAGTTGACACCCACGCTTGCAGCAGCCTCGCATTCGCCTCGCTCCAAGCCCTACAAGCAGCTAGTCGCAGCAGCAGCAGCAAATTTTGTGTGATGCAATGCCATCTCGGCTTACTACACGATAGCACAGATCTTTTCAGGCACATATGTGCGACACGCAGCTGGGTCACCCAGCAGGCCAACTGACCTTGGCAGCGAGATGTGTGGTGACCAGGGAGGAGGAACAGGCAGTGTCCACTGTCATTGCGGGGCCCTTGAAGCCGAAGGTGAAGGACAGGCGGCCTGTAATTGATGGATACAGGCAGCCAGCCTGAGGAAGTAACCAAAGGCAAATGGATGGGAGCAGCAGCTGCATCTGCTAAGTCCCGCCTAGCACCTGAGGCCACGCTGAGGTGGGCGCCAGTGGCATAGTAGGTGTTCAGTGCGCCGCCGCCTGATTCCAGGCTGATGCGGGCGTACTCCAGCTGGGAGACACCCACATAGACCCCAGTCGCACGGGAGGGGTGGTGGTGCGCCAGGTGCCCATTCATTGCCTCTGCGGAGGGGCGGCAGGGGTACAGCGCTGCTGTTCAAAAAGCGACACACATAACGCGGTAGAGAAGGCCTGCCAAATAGCACCCTCACCTGAAAATGACTGCATGACCAGGCGCTGCTGAGGGTCCATAAGCAGCGCCTCGGCGGGTGAGACGCCCAGCGCCGCTGCATCGAACTGGTCGGCTCCGGCCAGGAACGATCCAAACTGCTGGTTCAGCTCTGCATGCGGCAGCAGCAAGAGGAGGGGATGTGCCTATCCACCAGGCATTGGATGACTAGCACGTCCAGCATTCAGCAGGCCACGGACGACAGTACTCGCCTGCTTGATTGTCCGCAGGCGCCACCTCCACATCCCAGCGCTCCAGCGGCACCACGCCGATGCGGTCGTTGCCCGCTGTTACGGGTTGGAAGCTGAGCTGGCCACCGGGGACGCGATGGGAGGAGGAGGTGACTGCACAAAGCGGGCGGACCACTTCCTGCAGGCGTCCAGCAAGCACGGGCTTGCGAACTTGCTTCAGTGAGCCCCGATAAAAAATGCACATGACATGTCATGCGGATGGGAATCGGCAAGGCAGCCAACAGACGCACTTCCACAACTGCCATCTCGGATGAGACTGGTGCTGGCGCCACCTGTTGGGCGCCCAGGCTGGGGATGCCCGCAGGGAGCACGCCCTCCGCAATGAGGTAGTCCGCAATCTCACAGGCTGCAGGCAGGAGGGCACGTAAGGGTTGATCTGCTGGACATGAGCAATAAGCTGTTAGGACGCAGTTGGCTGCCTTCACCAGTAGGGTAATCAAACACCAGGGTGCCTGGAAGCTCGGTGCCGACAGCAATCTCCAAAGCCGTCACTAATTGCACCGCCAAGGCAGAGGTGAGGCCCGCCGACATCAGCGGCGCATCACCGCTGAGGCTGGTGCTGCCGCCGAGTAGGTTGCCTGCCTCGCGCAGAACGAGGCCTGTCACCAGCGCCCGCTGCTGGTCACCAGAAGCTGCCGCTGCTGTACTGGCAGGTGCAATGGAGCTGAGCTGGAGGAGCAGGCCCTCGGCCGCCAGGAAGCCCCCAATCTCATTTGCTGTTGGGTAGTCAAACACCAGGGTACCGGGCAGCTCCGCCCCAACTGCCTCTTCCAATTGCTGTGTCAGCTGCACTGCCAGGGTAGAGGTCAAGCCTGCTGACATTAGCGGCACATCTGCTGTGAGGTCAGCTGCTGCCGCCGACTTCCCCAGCAGCTGCATCACCTGCTGTAGTACGAGGGCACTGCCAGCAGCGGCCAACTGCGTCGGGATGGCTGGTGCAGATGCAGGAGGAGTTATGGGGGCGACCTGCTTGGGCGCTGACTTAGCGAGCGTTGCTCTGCCTGATGGGGCAGCAGCACGGGGCGGGGTGGACACTGTTGCTGGCAACACAGCGCCACTGGCCGCTGGCACGCTGTTGGCACTGCTAACTTTGCCTGCCAGCTCGGCAGCCAGAAAGGCCGCCATTTCATTAATGGAAGGATAGTCAAAGACCAGGGTGCCGGGCAACTCAGCACCCAAGCTTGCCTCCAGCTGCTGAGTCAGCTGCACCGCTAGAGTAGATGTCAGGCCAGCCGACATCAGCGGCTCGTCACCCCCAATTCCGAGTGCCACTGCTTCACCTAGCAGCGAGCCGATTGCTGCAACAATGCTGCGTTTCATGGCGGCCGCTAAAAGAGCCTCCTTGGCTGGTTCACCCGCAGGCGTAATCACAGGTGCCTCAGACAGAGTTGTAGGCGCCGCCTGTGCTGAAGTAGCACTCATCTCTGCTGCGGCCACAGCAGCAGAAGCAGCGGCAGCCTCTTCAGGTGCCACCCACGCATGCAGCACGCCGCCAAATGGCGGCAACAGCTCACGGGCTGCCGCCAGGGCCGTATGGAGCTGGCGAGGGCTGGTCCCACTACTGTTCAAAGCTGTGGTCGCAGCGCATGCCGCCTGCTCCACGTGCAACACCAGCAAGCGAGAATTGCCATCAGCCAGCTCCGACAGCCCAGCCAATTGTTCGGTCGCAGGCTTCTCAAAGCTCACGACTGCCACATTGCGCATTCCCTTGGTGCGCACAGCAGCCTCCACCTGCAGAAGCACAGTGGAAGCATGAACAATGATGCAAGACTGTTAGCGTTCCTCTTCAAAAACCAAAGAAACAAATGATGGGGCTCTCCATTATACCAGACACCCGTCCCAAACACCCCACTTGCCTGCTTCTGGATGTCTGCTGCGTGCTCAACCACAAGCACGTATGTGAGGTCTGGCAGCAGCTCCCGTCCCCATTCGGCGCCCATCCCGGCATCCAGAGGCTGGCACGACAGGCCGCCGCCGCAGGCTGCCGCCAGCATTGCTGCTGCCTCAGCCAGGCTGACATGTGGGGCTGCGGGGCCGGCAATAGGGGTAGCCCCAACAGCAGCACCACTGGCAGTGCCACCAAGCATCTTCCTCAGCTCAGTTTTCAAAATCTTTCCAGAACCAGTGGTGGGCATCTTGGGCAGAATGTGTACCGCTGCAGGCACCTTGAAGTGCGCCAGTCTGGCAGCGCACCAGTCAATCAGCTCACGGGGAGTCGTGCCCTGCACACAGCCATAGGAAACACATAGGCGCAGGTGCGAGCAAGCGATACATTGCATCCAGCTGTTAGATGTTCGTGGCCATGCAGCATGCACCCCAGCCCACGCTGCTTGTCAAAACTTGACCGTTCTGTTGTTGTGCTCGCCTGTACGGCAGCCTCGGGGCGCAGGGTGACTGCAGCGCCCACCAGCTCGCCCATGATGCGGCTGGGCATCCCAAACACGGCCGCCTGGTGCACCGAAGGATGTCCATACAGTACAGCCTCCACCTCGGTGGCTGCAAACAACAGCAGACAGGGCTTATGATGGTGCAGGTATCAGATTGTTGAGGAAAGACGACTGGAGCAAGCCAGCCACATACAAAGCAGCAAGCATCAAGTCAAGCGGGAGAGACGGCTAGTCCATGCTCCTATTATGTCGCGGGTCAGCGTGCAGAGCCACTCACTGTACACGTTCTCGCCGCCCACCAGCAGCATGTCCTTCTTGCGGTCCACCACGTGGATGTAATTGTTGGGGGCTGCGGTGGCCAGGTCTCCTGTCCTGCACCCAAGGCAGGCCAGGCCAGGCAATGGCATGGCATCAAGCATGTTCAAACTATGCTGGTGCTGGCCATGCTGTCAGCTTGCAATGTGGATTGCATAGACAGCTGTTGCCAGGCTGGCAGGTGGCAGATGACTTACTTGAACCAGCCGCCCTCAGCAAAGCTCTCGGCGGTAGCCGCGGGCAGGCCCCAGTAACCACTGAACACAGTCGGGCCGCGGACCCACACTTCGCCAACCTGCAGTACATTGCCCCGACAGTGCTGAACTGATCAGCTGTCTCATGAAGATCAACCCGAGAAATGAAGTCGCTTGGAACAACCATGTGTGAGTTCACCTGTTGGGAATCCTTGGCCACATCGTTGCCATCCTCCCCCACCACCCGCACACTAATCAGCTCAAATGGCCGCCCGCTGCTGGTCACCAATGCCAGCTGCTCCTCCACTGCACACAAAACGAAGGGAGCCAACAAGCTCAGCAGGCATTTTAACTTGCACACATGCAGCTGCACTGCCATATTGAGGTCCCACCAGACACTCCGTGCAGCATTCCCCGCGGCGGCAGGATGCTCATAGAGATCTTGCCGCAGCACTCGGTCATGCCATAGGAGAGAAAAAACTCGCAGCCAAACACGGCAATGGCCCGCACCACCACTACACGGAGCAAAGGGATTGGAGTGGTTTGTAGGACAGTCTAGAGGCATACGCTCAGCAAGCACAGGAAGCAGGTGGATGCTGCACATACAGCAGCAGCCCACCTGCAGGGCTCTGGGGGCTGCCACCGCAGCTGAGCACGCGCAGGCTGGTGAGGTCCAGCTGCTCCACCAGGGGGTTGTTGACCAGCATGGCCACCATGGTGGAGGCAATGTTGGTGGCGCTCACACGCTCCCGCTCTGCGACAGGCAACCAGGGGACAAGCAGATCGACACAGCCGCCATGACATGCGCGTTGCGACCCAAACGCCTAGCCCAGCAGCAGTTATCAAAGCCACGCCAGCAGCTCCTGGCTGCATCGCGCGCAGCCCAGCAACATGCACACTAACCGATGGCCAGCAGCGTGTCTTGCGGCGTGAAGGTGGGCAGCGTGACGTGGCGCCCGCCCACCAGCGTGATGGCGTACACCGCAAACACATCCACCAGATGGAACATGGGCGCAAAGTGGCCCCATACATCGTGCCGGCTCAAGTTCATCTCTGCGGGGCAAGGGATGTGGATGCATGGGAAGGTGAGGAAATGGAAGGTCGGCATGCAGGCTCCAGTATGAAGGGAGTGGTGAAAGAGGTGGCATGTAGGGCACCTGCCGGCGCGCATTGTCGCCAAGGAGCAAGCCCAGCCAACCATCTTCTACCCCGCCACCCCCACCGCACCTTTGATGGTCCCGACTGCATGGTGCATAACGATGCGGTGGCTGAGCAGCACGCCCTTGGGTACGCCTGTGGTACCGCTGGTGTAGTACAGGTGGAAACCATCCTCCTCGCTGCCATCTGCGAGCACCTCGGCGCAAACACCCGCCAGCTGGGCGCCAGCGCGGCCGCCAGCAGCAGCGCCCGCCAGGCATGCCTCGTACTCGAATGCCTGCAGGGTGGCAGGTCAGTCCCTGCCTTGGACATCGATCTGTTGCGACAAAGCTTGGGTTCCCGCATTTGACAGCATTGCGAAAAATGTATGGCCCGAAAGGCGGCATGCCCTTGCAGGTGTTGGCCCACCTGCACGCCCTCGCCACCGGCCGGCACCTCTGCGCCGCCCTCCACAAGCATCCACACCACGCTATCAAACAGCGGCGGCGGTGCCGTCGCTGCTACTGCTTGGTCCACTGCTGCTCGACTCTGGAGAACACTGGCGTGCGCAGCCAGCAGGGCGGGAGCGCAGTGCACGTCCGCAAACACCAGCTTGGGCGCTGCATCCGCGCAGATGAAGGCCAGCTCGCACGGCGCCAGGTGGATGTTAAGGTTGACCACCACGGCATGGATGGCGGCTGCCGCAAAGTGCAGCTCAATGACATGAGAGGAGTTGCGGGAGAGGATGGCGATGCGGTCACCGCGCCGCACACCCGCGCCCCGCATGTGAGCGGCCAGCGCCGCTGCCCGCTCAAACAGCTGAGCGTACGTCAGCTGCCGCCCGCTCCCCGCCGCACAGTCCACCACCGCCAACCGGTCGGCGTGGTGGATCGCCGCCAGCTCAAGCACCTGCCACACGTCCTGCAGCTGACCGGCGGCACCATCGCCGTCGCTGCCACCTGTGGTGGTGGCGCTCATTGCCTCTGACCGTGCCAAGGGCTGCCCTCCTGCAGCACCATAACGACAGACTGGCAGTCAGCAGGGCTCGCCGCAGGCCTGGCCAGGCCCATTTTTCGGCTACCCAGTCCCTGCCCCCTTGCAGGAGGCCCTTGGAGTCCCTGCCGCTGATGTTGATACTTGCCCTGTATTGCGGTGAACTGTCCAGGCCGTGCAGAGAGGCGGATGGGAGGAGTGCACGATCGAAGCCCACTCTGGCTGCTCCACAAGTGCGCAAGTGGATATCAAGCCCCGTGGCTACTCCATATTGCCTCGGTTGGCGATCAAAGATGATACGTAATTCCCGAACGAAACGGACGCGGCCAGGTGGCAGTCCCTGTTGGCACAGGTCTGCACCCTAGGGTTTGCATGATGATGATGATGATCATGAGGGGAGGCCCTCATGTATTCAACAATCGTCATAGAAGGAGACACGGTATCTGGATAGAGGTCCCACGGGTCGCAGACATTGTTCTGCCCCCTGCTGCCGCCGCATGTCGCTGTCCGCCTGCCACCTATCAATGAGATGCAATGCCCCACCACGGACCAGCTGCAGTGCTGCCTGCACAGGAACCTCCAGACTTGCAAAACGGCCTGTGGGAGCGCAGCACTGCGCCACTCTCCGCTGTGCATTCCCTGCTGGCGGCCGCCCGTGGCCACGCGTGGCACCGCCCGTGTGGCGCCCCGGCGCCGTGCGGCTGTGAACGCGCTCAAGTTGCACGAGGCTCCTTCATTTCGGCCGGCGGTTCAGTCTCAGCGGGTGATAGCGCAGCAGTGGCAGCAGCAGCAGCAGCAGCAGCAGCAGCAGCAGCAGCAGCAGCAGCAGACGGCAGTCGCTGCCGCAGCAGCAGCGCTGCCGCAGCAAGGGCCCCAAATGGGGCTGCCAACCTGCCCCGCTCTCATGCCTGTGCCCCCCTGAATGTCGCTGGCCATGCCTCATGTCGCTGGCATGGGCGTCCCACCGCACATCCAGCTGGCCCAGATACAGTCGATGATGGGCACGCTACATGCCTTGAATGCTCCTATGCATGCGCCTGGCCTGCACCCGTCCGGCGTGCCATTGCCGCAAAACCGTCCAGCACCGAATGCACCACACCCTTGACCCCACTGCCTCAATGACCTCTCACCTTCCCACTGACTCTGTAAAGCAATAGAACGATATGTTGATGACGTTGATGAGGGCTGAAAATGGGCAACCACCTGCCAGCCCAAGCCTGCAGCCACCCTCAGCCACCCTGCCGCCGTTCCTGCCAAGTGCTGAGCACTAGAGGAAGTCCCCGCTGCGCTGCATACCGCGCTCCGCCCGTTCCCCACCACTATATAGCCTGTGTACTGAGCTGATAGAACGCGAGCCAGGGTGCGTGGGCCGCTACACAGGTCGGCTACAATGCAGTGCCGCACATGGCTCGCGCAAGTTAGCGGCTAAAGGGCGCAAAATGTGTACAAATGCATGCACGTAAGACCACAATGAACGCAGCGAAGCGGGGAGGGACATCCACCTCGGGCGCAAACCTGGGTGGTGCTGTGCTGGCCACCCCGCTTATCCCATGAAACTCCAGGAGCGCCACTGGCCGCCAGCCCCACCACTACCCTGCATCCCTTGCAATCTCTCAAGCATCAGCAGCGGGCACCGAGCGGCGGGGGAAGGCAATGTCGCTGCTGTTGCGCAGGCTGCCCCTGGCGGCTCGCCGTTGCTCCAAAACGCGCGGTAGTGGTGGCGGCGGCAGCTTCTTCGCTGAAGGAAAATCGGAGCCAGGGGGCAACCTGTTTGGGGAGACCCCGCCTCCACCCGGCCAGAGCAGGAAGTGGGAGAGCTGGGAGGGGCCCTGGTGAGTCCAGCGGGGTGCAAAGGGCGTGGGGCGTCCGCGTCCAGGCAAAGCCATGGCTGAACCACGGGGGCAGGCTGTTCTCAGTAGGGGCCGAGCAGCCATGCCTGATTGCCAGAGGGCCGCGATTGCTGCCGCCGACAGCAGCTAATCCTCGCGCCAAACCCGCCGCCGCAACAGCGGTGTGCGGGTGTTGCGGGGCCAGCGACTAGTGTTGGCCTTAGCCTTGCGATCTGGCGAGCCCCCCAACTCCTTCAGTTCACATGGCATCTCCCAGACGCTCAAGAGTCCTTCACCCCCTCCCGCCGCAGGTATGCCACATTCGGCGCAGCCACGGCTATTCTGGTCATCGGGCTGTCTGCACGGCCAAACTCCTCGCTGACCTCCTGGGCGGACAAGCAGGCGGCGGAGAAGCGGGCGGCGGCGTGATGCCGCCGTAGAACAGCTTGACGGACTTGCGTGCCTGGCAGAACGCGGCCGGCATGCGTGCCTGGCAGAACGCGGCCGGCATGCTGCGGCGCCCCCAATGCGGCCAGGGCGTCCGCCGACTTCTGCTGGCCGCCCCTGCGGGCCGGCCATGGCCCATGCTCCGCATGCCATGCGCTGTACCAATGCACTGCTCTTTGCTGCCTGCTGCTGCACTTTCCTGTTGGTTTTCTTCCCCGCTGTTTTGGTGTTCTGCTGTTCCCCCCTGTTTAACAATGTTCTGTTGCTGCTTCAAGCCGCTGCTGGATGCCAGCACCAGGGTGGGTAAAGTGCTGTCCATCTGCTTTAATACGTCCATATGTTTAATGTGCAGGCTGCATGCAGGGAGCTATCAGTGGCAGCATGCCGCCCGAGCTCATCGGCGCTTACCTGCGCATGCTGAGAAGCTGCATGGACGCAGTGCTCAATTTGTCCAAATTGCCCAATGCGTTGCCAACTGTCCCTCGCACATGCCTTACCTGCCAGAAAAACTGCGATAGCACAAAGACAGCCCCTCTGCAGACCAGGGCAGACGCAGTTGGGGCCTCGGTTCCCTCTACAGCGCTAAACAAGCTCTGCTAGGCGAGAGGCAGCAGCTTGGGAGGCTTGCAACCTTGGGGGTGCCCGCCACAGCGTTGCGCCTCCGGGCGGCCGCTGTTTCCGGGAGGCACGAGAGCAGGCCTCCCTCTGTCCAGCTGCATAATCCCACGTGAATTCTGACTCATTAATGGGTGCGCACCGGAATTTGATCTGTGTGGTCCACCGCCCGCCCGCCTGCGCTTGAGCCGCAGGAGCTGGAGGGCGAATGCAGACTGCCAGGCAATGCAACCCTGGCTCATGGGCGCTGTGGCCTCTCCTGGTGCTTCTAGCTACAGTTTGCCTCGCCTCCACCCCCCCCGCAGCTGCCGCCGGTGGGTACCAGGGCGGCGAACTTGGCCGGGCAGCTCATGTACGCTACCCCACCCCCCCTTGTGCAAAATGACCTGCCGCCCCTCTGGTGCAGCCAAGCAGCTGGTCCCAGATTTGATTATCTATCAGAGCGGTATGTCGGCAGCGGTCGGCGACTCGTCCTACAACGGCGGGCGTCTGGCCGACTCCACTACTGCAGTTGCTGGTGGCAGGGCTGCCGTGTTCTTTCCGAAGCCAGGCGCTGCCTGCCAATTTTACTTTAAGGCTGGCCCCGTGAATGCTAGTGGCGGGCAGTTTGCTGGCCTGGCTTTCAAGCTGGCTGCTGGGTCCGACTTCGTTCCTGCCGCGACTGTGCGTGTTGGCATCCAAGTTGCCACTGCCGCCGAGCCTGATGGCAGCGCAAAGGTGCCCCTGCCCTCCAATCAGAGCATTTTCTCTCTCGTCGTGCTGCCAAACCCACCTGTTGCATACAACTTTCTCGCCACCCATGCGTCTGTGCAGCGACAGACGGCACATGCCAATTCGCTTGTGCACCCCTGGCTGCCATGCTCTGCAGGCCGTGCCTCTCAGGCGCTACTTGAAGGACAATCGCGCAGGGCAGGCGTGGCAGTCGGTGTTCGTGCCGCTGGCTGACCTGGGCGCGGGGCCAGATCTGTCAAAGCTACTGTCGGTGTTTTGGCGCAACAACTGGGCCGGCACCCAACAGCCCGCCCTGCTCTTAGAGTCCATCACGCTGGCTGCACTGCCGCCATCTGCCTGTGTTGTACCACCGCCGTCCATATCACCACCACCAAGCCCTAGGCCGCTGCCCCCCCCACCAACCCCAAGGCCGCCATCCCCGAGGCCGCCGTCCCCGAGGCCGCCGTCCCCGAGGCCGCCGTCCCTGAGGCCGCCGTCCCCAAGGCCACCGCCACCAAAGCCTAGCCCGCCTTCATCTTCCCGTGCCCTATACACCTCTGGCAATGGTATCTTCTGGCCCAACGGCACCCGCTTCTCGGGACGGGGGACCAATCTGCATGACACACGCAGCTGTGGTGCCTGCCTGGGTAGCCAGAATGTGACGGAGGTCAAGCGCCGCATCGACTTTGCCGTCACCAACATGTGAGCCGAGCAAAGGGGGAGTGCGCAGCAACTGACCCCGCAGACCTTGTGCAGCAGCCAGCTTCTCCCTGCATGTTCATTGTGCGATGCCACTACGGTGCCATGCATGCAGGGGTGCAACTTTTTTTCGATTAGCCATGGAGGCATATGCTCCAGGGGAGGCTTTGAATCAATACTGCTGGCCGGATTGCGCCATCAATCAACGCTACCTGCAAGATATTGCCGAGTTGATTGCCTACATTGGCGCGAAGTTCAAGCATGTGCAAGTGCTGCTGAGCGCATGGAACAGCAAAACGGCCTGGTGAGCACCAGGTGGCCGGGGGATGCTGCGTTGTGCCAACAGCGTGGAAGGCAGCGTGCGCCTGCCCAACTTCCTCGCCCCCCACCAGCGTTTTGCCTGGCTTGCAGGGGCACCACCGCGCTCAACTGGCCCACTGCTGCTACAAACGCACTCTGGAAGCAGGTTGTGACGGCTGTGGGCCAGCACCCGCATGTCTGGTTTGGCGTCGCCAACGAGCCAGAATCCAACTACGATGGCGCCCAGGATGCACAGGTGGGCAGAATCCTTGTTTCTTTCTTTCTTTTTCCAGGGCATGGCACAGTGTGCACTCCGCTGTGTTGCCGCCGCACTAATGTCGCTGCTGGTATGGGGGATTGGTGCCTGCCTCCAGGTCTGGCACGCCATGAACTTCGCAGTGGCGGCCATCCGGGAGCAGGAGGCGGCGCTGGGCATGCCTGCACACATCGTGGCAGTGCAGGGCACGCGTGGCTGGGCTCGCTCATTGGCCTACTACATGACGCACCCCATCACCGCTGGCCAAGGCTTGAATGTGGTGTACGAAACGCACCCATGTGAGTGAACAGGGCTGCGACTGGGATGGGTCCATTCCGTGCTGCTCGTGTTGGCGGCACAATTTGGTGGCTTGCTGCCTATCAGCCCACCGTGCAATTCACCCGCCCCTTTGCGTGTGGCTTTATCCCGCAGACAATATTGCGGCCGACTTCCAGAGCCTGTTTATAAACCCCGCCGCCTCCTTGCCAGTCATCATTGGCGAGTTTGGGCCAGCCACAATCAGCGACATGACCATGGCGCATGCGGAGACGTTAATGCAGCAGTGCAACGCCCTGGGGCTGCCGTGGCTGGCGTGGACGCTGCACATGCGGTGCCCGCCCAGCTTGTTACAAGACCTGAGCAACAATGGGTGCGGCATTTCAATGCCGCTCCAACTGAGTGATTGGGGCAAGCTGGTGAAGCAGTACCTATAGGTCTCTTTTGTTTTGCGCTTTGCGATGCTCCTTTGTGCCGAGCCTCTGGCAAGACCTGCTGCAACGCGTGCGGCGGCCGTCAAATGGGGGTACTGCAAGTACTTGGCCAGTGCCGCGGCTGCTCAAGGGTCTCTGTGGGCCACACTTCCCTCCACAATGCTTGTGCCAGCATGTTGGGCTGCCCTGCTGGTGTCCAGGCCGGTGTCTGGCCTGTGGCAGGCATATTGCCTGCGAAGGCCGCTGACAGGTGCAGGTCAAACTGTGCTCCATGCTGCTGCCAGTGCCCTGCCAATGGATGGGACCTGAGAACAGCAATGAGCCAGCAGCAGCACTCCAGCCTGTTTTTACACTGCTCTCTCCCCCCGGGGGCCCAGACACCCTGGCAGTCCTCTGAGCAATGCTGCAGCTTGCTATATATGCGGTTAAATCATGCTGCTTGGGCCAACCATGCTGCTGGTCTGTGCCACGTGTCGCCCACCCATCCCTGGCAGCAACCAGCTCCCGCGATTCTTATCTCCTGACGGTCCTCCCGTCTACAAGTCATAACCGCTGCAGAACGGCCAAACATTAAAGCTTTGAACTACGCTTGTTTGTCGCACGCGCAAGCAGTTCTGTGTTGGAGCCCCTCAACGTGTCCAAACAACGGTCTCTACTTCCAGCAGGGCAGCACATCGGCCTTGTGGTGTAGCCGGAGCAGGTGCCGGTAGACGGCGGGCGCAGGCAGGTGGCGGCAGCAGCAGGGTGCCCGCAGATGCAGTTGTCCGTTGGGGCCAACATACCAGCAGCAGCAGCGTTAGAATGCGTTGGGCGACCGTGCTGATGATGCTGGCCTCCATCGTGGCGGGCGCCCGGCTTGGATCCGGCGATGACGCTGTGCAGGCAGCCGGCATCCTGTACAGCTCGGTGAGCGCTGCTGGGCATGCACGTCTAGCAGCAGCCACGCGACAGACAGCACATGTCCTGCCACTCGGACGGCTCCCGTCCAACATCTTTTGGCAGAACGCCAAGAAAGCTGGCATCGGAAGCAAAGGTAACCTGCCTGAGTGGCTCACTTGTGCACTTGAGTGAGCACTGGAACTGATGGTATGCTGCTGCTGTGACAGGAAGCTTGTGGAATTGGAGCAAGCTGCCATGCGGGGCAGCAGATCGGACATGGTGGGAAGTTGCAGGCTTCGTAAGGAAGGCTACCGGACAACGATTACCGCCGGTATGCTGTCAATGCTGGGCTTCTTTGTCAATTCTCGCAGGTGTCTTTGTCCCAATCCCACGCTGCCGTTTGTGTCTATATGCAGAATGTCGTGCTGCCGTCGATGTGGTTTCACTGGAAACTTCGGTACGACATTTCCTTTGGCTCTGACCACGAGGTACGTTAACTTGTTGCATCTCGACTGCATCCATCCCTCGCTGCGCTGACGCAGCCACGTGCGTGCCTGGGCGCTGAAACATATTTTGATCGAGGTGCAGGAAGCGGAGGTATATGATGCCTACGCACGCAGTGCTTTGGAGGAGTGGCCTTATGAGTCGAATGGCGTGCAAATGCTGACCAAGCACGCCTTCTGGGCCTACTACTCGGGATTCAGGAATTGTTCGTGTCAGTGTGGATGGCAGTGACGCGGCTTTCGGTTGGCGCGCCCCACTTCCATTTTCGTGGCCGCCCATGCACTGTGTAATCGCCCACAGCCGAGCGCTCCTGCTGCTGTTGCTGTCAGCCGGCCCAGTGCTTCTGCTTGCAACTGCAGTGGCTGCTGTTCCATCAACAGTGCGCATAGATGTCGACTGCGGATCAAACAGATCTGTTTGAACCGCAGTCGACTAACACACAGGTGCGCAGCCACGCGGCCATGCCCTGGCTGCACTGAGGAAACACGGTAGAAGCAGAGGGCAGAGGACAACTTGCAGCAAATTGGGTGTCAGCGCGAAGCTGTACTGCCCGCGCCCTGGCGCAACTTGCAGAGGCCGACTCAGCTCAGGCACCTCTCTGCAACTTGCAGCTAGTGTCTTGAGCCTGCGACTTGGCACAGACCAGCGGGGAGCTGGAACGGCCCGCGGCCGCACGGCTTGCTGCAGAAGAGCAGGCCCTTTGCAGGTGGCGAGAGCCTTCCTGCGGAGTCCAGCCCGCCCACCATCTGAAACTGCAGCTTGCTGACATGGTGCCGCCGCCGCCGCCGCTTCTTGCCTAGCTTCCGTCGGCAGACCAGCTGAGCACATGCCGGCTTCTGCTCGTGGCCCTGGGACGCCATACAGACTAGCCATGCTGGTGTTGCTGGTGGCATTGCTGCCCCTCGCTGCAGCTGGCATCAGCTATAGCTCGGTGAGTGGCACTGGTGTTGCGACCGCGGTCATGTGCACATGCTGGGATATCCAGGAGCAAGCAGAAGCTGACTGCTGGAAGCAGACTGCAGACTGCTGGAAGCAGGAGCACTTGCTGGCGCAGCAGCATAAGCAGGCGCTAGTCAGCAGCATCCACGCAGGCTGAGGCGTGGGGCGGCCTGTTTCCTTCACTCTTGCTGGACTTGGCTGTCCCCTCCTCTTCTGCCTGCAGTACTGGAACTTGTGGGGCAAGTGGAAGAGCGTCTGCAACAAGAAGTACTCGACACCTGCCCAGGTATGGGGACAGCACCTGCTAATTGCACTCGGTTGCGCAACAGCCAGGCAGGGGCCCGGAGCACAGCGTGACAGCTTCTCATCATACTGCAGGACACAAACAAGTTTTACATCTTCAGGAACAACTGCAAGAAGGCAGGTCTCCCGCCCTCAGGTACCTATTGCCCTGTGTTTCATTTCGCTGATTCGTTGCTCGGTGGTTTTGTGGTCAAAAATGCTCGTGGCGTGAATGCTGCAGGCACCTTGAGCAACTGGAGCAAGCTGCCGTGCTGGGGCGCAGACCAGACGTACTACCAGGCGGCAAGACAGATTGGAGACTTGTATTCGATCAACATGGTGTGTGTGCGCAGATGTTTTCTTGCGAGGACTGGCGGCGGCATTTTGAGTTCATGCTCATGCCTGTGTGTGATGTTGCTTCTGTCTGCAGGAGCCAACCGCGGAAGAGTTGGAGGGCTTCTGGTGGCTTTTCAAACTGCAGAAGAACCTCAAGTATCGCACACGCGCCCAGGTGGGTGGCCAACTCTGTTGTGTCTGCCCTCTAAAACTGGTCAACAGCTCTTTTGCGTCCACTGCTTGGAAGCCATCCCTGCTCGCAAACCAACCTCATGTGTGGTGGCTTGTGCATTCGTTTCAATCAGGACAACAAGGCATTCTTGGAGTTCCGCAAAAATATTTTCAAGTTCTTGCCCAACATTCCAATCAAGGACCCTGAGCAAAACATTGGCGGGCCAGGTGCAGCACGAATCCTGCATGCGACACCCGCTGTTGACACCTGATCTTCTGATGCGCGACTCTTTCACCCGTTGCCGCCTGCCACTCGCCCACTGCAGTCTTCCTTACGCTGCGGCTTGTGGGTGGCAAGACTCCCAGCCTGGGTCGCCTCGAAATCCGCCGGCGAAACGGCCGGTGGGGGACCATTTGCAGGCGTGGCTTTGGGGCGGTGGATGCCTCGGTAGCCTGCCGTCAGCTGGGTGAAGGCATGAACGGCACGGTGCTTAGAAGTGGGGCGTTTGGGCCCGGGAGCGGCGCCATATGGCTCAGCCAGGTGGCCTGCACCGGCAATGAGACCCGGCTGGAGGACTGTAGGAGCAGGGGATGGGGGCACGCGCCAAAGTGCAGCCACGCCATGGATGTAGCCATCAGGTGCAGGTCCTAAAGGTAAAGGTAAAGGTAAAGGTGGGGAAGAGCCTCCACAAGCTTCACTTCCCGGTTTTAACGTCTAGCTTTAGACCATTATTTGATCTGCCCGACGCGCCAAGTGCAGTACCCCCCACTAGTAGTGAATGGGTCCCGGGGAGGCCTGTGCCGAAGCCTTGGCGATTCTATTAGGCGTTCCCGAAGGAATTGGCTTGGATTGGCGCTGAGCCGGTCAGCTATGCCGCGTTTGTCCTCACAAAGTTTCGACATGGGAGGAATCGAACCTGTGCCCTCTCGGAGGGTTTAGACACTAGCTCCAGCGCCTTCAAAGAAGGCCTTTCTTAGCCGCGGCCTTATTTTTTTTTTTTTTTTTTTTGCTCCATGTTGCCGATGTCCGCGCGCGCGCGTATGTGTGTGTGTGTGTGTGTGTTTGATGAGGCGTGCGTGTACATCCTTCGTCCTTCTCCGTGAGTCCTGGAGAGCGTTTCCCCAGCCTTGCCCCTTCTCTCTCTGCCTTCCATTTCATCAGTCCCATGGACTGCTTTGTCCGGCACAAACATGCCAGCCCCTGCAATGATTCAAAACATTTACTCATGAGATTCCCACAGCTGTCACAATTCAATAATGACCCATGCATAGCGCTGCGCCCGGCGACGGCGCCAGCGGCGCTTGCGTACCAAACAGTACCGCCCAGCTTCGCCTCAGAAACCGACGTTGTGCGCACGCTCTTTTCACTCTACTCGTCTGGGCGGTCACTGCTGAGAGGTGCTCCGGGCCAGCGCCAAAGCCGCCAGTGCCAAGCCGCGGGCCGCGGGGCTCACCGCCAACGGCAGAGCGGAACACAGAACTTGCGAGTCCCTGTCGTAGCCGCAGGCGTGACGTGCCTGTGGGATCACGGCGGGAGCCTGGCCTGGGTTCCACCGGGGTGCCGCCGGTGTGCCGCCGCCACCGAGCCTTCAGACCGAACACCTACTGCTCACCATGCCATCTCATAGCACTGGGATGCCGTGGATTGCCATGGTGGTATTGCTGGTGGCATTGCTGCCCCTCGCTGCAGCTGGCATCAGCTATAGCTCGGTGAGCGGCAGTGGCATGGTGTGCAGGCTACAACATCTGCATGTGCAGCAGGGAGCAGAAGCACCCCCCTATGCCTGCTGCAGTACTGGAACTTGTGGGGCAAGTGGAAGAGCGCCTGCAACAAGAAGTACTCAACACCTGCCCAGGTATGGGAACAGCACCTGCTAATTGCACTCGGATGCGCAACAGCCAGGGCGGGGGCCCGGAGCACAACGTAACACCTTCTCATCATACTACAGGACACAAACAAGGTTTACATCTTCAGAAACAACTGCAAGAAGGCAGGTCTCCCGCCCTCAGGTACCTATTGCCCTGTGCTTCACTCGTTGAATTGCTGCTGGAAGTTTGTTCGCTCACACATGCTCGTGGCGTTCCAGAGTAGCGGAAGGGAGAATCGGGCTGGAGGGCTGGCTGACGAAGCGCTGGTGCTGCTATTTGGGACTTAAGGAGTTGGAATCCAGCAGTGCGGAACCCCAAAAAGCCTGAAAACGCCCACCCCGATTCTCTCTGACATCACTCTGCCACATGCAGGCACCTTGAGCGCCTGGAGCAAGCTGCCGTGCTGGGGTGCAGACCAGACGTACTACCAAGCCGCAAAAGTTATTGGAGAAAAGACGCAGAGCGGAATCGTGGCCCCCACGGTGCGTGTGGGCGCTTTAATGACTTTGATTTTGCACACAATTCTCACACGTCTACTACTGCTATGCACCCCTGTGATGCAGCTGGCTGAGTATAAGGGTTTTTTCTTTCTCCACAACTTAGAGAAGAATATTACGTATAGCAGCACCAAGCAGGTTGGTGGCAGGACGCTTGCCAGGCCTCTGCAAATGTTGCTGCCTGCTGCTGCTGTCTTTCTCATTCCGGCTCTGCAATGCTGCTGCAGGAGGAAGCAGCACTTCTTGATTTCATTGCAAATATTCGAGTATATCTTCCGCCTGGCGTGTGGTTCCAAGAGCCTGGTATGTGCAAGGCCACCATTTTTCCTGTTGTCAATGCCTTATCAGTGTGCATCCTTCCACCCTCACGCACACACTCACGCCTCTTGTCTCATTTTACCGCAGCCATTACGGTGCGCCTGCTGAATGGCAGCGATACTTCGTCCGGAAGATTGGAAGTGTGGCATAACGGCACGTGGGGAACTGTCTGCAAGACAGGATTCAACGCCACCGATGCTTCGGTCGCATGCGGGCAAATGCGGCTTGGCAAGAATGGCGTGGTTGCCGCCTCCAGGAGCGGCCCGGCGTTTGGGCCAGGAAAAGGCACGATATGGCTGTCGCAGGTCAACTGCAACGGCCGCGAGACACGGATTGAAGAGTGCTGGAACAGGGGGTGGGGCACCGCTCCCAACTGCACCCACGCCATGGATGTGGCCGTCGCTTGCGCACCTGGTAATGCACGCCATTCGCCCATGTTCTACGTCGCACAGTGTGCGCTGGCCATCCTCCCCCACCCCACCCACCACCCAATCCACCCCTTAACGCCCGCCCTGCAGATGTTACAGCGCGCCTGGTGAATGGCAGCAGCGCTTCATCCGGAAGATTAGAAGTGTGGCGTGGTGGCATTTGGGGAACTGTCTGCAGCACAGAATTCAACGCCACTGATGCTTCGGTCGCGTGCCGGCAGATGGGGTTTGCTAGGAATGGGACGATCGTCGCCTCCAGGAGCGGCCCGGCGTTTGGGCCAGGAAAAGGCACGATATGGCTGTCGCAGGTCAACTGCACTGGCCGGGAGACGCGGATTGAAGAGTGCTGGAACAGGGGGTGGGGCACCGCGCCCAACTGCACCCACGCCATGGATGTGGCCATCCGTTGTGCGCTCATCACGACTGGCCGGTTGTGAGTTTTGACTTGTTTGTTTGCTTCACTCTTTCTTGTTCTCCCAACTGCCCTCGCTATCCTTCACCGGATTGACCAGATTACCTGGACCTGCTCCTCCCATTCTGTATTTCATTTTCCAGGGCTGCCCCCCTAACTCTTAAGATCAGCTGACCTGCCGCCGCTGCATTGCTGCCTTTCCTTTCTCGATGCTTCTTCCCCAAAGAATGGGCCAGTCGGTCCACATTTTGCACGGATTGTCCAACATCTCCAGGGAAGGAACATGCAGGTCGAGTGGCATTTGACGTGTGTGATTCAGGTCCTCTGGATCGGGCCTTGCCCGCACACCCTCAAGCCCCGGGCATTGTGCAACGAAGGAGGAGGTTTTCAACCGTTGGAAAGGCGGAGAAAAGAAAGAGAGACAGGTTGGCAGCTGCCCAATCACTTCCGCGCCCTCTGAGAAGGAGAGAGCCTGCGCTCCCTTCACCCTCCCTGCTCATGCGTGGACATCGTGACTGCCATTTCTACTCGAGACATGACGCTCTGGACTGAAGCCCGCGTGCTCTTGGTTGTCGCTTCCCTAGGCCTCGTTAACTGTCAACAGAGCGAGTTGCCCGGCGATGCAAACAACTACCGTGAGCGGCAGCCGGGGCGGGCGCCTGTCCGCTACCGCCACGCCGCCCCCGTCCCCGCTGTCACAGTGCCGCTGTCCACCTCCTCTAAACGTGTCCACCTCCTCTAAACGTGGTGTCCAGCAAGGAGCTGTTGTACACCTGACCCCAGACCACCTGTACCAACCGCACACGCCTGACCTCACCATGCAGAGCAAGAGCTGCTAGCACAGCGTGATGCCATCACCAACTGGGACGACTTCTATGCCGCCAACAACTTCACGGGCTGGCAGGACGACCTCAGCGCTCCCTTTGCTCCTCAAGTGTGCCAGTGGAGTGGCGTGACCTGCGACTCCTTTGATGGATCGATAGAATCACTGTGAGTTCCACAGACGTGCCCGCAATCTGCGCTGGAGGGGCACGGTGGCAGCGGCAGTTGGCCAGGGGCCGTGTTTCGGAGGCTTAGCTTTGATTCGTGAACTGCGCTTGCGTGCAGAGACCTGCGGTGCACCAAAAATGGCACCGATGATGGCAACTACTGTACTGTCCAAGCTGAGGGCACCTTGGCGCCTGAGCTAGCAGGCATACCGTAAGCGGCACCTGCGCCTGCACATTTGGGACGCAGCACTGCGAGAGACATGCTTTGGTGCAGTGCTGTGGGTTCTGCCCAAGTGTTGAGCTGCTGCTCTGTTCACAATCACTACAGGACCCTTCGTAACGTGTTCCTGAACGGCCATCTGTTTTCTGGTGAACTGGCTGCCTGAGTCAGGCTTGGGAGAATGTTTGCTAGTGTTGCCTGTTGCTGGATGGCAAGACGTCTTGCTAATTGCGTGACCTTTGCTCTGCAGGCCCGTTGCCTGAAGCATGGGGCGAGCGTGGAAAGCTCAGCAAGCTTTCAACTCTGTAAGCAAGTGCTGGCGCGTCTCCCCATCTGCACCCTGCTCTGGAGCTGCCCGTTTCACAGCAGCGCATTGTACGTCCAACATGTGCGGTGCTCAATGCAGGCTTCTGAGCAACAACATGCTGAATGGAACCTTGCCAGCATCCTGGGGCAGTGAAGGTTCCCTCAGCGACCTGCAAAACTTGTGAGCTGCCTGGGGAGCTGCCTGGTGCATGAAAGGGAGGGACGGATGCACCTGGCTGGAGGTGATCACGTATCTGACCATCTATTGTTTGTGTTGCTGCTGTATACAGGAAACTGAGCTTCAACCAGCTCTCAGGTACGCAATGATTCAAGACTTTTGCTCGATATGGCTTGTGCAGCTGGGTGTATTCAGCACATCTGACAGGTTGCGACCCTGCTCAACCTCTGTTGCTTGCGGCTGTTGGCAGGCAATCTACCGGCCTCATGGGGCGACGCTGGCGCGCTGCCTTCGGTGTCGCAGCTGTATCTGGACTATAACATGCTGTCGGGCAACTTACCAGCCACCTGGGGCAGCGAGGGCGCCTTCCCCAAGCTCAAAGCACTGTAAGCTGGGGGGTATGGGTGCATACACAGCGCTGTGGGCTGCCCAACCAAGCCAACATTCCTGTGCAGCGTCAAACTCCAGCCGTGGTTTTGCCATTGCAGGTACATGGGCACAAATGCTATTTCAGGTGAATGGCCCTCTTGCCAAGCAATATGTCATGTGCAAATACTTGCCACTGCGGCGTCGATTCCTGCTTTACTGCAATTGGCCGCCCCACGCTGCTGCAGGCATCCTGCCACCATCTTGGGGGAGCCCTTCAGCATTTCCGGCCCTAACTGACCTGTGCGTTCACAGTACCTAGCTCTACTTCCCGTTTTGTACGTATGCTCTCTTCTGACGTTATTGTCGGTCTTCCTGGGTGCAGGAACCTGATGTCCAACTCCTTGGCTGGTGGGTGGTTTGGTCGCAGCGAGTTGTACTTCATTAGCAGCATGCGTCACACCCCTGTTTTTGATGCCATTCCATCTGGTGGACATTGAAGCGGTGTCGTATCTAGCCGTGCAGGGACTTTGCCGCCCGACTGGGGCAGTAAGGAGGGTTATCAAAAACTTTTTATCCTGTGAGCATGGAGTGGTCTGCATGCATATATTTCCCTGTGTGTTGGTTGTTTCTCACCTGCTTGCTTCCCTGCTTACTGTAGGGACCTGGCTCTGAACCAACTCACTGGTGAGTGCCCAACTGCCAACTCATGCGCTGGCTGCTGCTGGTGGCAGACAAGTACTTTTCAATCAGTGTGGCTCTGGTTGCTGCAGCCGATTACAGCATGCCGTTTTTGTGCAGGCACCTTGCCAGCTGTGTGGGGCGAGCCTGGCGCTTTTCCCGAACTGAGCAGCCTGTAAGTTGGCGGCCTTTGGACCCATATTCCCCAGCTGAGCTCCTTCTCACGTTTCCAATTGTCCCAGAAATCTCACCGCACCCCCCAACTCGCTATCCTGCCATGCAGATCGTTGAGTAACAACCTGCTGAGTGGTAGGCATGCTTGTTTGGCTATATTTTGTTTGCCAGTATCCTCGTGGAGCCAAGTATTGCCTGGTGAATTGTGTTGCAGGCAGCATCCCGGCAACCTGGGGCAATGAGACGGCTTTCCCCAAACTTAATGCTTCGTGAGTCCAGCATGATGGCATAGCCTTAATAGTGCGCCCAAACTCGTTCGCCCCATTGTTTCCATTCCCCAATAATTCCCTTCTCGGTGCAGGGGGCTTGGCAACAATCCAAAGCTGTGCGGCTCTGTGCCCTCCAACTTGTATTCGGCCGTGAGTTGTGCAGCTGGTGTGCAGTTGTGACTTCCAACAGCGGGGTGACCTTTAGCCTGTATTACAGCCATACATATCTGCATAGACAGTGATTCTGGTTCCCCGCGGCTGATGTTGCAGGTGTGCGCACCATTGCCATTTGGCACCGACTGCGTTGGGACAGACCTTCCCGCATGCACTGCCTCCTTCCCCTCGGCCACAATGGCAGATGGTGGGTCTCTGCTTCAAGGGACTCTAGCATGCTTCCCGCACTGCAAACTATTGGGAGATGATAGAGGTTTTGTGTCATGTGCAGTGTCTGCACTGTTGGCCCAGAAGAACGCAATCAAGAACTGGGAGCAGGTCACAGCCAGCCTTGATTTGGTTGGTTGGGTCGAATCTGTTCCAGTTTGTGAATGGAGCGGTGTTGGCTGCACAGACAATGGCAGCATCATCACTGTGTGAGCCATGCACATGGTGCAACTCCCTGTCGGCGTTGCGCTTGGTTGCTGGGTTAAACCGGACCCCGCCATTGACCCACGATTATGCTGAACCACATGGTGAATGCAGTGATTTGACTTGCCCTACTGAAGAGGACGTGCAGCTGGGTGCAGCTCCTCCTTGTGGGGCACGGGCTCAGGGCACCCTGGCACCAGAGCTGGCAAGCATCAAGTGAGATACAACTGCTCCGCTGTTGCTGGCAAGCATTGCATGTGCGCCTGCGCCTGGCCTCAGTACTCAAGCCTGTGAGTTGAAATCGTGCGCGGCTCGTGCGCTGCAGGACTCTACAAACATTGAATCTAAACAACTTGGGCCTCTCAGGTGCGCAACGTGCACTTCCACCACTGGTGGAAGTTCGCTCGTGCATTGCGATGTTGCTGACCCTTAAGCTAATGCTGCAGGGGCACTGCCAGCCGCATGGGCAAAGGCGGGCACATTTGAGAACCTGAACTCTCTGTGAGTGAGCTGCGGCAAGCTGGAATGCGTACCTGCCTGTGTCCTGGGCCTATGTGCGGCAGCTGACATTGAAACTGCCTGTCCCACGCAGTTACCTGGACGGGAACAATCTGACAGGTGAGCATCCTGCTGGAACTGGGCAGTGTTTGTTGTTAGGTCTCGTCACCAATTATTTTGCGGAGTACTGCCTGCTCTTGATACAGGGACCTTGCCTGATGCCTGGTCCAACAAAGGGGCGTTCCCTCGACTGCAAGCCATGTACGCGCAGGATTTACTTGCTTGAGCCTTGCGGCGAGCATGTGTGCTTTACTAGATTGAGCTTCTTTCTAGGTTCCATGCTGCCCAACTGCTGCTGCTGCTACCTACGCCTGACATGTGCACCTGTGATGCCGCAGGTCGCTGGCCAACAACTTCTTCAATGGTGAGGCTCAGGCGTTTTATGCTCATAGCCACACTTTGCTCCACTTGCATTTGCATCCACCAAATATACCTGGGACTGTTTGCCTGCCATTTTGATACAGGCACGTTGCCCACAAGCTGGGGCGTCTCGCCAGCCCTCCCTGTGGCAAACTACATGTAAGGCTGCTGTGCTACTGCTGCCGACCCTTGTCATGGCTGTGGGTGGGCCTGCCAAGATAAACGCAACAGGCAGCGTTACCGATGCACATGCCCTAGTTTTGCGCCGGTCCCATGCTGTACAGCTACCTTGTTGGCAACAAGCTCACTGGGCCACTTCCTGCTACTTGGGGCAATCCTGGCGCCCTCCCGTTCCTGAAATACATGTGAGCACGTTTCAGCCTTGCATTTCGCTGTGTTTCTTGGCCTGCGAACACGGCGGCATGCTAAGCATCGCCGCATTGCTTCTAAGTCTAAGTATGTTCTCATGTCTGGCTTGCTGCTGCAGGGATCTTAGCAACAACACTTTCAACGGTATGTAGCATTGGAGCTGCGCGTATCATCATCTGGGGAGGTATCCTGTGCGGTTCATTTGCTGTAAAGCGTTGTGTTTGTTTGCAGGCCCGCTGCCCGAGGCGTGGGGCCAGAACGGCTCCTTTTCTCAAATGACTGAGATGTGAGCTACACCAAAGAATAAGCATTTTGTTCATGCACCCTTCTAGCTGTTTTATGGGCAGCATGCTGGCTGGCTGGCTGGGCCCTTAGCTGCCGTTACAAGCTGTGCATGCTCGCTTGCTGAGCCCATGCATTGGTTGTGTGTTTCCTTGCTTTTGCAGGCATATTGCCAACAGCAAACTCGCTGGTAGGTAACCAGCAGGATTGGGGTCCCAAAACTGGTGTGTGCATGGGTTAGCTGGTAGCAGATCGAGGGGTGGGTTGTTTGATATCTGCTGCTGCTAAGACTGACCTGCTCCTGCTGGCCTGTGCAGGTCCGCTGCCAGATGCCTGGGGCACGCCGGGTGCCTTCCCCAAGCTTATCTATTTGTGAGTGTTGTATGCAACCGATGCAGCTTTTACGTTGCCCTTCTCACTCTGGTTCCGCTGATGTGTGATGTGTGCAGGAGCCTAGAAGATAACAGCCTCACTGGCGAGTCCTTGCCGCAGCCTAGCTCGCATGCCGATCGCTGTTTCGTCTGCCATTCCTGCCCGTGTGCTCCACACCTGTGTTCTCTTTCTACTGCAGGCAGCATTCCTCTTGCCTGGAATACTACTGCGTCCCTTCCATCGCTTCAAGACCTGTGAGTCTGCCGGGCCTGCTGCCTGCTTCAGAACAGCAAATCAAACACTGCTGTGTTCTAGGACATTGCATTTTTTTGCTCCTTGCAGAATCGTCACTGGCAACACTGACCTATGTGGCAGTGTACCCTACACGATGCTGGAGCCGGTGAGGCAACTGGGTTGGAGCACGTCTGAGTTGCCCACCTCTCAATAATCAATCCTGCGTGTTATGGCCTGGCCGCTTGCTTGCAGGTGTGTAAGCCCGAGTTGTCGCAGTGTGTGAACAATGAACAGATTCCGTGTGCCACGCCGCCATCACCCCCTCCCTCTCCCACCGACTCCTCATCTTCCTCTACACCCATCGGTGCCATTGTGGGCGGTGTTGTGGGCGGCTTCGGTGAGACCTGAGTGGCTGCGATCCGGTTTGGCTGAGCAACGACATGTCCGCTATTCCGCAATATCTACATAGATTCAATTGGGTTGATTTGCTCAGCTCCACTCGACTCTCTGTTTCTGCAGCCCTGGCAGCCATCCTGGCATTCCTGGCCTTCCGCCCACGCAAGGGCTGGCTGAGGCAGCGGGCGACTGTGGGCAGCAGCGACAACCTCGACTCGGGGGGCAGCAAGCTGCCACCACACACCAACATTGTGGTTGAAGGCGGCGATGATGACGACCACGACCTTGACAGCAAGGGAATGCCGCTGGTGCCGCCAGTGGACCCCACTGCCTTCTCCGCGCTGCCTGTCGGGTCACGGGATGAGCGGGCAGAGAGCAATCTGCCGTTCAGCTATGTCACCACGGCTGGGTATGCCAAGCCGATGTTTATCCCAGACGCCAGCTCTGGCGCGCCATCCACTGGCCGCACCCCATCTGGGGTGTTGCCCAGCAACCTGTCTGACAGGTACTGCACTGCCCTGGGTGCCCGGCTGTTTGGCTGCCCCAGCCTGCAGAATTCAGGCACTCCTCATTCCTGTTGAGTGTGGTGAAGGCCAAAAAGTCCCCTTCCATGTGCCGCTGCTCATGCAGCCTCCACTCGCTGGAGACCGACCCCATGCTCACCTTCATCTCGTCCCGGCTGTCCACCATCCGACGCAACGCTGGGGGCCTGTCCCCCACCTCATCCAGCGGCCTTACCAGCATGTCTGGGCCACTGCCTGCTGAGGTGCAGCAGTGGGAGGTTCAGTGGGAGAACATTGTGTTGGAGCGCCCCATTGGCAGGGGCTCCTTCGGCAAGGTGTACCTGGCCAACTGGAATGCGACGCCCGTGGCTGTCAAAATTCTGATCAACGCAGGTGCGTGGCTGGAAGCTGGTTCCAAGCAGCATTCACTTTGTATGCGTATTTAATGACGTGGCCCTGCCATTTGTAGATGGCGTCGAGCAGACGCCCGACCTGGAGCTGCCGGACGAGGTGATGAAGTCGCTGCAGGAAGAAGCTGTGGTAATGTCGAGGATGCGCCATCCTCATCTCGTTTCGTTCATGGTGAGACCCTGAGCATCCGCTGGGCTAGAGCAGCAACAGTCTCCGGCTTTCCTGCCAGTTGCTCTGGGCAGGATCATAACACGGTGTAATCCTCCCTACATAGACCTTTACTGCATAGCAGCAGCTAGCTTTTCACAAGGTGCATGTAATGTGCTACTGCTGTGCAGGGTCTGTGCACCCTGCCCCCTTGCATCCTCACAGGCAAGTGTCGAAAGCTTGGCTGCCGCCTGCCATTCTGCCGCCTGCCACAGCATGTGTTGGCCAGGCCTGCTGGGTTCCTGGGATGCAATTCTCACTTCTGTCCCGCCTGGTCGCCTCCCTGCCTGCAGAGTACTGCAGCCGCGGCTCCCTGTACGATGTGCTGCGACAGGCCTCATGGCGCCCAGAATGCGCAGCAGAGCTGACATGGCAGCTGCGGCTCAGCATGGCATTTGATGCGGCGCGTGGCCTGTTGTACCTTCACCTGCGTACGCCACCCATCATTCACCGGGATGTCAAGAGCCCCAACATGCTGGTGGATCGCAACTGGAACGTCAAGGTACGGTTTTCTTTCATCGATGGATGCAATGTAGCATGGTCGAGCAACGGTGCGGTTGTCACCCTCCCTGCTCCAGGTGTGCGACTTTAACCTCTCCGAAATACTCCGGCACCAGCCTGCCGTGGTGCCCATGGGCGGCGATGCCACCAACCCCACCTGGCTGGCGCCAGAGGTCCTCAGCGGCGAGCGGGCCACGGCGGCATCCGATGTCTACTCATTTGGGCTTGTTCTGTGGGAGCTGCTTGTTTGGAAGCTGCCATGGGCACGCCAGCCGCCTTACCAGGTGACGTGGTTCTTGGTATAGAGGGCAGGTTGTTGGGGACATGTTCTGCGGACAGACGTGGCACAGTTGCCCTGGTGAACCAACACCGCCCTCCTGCTTGCAGGTGCGGCGCGCGGTGCTGGATGGGAATCGGCCAGAGATCCCGCCACGCGATTCGCTGCCAGGCCCCGACAACGACAAGTTTATGCAGCTGGATGCCTACTGCCAGCTGTTGAGGTGCGCGGAGCTGGTGTGGCGCAAGTGGGCAGCGTTTGCTTGCGTGCACGTGTTTGAACTGTTGCCCAATCTGCTCATTGGCAGAGCCGCTGTTGCCTGGCTTGCAGAGACTGTTGGGCGCACAACCCCGCAGACCGCCCCGCTTTTGCCGACATTGTCCCCCGCATCAGCGCCATGATGGACCTGGCCTCTCCAGTCGCCAGCATCGAGCGCTGAGCTGCCAAGGTGCTCACTTCCCCTCCTACTGTTACTTTTCATTTACTGGCTTGGTGCTGTTCAGTGCAAATGGACCAAGGACATTGATGTAAACCACACGGTATCGAACGAACAGAATGATGAACCGCTGGCAGGCCCAGTAGCTACAAGTTAGGGGCGTGAAGAGGATACTCCGCAGGCGGGTAGGTGGGGCGCTGATGACTGCTTCCTCCGACTCCATTGCTGCCTTGCAACCCTCCCTCAGCAGATTTGGCCCTGCTGCATGTGTTTGCTGCTTGCTCTGTTGCTTGCCCCTGCGCGCCTGCATCCAGGGACCTATTCCTTTCCAGACAGAGGGCCTGGAGCGGCTGCTGACCGCCGGCGGCGGCCTCATCGCAGCGCTGGCGGAGGCGGAGGGCCACGCCTCGGGGCGGGCCGCCACCGCGCTGGAGCAGCGCAGCGGCCTGATGGGTCCAGCCGCCCAAGCCGCTCAGCTTTCTGTGCTCGCGTGCCTTGAAAAAATGGTGCCATGCACCACCGGCCTGGCCGCCGCGCTGCCGGAGCAGGGCGTGGCGGAGATTGTGGCGGTGGGCCCCAAGGGCCGCTTTGTGCGGTGCCAGGAGGTGCGTACCCGCAAGCACACGGCGCCCGGCGCCACCAAGCCTGCGGCCCATACCGGCGCCGGGTTGTTCGCCGTGTGTGACGCGCTGCTGGCCGCGCAGTTCCCGCACGGCCGCGGTGGCCTGCAGCAGGAGCTGTGCGTGGCCCTGGGCATGGTGCAGGGCACTCAGCCGCCGCTGCTGGTGCTCCTGGCGCAGCCGGTGGCAGGGGCGGCTGGGGCGGGGGCGGGGGCGGAGGCGGCGCGGGAGGCGGCGCAGGCGGCGGCGCGGGAGGCGGCAGGCGCGGCGCTGGCAAAGGTGCCGGCGGCGGTGGGGGGCCTGGAGCTGTACAAGCTGTGAGCACATCATTACCCCCTCCCCAGCAGTGTAGTTCCATGCTTGCACCCCATCTTGCCCTACATCCTTCCAAGTGGCAGCATCCTGGGAGTCTGCTGCCTTCAGATAAGGCCTTGCTATCAGTGTGTTTCCAAGGCCACAAACCTTTCGGTACAAAAGTTCCATCTTGCCACAAACCCTTCCAGCCTCAGTACCAGTTTGCCGTACAAAGTTCCCATGCTTGCCATTCTCTTATTGCGGCACTAAATTGCCAGTCTCGAGGCACTTTGCAGGCAAGCTCTTGCAAAACTCCATTCGGCCCATCCATTCTTGAACCCATCTTGCTGTACATCGTTCCAGCATCTTGAGTCTTCAAAATTTGTCTCTCCGTCAGTTTCCCGTAAGGAAGCCTTCCGTACAAAGTTCCATCTTGCCACAGGCCCCTTCCAGACTCAGTACCAGTTTGCCATACAATTTTCCTTGCCAGCCTCGCACTTTTGCAAAGTTTCATGCCAGGGCAACTCACACGGCTCCCTCTGTGCCCCCTCCCAATACCCACGCCGTACGCTGGCCACTCACTCCCCCTTGCATCCTGTTCATTCTTGCATCTATGGGCCAGCACAAATTACAACATTCCATGCATGCAAAAGACAATCCACCAGCCCATGTAACTTGTATAGCGGCACAAGCAGGCGCCCGCCAGCGGGCTTCTGCATAGTCATCGTCAGGCGTTCAACTCTTTTCAGCATGGGCCGGCAGCAAACAGTTACAACATTGCAAGCATTTCCAAGGAGAATCACCAGCTGGTGAAGCATGCGCAGCAAGCAGGAGGTGGCCGCCAGAGCGCGGGATGGCGCCGCTGGCGCCGCCGCCGCGCCAAATGAGCGCCTCACACCGCCCGGCCGCTCTCGACGCTCTGCTTGATCTTTGTGATCGCCTTGCTCGGGGAGAGGCCCTTCGGACATACCACGCTGCAATTGCCAATGGTGTGGCACCTGCGAGAACAGCGGGGCGGGGGAGATGGGCACAGGCGCCGCCGAGCGAGTGCCGGGCGGCGCCCTCACAACACCCTCGCAACTCCACCCACCGGTACAACTTCCACTGGTCGTTCACGTTGCGCAGGCGCTCCTCGGTGAAGTCATCGCGGCTGTCGATGATCCACCTGCAGCCATGCGCCGGCGCCCGCCCGGTGGGTGCGGCCGCCCCGGAGCTGAAAGGCGCGGGCAGCGGCCCGACGTCCCACCTGTAGGCCGCCAGCAGCACCGCGGGCCCCAGGTACTTGTCCGAGTTCCACCAGTAGGAGGGGCAGGAGGTGGAGCAGCAGGCGCACAGGATGCACTCGTACAGGCCGTCCAGCTTGGCGCGGTCCTCCTTGGTCTGCAAAAACTCCTTGCCGTCGCTGCGAAACAGAAAACCATGGCACGTCAGTTGGGAATAGGAAACCCCATGGCACGCCACCCCCGGCTCACGGCTTGGGCTTCGTGGTCTGCAGGTAGGGCTGGATGTGCTTGTACTGCGCGTAGAAGTTGGCCATGTCCACCACCTGGCAAGGGGGAAAGGGCAGCAGGATGTCAGGCAAGGCCGCTGCCGCTGCCGTTGAGCCAGCCGCCACCCACTCACCAGATCCTTCACCACAAACATGTGCGGCAGCGGCGCGATGCGTGACACCTTGCTGGCATCGCGGTCCACCTGCAGCACGCGGGGCAGGACGGGGTGATGGCAATGGTACGGGAGACGCATTCGGCGCGAGCCTGCTGGTCCTCGCACACTGCATCGCTGGCCCACAAACCCGCCACCAGCCCAGGCGTGCACCTTGGTGAGGCAGGCTAGGCCGTTGGTGCCGTCCATGTTCATGGCGCAGGAGCCGCAGATGCCCTCGCGGCACGACCGCCGCAGGCTCAGCGTCTGGTCCTGCTCATCCTTGATCTTCAGCAGCACGTCCAGCATCATGGGGCCGCACCTGCAGCGATCGAATGCCGGGTGGTTGGGGGCGGCAGGCGGCACGCAACTACGGCATCGCCGACACCGTGGGCTACGTTACGTATCGCAGTGCTGTGCATGCCGCGATGATGTTGCGTCCCCCTCAATGCAGGCGCCACTCACGCGTTGATGTCCACCTTGTAGGAATCGTACTTGGGCGCCTGTCCATCATCTGGGTTCCTGCAGCAGCAGCACGCAAAGCAGGCAGTAAACGCCCGCCCACCCACCATCCCGCTTGTCATCCCGCCCGCCCAGACCCCACACCCACGGGCGGATCGCTAGGCCTCCTCAGCTCGCTGCTGATCGTTCCGGGGAGCCGGCCCAGCGCACCAACGGTACACCAGGAACTCCTTCTCCACCACAGCCTTGCCGCCGGCCGCCGCGCCAGGAGCTGCCTGGGTGGCGCTACCCCGCGCCAGCTGCTGCACCTCTGGCGTCAGCAGCTGGCTGCTGCGCTGCAGACCCCGTCGCAGGGCCTGCATACTGGCGGGTTTGGGCGCCCTGCTCGGCACTGCCGACAACCCTTGACACAGGGCCTCCGGTGCAGGCTAGGGCATCAACCACGTAAACCCGAGTTACGACAGGCGGTCATGGGGCCGCTATGTGCATTGCGCTGGTGGCTTCTGCTGAGCTGGCCTCCCGCCCCGCACCCGCATCCCCATATTCAGCAAGAAACACACTTCTACCAGACAGGCCTGTCCATGCATTATACGCTGCAAGCCTTCGTCGTTTGCGGCACCACGACACGCCTCCACCTGCGCAAACTCTGTCGACATGCTCTGCAGTGCACGGCCCAGCGCGCTGCCCAAACTGCAGCAGGCAACCAGCCCGCATTGGGCCGTGCTTCAGCCCTCTTCCCATGCTGGCCCCCCGCGCCGGCTCGCCGCCGCCGCCGCCCCTCGACGCACCGGTCGCCGCCGGCTCGGGGCACGCGCTCGTGCCCAAGCAGAATATCAGGCAAGGCCTTTTTGTTTTCTGTGTGAGCACTTCGACATGTGCATGCTTGACGGATTGGTGCGTTCGTCTGCCCCGCAGGACCTGCTGAGCACGCTGCAAACGCTGGGCGACGATGAGCTGGCAGAGTGGGCGGCGCAGCACCGCCAGCGCCTCACCCTCCCCTTTCTGGGCTGGCTCAGCGATGAGGAGCTGGCTGCCTCCTCCGCCGACCCCGACCAGCAGCAGCGACTTTGGGAGCTGGGCAGCAAGCTGATGGCACTGCGCGAGGGGCTCTCGCCGGTGGGCAACGAGGTGCTGCAGGCAGAGCTGCGCGCCGCCGCACTTCGGTGCAGCTGCAGCGGATCAATGGACGACGGCGATGATGACAGCGGCGACGAGGAGGAGGGGAATGCAGGCAGCACTGCCGGCGCAGGCGAGGATGCGCAGCGGCAGCAGCAGCAGGCGGCACTGGCAAGCCCCGCGTTCAGCTCTGCGGTGCAGCAGATTGCCGCATTGGGGCTCAGCCCCGAGGGGATGGTGCTGTTCCAGCAGCAGGCCGCGGCGCTAGCGGCGGTGGTAGGCGTCTCGCGGGCGCGTTCCCTGACCGAGGTCGTTGGTCGGGCCAAGGTGCAGTCCCAGCGACAGCTGCACAGCATGGCCGAAGCTGATGCTGCGGTGAGCCGTGTTGGCCTTGTTGGCCAGCCTGCTCCAACACGTGGCCTGTCGCTGTGAGGCAGCCAGAGCGTTGCATGAACGACGGCAAAACCTCCCCACCTGCTCAACCCCTCCCTTCACTCTTCTTCTTGCTGCGGACTTCTGGCCAGCACTGCAAGCCGGCTCGTGGCCTGGTTGCCAGCGACTGTGTCGCTGCTGAGGCAGACCTTGACCCGCTGATTCCTGCTTGCAGGTACGGATTCTGGATGTGCTGCTGAGCGTGCCGGAGCGAGTGGAGCGTGCAGCCTTGCTGCCAGATGCCTTCACGCCTTCTGCCAGCCGTGCAGGTGAGCGGAAAGCCAGAGGAGGGCACGTGGCAGGAAGTGGGCACGCTTGCTCGGGGGTCTGCATTCTGCCACGAAGCTGCATGCTGCTGCCATCCTTGGGAGCTGATGCTGGCCCTCTCCATGCATTGATCTGCCCAACTCCTCTCACAGATGTGGATGATGATGCAGCCTACTTTTCGCCGGATGAGGATCAGGTGTACACCACCCCGCTGCGCCTCCTGCACGCCATCGACCTCTACCTGGCGCGCCTGCGCGGCAGCAGCACTCCAGCAGGGCAGCATGTTCCAGCACTAGTCAGTGGCGGGCTGGGCCTCTCGCTTGCACAGCTAAAGGTGCGCTCGTCATGCGCATGCGCACTGGCAATGAGTTGAGGGGCGCTCCACCCACCCATCGAACCATATATTGCAGCCCCTCACTGTCTGCTGCTCTGCAGGCTGTGCTGCTTGAGCTACGGGAGGACGTTGAGGCATATGCACTGGGCGGCGAAGGCGACTCTTGCTGATGCAGTGCGTCGCTGCTGGATTTCTCACAGATGGACAAAAATAGCAGTTTGTGCAAGGATAGCAGTTGCAATGCGCAAACATATCAATTCGGGTCAAACAACACTGCTGTGATGAGACAGGTGATTAGAGAGCTTATGGAGCGGGGCAGCTGGGGATGTGACAGATTCACAGAAATAGATTAGGCAGGGAGGGGAGGGGCGGGAGGCACGTGAACCCTCAGCACGCCAACCAGAATAGCAGACAAGATGATTTCTGCCTTGACAAGTACAGATGCAAGGGAAAGGTGCTCAGGTTTAAATGCCACAGCCACATACAGCAGAAGCAGAATGGAAAAGGTAAGCAAAAGTACGATTGGCAACAGCAACAGCACAATTGCAGTGGCCAGGAGCAGGAACAGCTGTGCTAGAAGCACGCCTGCTACGAGTGCACACATGGACACTTGTTGCAGCCAGGTTGACTCGGGGGCATAACGCACGCGCAATGCCTGCTGGTGGCCAAGGGACATAAACACAATTGAATTGATGATGTTGACGCAACGAGGCATATAATTTCGCCGCTCGCTCCACACACACACGCCGCTTGGTTGCCCTAAGATCACGGCGATGACGGTAAGCATCGACACAGTGCACGCATCCCATCGTAGGCGGCGCAGGCGCTCGGGGTGGGCGGCATTCAGCAGCCTGACGCCGACACTCGTCACCCGCGTGTGTGCCATGCTGCAGGAACGATGGGAGGCACATTAGCAAGCTGGATTCCGGAGACTGATGCATGTTTGGCATGGTCAGGACGGACGCGCGCAATGAACTCACTTGATGCTGTGCAAGCTGCTCATCGCTGCGAGTTGACTGCAGCAGGTGTCATCGAACTGGGTGCCGCTCACCCCAAGTTCACGCAAGCGCACCAGGTTCGACAGGTGGGCAAACTGGCCGGCAGGCATCTGCAGACCAAAGTTTTGCGTGGTTTCCATGGCAGGGTTTCCCTGCAAATCCAGGCATCAATCAGACGGCCGCAGATTGCAAACCTTGCTGGTGCCAAGACGCAGGCAAGTCAACTGCGTCAGCTCCCAGAGGAATGAAGCACTGCCGCTATCCAGCCTGACAAGCGACAGGTCCAGGGCGTGGAGGTTCTTGAAGTGCTCTAAGAATGTCAGCCCAGCAGCTGTGATGTTAGATCTGCCTGCCAGGTTCAGGCTCGTTAGCTGGCAAAGGGATGCCAGGTGCGCGGCGCCACCATCGCCCACAGGTTCATCCAGCTGGGGCTGCAACACAGCGTGCACGAACGATCAGAGATGGCACACGACAGAAGATGGAGCGTTACTATGGAGTAGCATCTCAGCAGCTCACCCTCCAGCAGGACAAGTCAAGGTCCCGCAATCCAGTCAATCCAGCCATGTGCTGCCAGCCATGGTCGGTCACCGCTACAGCCTCAGGAATCCGCAGCTGCAAGGGATATATGCAAGTGTAGCCACTTCCCTCACCCTGTTGCAATCAACTGCTACAATTCAGTGCTGCAACATTTGCTGCAGCGCCTGCTGCTGTTCCCTTCACCTGCGTGAGCGCCGTCAGTGCCGAAAACTTGCTGACGATTCCGTTGGTAACCTCTGTCCCACATAACAGATCGAGGGATTCCAGCTTGATCAAGGAATGCAAGTGTAAGTTGGTTAACCCATCTAGCCCATGCTTCCTTTTCACTGCAATTCGCAAGAATGCCACTGGCAGTTATTCACAACGCACAAACAAGCACATGATTGGTCCCGCAACCAAATGCAGCAAGATGCAGGTTTTGCTCACCCGACAGCTGCCGCATGCGGGGCAAGAGGGCAAGGGACTTGAGGGAGGGTGTAGCGGCACTGCAGCTTTCAACCTGCGAGTACGCAAAAGGTCTATATCAACGTGTGTCAAACAGATGCATGGCACCTGCTCTGCGCACGCATCTGCACTGCGCAGACGGGCGTCAACTGGCGACCCGCCCCTCACATGCAGCCTGTGCAGGTTTGTCTGTGCCGCGATGGCATTGTCAAGCTCCTCCGGCGTGGAGCCCAGGACCTCGACCAAAAAAAGCTCTGCAAGCTTGAGGCTATGCAGCCCAGTGAGAGAGGCTCCCTCCTTGAGGTTGCACACTCTGCACATCATGGAAGGCAAGTTCTGTGGGTGCACAGCTGGCAGGCGGGTTGATCAACTCAAGTGCAGACGGCGGCACCTGAGGTGGAGCGCGGTGAGGCGAGGGAGCGACTGAGTGATGCATTGCAGGGTCACATCTGTGAGATCCATGCGGAGAAGTGATAGCGATGAAAGATTGGGAAACAAACAAAGGCGCTGGTCGAGGCTCTGGGGTGTGGAACGAGTGCTGAGGGCTTGAGTGCTGAGCTGCACAGCTTGCCGCCACGTCCGGGACACCAGGTGCGCTGGTTGCAGGTCTGCTGGTTGGAGGTGCCGCAAAATGTGCAGCAGCACGTGCTCATCCAAGCAGCTGAACGCCCACGGCGCCGGCGGCAGCGGCGGGGGGCGGCGGGCTATCAAACACCCTGGCCCCTGCCGCTTGTCGTGCATTCGTATAGCCGCTAAAAGGTGAAGCGATGCTGTGAGGCCGCCAGCAGAGTGCAGGCCCAGAAGAATTGCCCTATGGAGGTGTGTGCCCGCAAGGAGGGCGGCTCCACGATGTGGAAATTCAATTGAGCCAGAAGTCAAGATGCACAGATATCTTCAAGAGGAGGCTTTGGTGAGCAAGAGGAGGGGCAGGTGGAACCCTAGGGGCGAAGGGCAAACACAGAAAGGAGGCAAAGTGCTACGCCGTAAGTGCACAGCAATGCTGTGGTTTGATCTATTCTGCGGCCGAGGGCTTCAACTCAGGAACTCAGCAGTACAGGGCCGGTCCGCAGTGCACTGCGCTCTGGCGATAACATCTGTGACTTTCATCCTTCTCTCAATTGCCTGTCGTTTGGGCCATGTGATGGCCATGCTGACCTCGCTGCGTCGCCTTGCCAGCAGCAGCAGAGGCCTGCGCCAGGCTCGGCCTCTGTGCAGCGGCATAACGTACGGGGCCAGCGATGCAGACGTGGATGCGCTCATTGAGGAGAGCCTGGTGTGCCACCGCCACCTGCCGCCACTGCCGCCTGCTGCGCCTCTGCTGTGCGAGGTAGGGACCGCGCTGGCTGAACGCCATTGGCCAGCCGCTGTCGCAGGACAAGACCGCCCAGCGCAAGCGAGAGGACGAGTCGCCCTTCCGCCTGCTGACCACCCGACGAGAGGCGCTAGCGCTGTACCGCGAAATCTGGCGCATTTCTGCCCTGTTTGACTGGCCTGATGAGAAGGGGCGCCTCTGGTGCGAAGTGCGCAGTGGGCTTGAGTGATGCCAGTAACCAGGAATCAGTAAACGGCGCCAGCAGCTGCCCATGCGTTACACTCGGTGCATGGCATGGCTGCTGCAGGCGGGACGTGCTGCGGGAGAGTGCACGCCAGGAGTTTGAGGCGGCGCGATGTGAGGTTGACCCGGAAATAGTGAGTCGCAGTAGAGCTGGCTGACCTGTGTGACAAGGTCCGCCCCGCCTACCTTTCAGTCCCGCACCTTCTCTGTAACCTTCTCCATTCCTTGCCTCCACCTCAGGTCAACCGCCTGCTGGTGGTCGGGCGCGATGCGATGCACCAGGTGGCAGAAAGGTTCCTGGCCAAGCGGCGCAAGATGCTGGAGGACCAGGACGCGGCGTGGCGGGCAGCAGGGCAACCCCCGGCCTTTCCGCCCTCTGGTAGCTTTGACAGATGACGCCGCGATGCTCCAGTTCTGACCCCTTCATCAAATGCCAATCCCTACCCTTCAATTGTATTAGCTGTTCTTACACGTATGTTGTACAGGTACTTGCATCTGGCCGGGAGGTGCAGAACGAGGTGCACAGATGTTTGATGGCTGTCGTGGCATGTATGCATGAGTGGGCACGAGATCAAAGCACCCAATTAATCCAGAACGTAAGTGAGGGGAGTGCTGAGCGGTGCAGGGAGTAGCCTGCGTTTTTGGGGGCCGAAAAGAAGAGAGAGGGATGACCTTATGGGGCGGGCGCTCAGAGACGAACCACGCGCCACAAAGAGAATGCGGAACCAAAGCCACCGCCGCTTCAAAAGAATGGTGGGTAAGCGCGGCTGGTGGGGTAGCATGCATGGGTGTGGCATGATTCGTTGAGAGGGGGGGCTGGAAAATTGATGAGACAATGCAGCTCCCGGTTTGATGTGGGCAACTCATCAGGCTGGCTCAAAATACACGCTGCTTCGAGGCTCCGAGAGAGTGGGAAGAAGGGGTGTGTACTGGGGGGGCCGCACAATGATGGGGGGCACGCCTTCCCGAAAAGTGCGTCTTGTCTACGTACACGGCACCACACCAATGCTGCAGCCACAATGCGAGCCAAACCGGGCGCTCAGTGTTTGTATGCCGTTGGAATGGTGATTGGATTGCCGGCTGCTGCTGCCGTGGCCGCCTCCAAGCTCTCCAGCGCTGCTGGTCCGCCCTTTTCCAATGCCAGCACGGTGGCGATCTGCGGTTGGAATGGGCAGCACAAAATGCAGCGTCGGTCCAACGTCCGCCTCTGACTTCGAGCAAAGGCCGCTTCATTCATCAGGCAGCATGTTGCTCGCTGATTTTGTCAAGCTCCAGCTGCAGCGTCGCACCTGATACACATCTGGGTAGAAGGGGTAGGACTGCACAATGGCGCGTGCCTTCTGCAGCGGCGACAGAATGGTCTTGAACACGGTGCCAATGAACTCCATGCCTGCCAGATGCTCCTCCTGCAAGTTGGCCTTCAGCTCTGACGTGCACTCGTTCACCTGCGCATCATCAACAAACGAGTCAGGCAGCACACAAGGCCATCAACAGCAGTAACAGCTGAACTGCAAAGCGAAGCAGCTCATCAGCCGTGGGCGCACCTTGAGCGTCTCGCTGATCACACTTTGCAGCGCCATCATTCGGTCGGGGATGTTGACCATCTGCAGCTTGGCCAGGATGCCGCGACGCTCCTCCATCACCTTGGTCATGCGGCGCAGGAAGATGGCACGCAGGCTCACAATCTGTGCGCGCTGGTCGTGGCTGCAGTGGGGGGAGGCGGGACGAGAAGGAGGCGACAGGGACAAGATGATCTCAGTGCCAAATGGAACGACACCGCGACGCTGCTGTCCAGTCTGCCCGAGTAAACCTCAGTACAAGGCTGCCTACTGCAGCGCACTTTCTGCGACCCCGCTGTCAAACAAGCGCTGCATGCCGCACCTGAGCTGCAGGCTCTGCGTGACGGCAGCCCAGCGGGTGCGATCCTCTGCTGTCACGCCGCTGCGCCCGTCATCTAGCGTAGCCGCGATCAGCTTCTGCATGTTGGTCGGGTGCAGCACCGCCGTGTGCATGCATAGCTGTCCCGCCGAGTCCAGCACCTGGCACAGCGCATTCATGGCTGCCTGGTGCCGCGTGTCGTTGCTGTCGGGGCAGCCCTCAATCTGCGGCCAAGTGACAGGCGAGGCAGAGCACGTAGGTTCAACTGCGCACGCCGCGCAGCAATGCCTGCTCAAATGCGAACCCATGCTGGCCCCTCGCAAACAAACAATCCACACACCGCGGTGCCTCCCCACATTCGTCGGATTGGCTCGCACCTGTACCAGAATGTTCCCCAGCTCCCGCACCGTCTCCTTCCACCGCCCAATGACCACATCCGAGGGCATGCCCTTGACCGCCTTGATCTCCGACGTCGTCAGCGGCCCGGCAGTGGTGCCCAGCGTAAGTGCCCCAGCGCCACTCGCGCCACCAGTCAGTAACTTCTGGTTGCTGGATTGCAGGTAGTGATTGCCCAGGTCAAACACCTGCACCAGGTTGCAAGGCACAGGGGGAGCACATCAGCAAGCGTAGCAACTCCCCAGCTGCTACCAAACAGCTGCAGCCAACATGCACTCAGCATGAGGTTCACCAACAAACACGCTCCATGGGAACACATCGCGACACTGATTGTTTAAACTGCCACAGGAGGGCAGATATTGTGCGAGCCGCGCGTACCTGCTGCTCATCCTGCAGCATGCGGATATGCTCGTCGCGCAGCGCCAGCACCTTCTCCAGGATGGTGTTGCGGTTCTTGAGCGAGTTATTCTCAACCCGCAGCTTGCTCAGCTCCGAGCTCATGTCCTCCAGCTGCTCCCCCATGTCCTTCATCTTGGCTTTCTGCAGGCAGGAAGCGGAAGCCGTGTGGGACACACGTGTGCGCCCAGAGTGGGCTGTGCACGGGCCAAGGGTGTGCAGCCAGGCAGGGGGCTCCCGTTGAACATTCCATTCCAATCAATCAAACACCGATGCAGGCAAGTCCCAGTCCCTGATGGCAAGATCACAAGCTGCTGGCACGAGTGCGCGACTGCCAGCTGGCGCCGTCGCAGCCACCCACCTGGCGCTCTCGGAACCGTTTCTGTGCCCGCCGATTCTTCTCCTGCACTGCTGCTGCCCGCTGTTCCGCCGACTTCTTGCCGCCCCCCGCGTGCGCCCCGCCACTGCTGTCCCCAGAATCGTCGCCGCCGCCGCCGCCGCCGCCGCCGCCGCCCATCTGGTTCAGCCCGTCCGGGAGGACTATGCTGCTGAACAGGTTGGCCGAGGGTGGCGGAGCAGGGAAGCCACCAGGCATCGCGTTGCGGTAGGGGATTTGGGCTTGCATGAGGAGCGGGTCGCTTAGCGCCCCGGGTTGCGCCTGGCCGAAGTAATTCTGCACGGGAACGGCGGCCGGGAGGGCAGGGAGGGGGTGGAGAGGGCCCGGCAGGGCGAACCGGGGCAGGAACCTGCGCGCAGGTTTCCCGGCGCACCTGTAGGCCGTCTAGATCCAGTCCCCCAGCGTCTCCGGGCAGCCAGTTCATGTCCACGGCGCCCTCCGGCTGAAGGGCAGCCATTGCGGCGCAGCACCAAGGAGAGGCCTCTGGCAAGTCTGTCTGGCTGTGTGGCCCGTTGACAGTATGTTTTGGAGCCCAACACAACGAGTGATTTGCAGGAAGGAGCAGCGGGTATGACCTGATGATGTCACAGGGCAATAACCACAAAAGAAACGATCTTGGCAGCAGGTTCGCCGGGCCCATCTGGGTTCGGCCAGCGGCGCAGATGGGCTCAAGCCCGCCAGGAGAAACCTGCCTGCCGCCGCCGCGGCTGCCGCCACCCTTCCGCCGCTGCGGCTGCCGCCACCCTTCCGCCGCTGGAGTCCGGCCGTGTTTTCGCGCGCGCGCGCGCACACACACACACACATCAATGACAAAACATGGGTGGCGGCGCTTGTTCTGGGATATTCCCCTTTTCAAAGTTGGCCGCGGTCCACGCCGCCGCCTGCACGGAATCCATCTCTCCCGCTCCTGCTCCTGCCGAGGATGCCGCCACGCCCGTCTGCTCCTGGCCTGGCGTGGCTGCTGCCATGCCGGGAGACACTGCCAGGGCCGGCTGCCCAAATGTGCCGCCGCGGCTGCCGCCACCAAAGGGGCTGCCTGCCGGGGCTGCAAGCGCGCCGGCGGGGGCCTGGTGGCCAAACGGCGTGCTCCCAAATGCCGCCTGCCCAGCCGGCTGACGGAATGGGGTACTGGCAAAGCCAGTGGCGGGCTTGTGCTGGCCAGACACCGGCTTGCTGGCGTTCACGGCACCAAAGGCGCCGCCAAAGCCAAAGCCGCCACCTGCCACTGCTGCCGCTGGCTGCTGCTGCCCACCGCCGGCCAAAGCCGGCTGGTGCCCAAAGCCAGCAGCGGGCTGCACTAGCTGACCAAAGCCGCCTGTTGGTTGTGCTGCCTGCCCAAATCCTGCCTGACCAAAGGCAGCAACTGGCTGAGCAGGCTGCCCTGCAGGCTGGGAACCAAAGCCTTGCGTTGCTGGCTGCCCGCCAAACCCGCCGACGCTTGTGCTGAAGCCTCCGGGCACGGCCACTGCAGGCGCTGCATCCTGCAGCCCGCTGATGGTGGCAGAGGGCGGCTCAAGGTCTGGGCCGCCCAGGCTGGGTGGCTTGGATGCGCGCAGCAGCTGGTTGAACAGCTGCGCCCGTGCCTGCTCCGCCGCCTTGAACTCTGCTGCCAGCTGTGCGCCGGGCAGGCCGTGCTGTGCGGCCTGCATGTTGGCCCACCAAACTTCTTCGGGGCTGATGTCACCTGCGAGATCGTTGGGCGCCTCCCGCTCGTGCGCATAGCAGGTTAGCACCCAACGCGGCCGCTCATCCTGCAGGTCGGCCCGCGCCACCTCCCGCCATGACGTCTCCTGCTGCCTGTGGGCCGACCGGCACGCAACAGGCGAGCAATGTGGCGGGCCATTGCAGCGGCGGGAGAGCAGCGTGGGGCAAGCTGCAAACAGGCGCCTTTGCACCCTATCACTCCCTTGCTTTCCAGCAAGCAAGAGACCCAGCAAATCAGCTGGGTTGGCATGCTCGCCTGCCGCCTCGGCCAGCGCCTCGGCCGCCTTGCTGATAGCCAGCGCCTCGTCCGCCTTGCTGATAGCCGCCGCCGCCGGCCCCCTGGTATCCTCTTCCTTGCTGATAGCCTCCGCCACCTCCATAGTTGCGGTTGCCGCCTCCACCAGGACGGGGCTGACTGCCGCCCCACCCGCCACCGCCACCGCCGCCGCCGCCACCACCCTGCATCGCACAGGCGGTGCATACCCCGGTGTCAGGTGGCGTGCTGCTGCCTCCGAAAAGCATAAGCCAAGCCAAACCCTTGGTCTCAAGCCAAACCCTCAGCCTGGGAAGCGCGCCTGGTAATTACCACCCCCGCCCCCTCCTCCTCGCTGATAGTCGTTTCGACCCATCAAAATCAAATAAGCTGCTCTCCTCCGTTTGGCGCGGCTACAGGCTGGTTGGGGTACACCTGTCCTGCCGACGCACTTCGGCGAAAGCTGGGCTGCGCCTCTCGTCTGTTTGGTTGCAACCCTCATCGGCGTCTGCGCATGGTGCACCTCTGCCTGCGCCGGATTTGTTGGGAGCCCAACAACAGTTCGCGACAGCAGAGGTATGCGGCGCTGCTGGAGTGAACTGCTCTTGTCTTGCCCACGTGACTATATGCTAGGGTGCGCTCCGCATCGCCCAGCCCGTGCCCGCCTCCCCCTCTTGCCCCGCAGCCGGCGATAGGCGGCAGACGCCGCACTCCCGTTGGACACTTTCACTGGGGACGTGGCAAGCAAACTTGACAGCAGTCATTGGGCCGGCCTTCATGCCTCCCAGGCTGTTCCTCAATGTCAACGCCAGCGTGCAGAGCTTCCGCCCAGGAGGCGCTGGCGGGGGCAGCGGTGCGAGCGTCGATGACGACGCCAGCCGGACGCTGCAGGCACCCTCCATCGAGATTGGGCCCAGTGGCACGCTGAAGCTGTTCAAATCCTTCCAGGCCTTTGAGTTCAACCCTCTGGGCATGACGCGCAACATGACTGCACCGTTAGCCACGGGCGCCGCGGCGATGCAGACGTCATACAAGGTGCGACTTGGTGTTAGACAAAGGTGCTGCTGCCCAGTAGGATGCACATTGTTATACCATTGGCATGCTTGTGGTGCCCCTGCATGCCCTGCCTGTGCCCCGCCCACTTTGGACAGCAGCGCCATGCGTGCAGATTTCAGAGCATGACGTGCGCATTGTGCGCACGCTGGGCAGCGGCGCCAGCGGCGTGGTGCAGAAGGCCTTTCTGCCACGCGAGTCTCGCTTCGTGGCGGTGAAGAAGATCAGCGTGCTGGAACGGGACAAGCGCCACCAGCTGATGAACGACATCAAGGCGCTGTGCAACGCCCCGGTCATGGATGGCCTCATCCGCTTCTTTGGCGCCTACCACTCTGCCGACCGCGGCCAGATTGCGGTGGTGCTGGAGTACATGGATGGCGGCAGCTTGGCGGACGTGGTGCAGCGGGTGCAGCGCATCCCGGAGCCCGTGCTGGCGGGGATCACCGCCCGCATCCTGCCCGCCCTTGCCTACATGCACTCACGACACATGGTGCACCGCGACATTAAGCCCGCCAACATCCTCATGTCCACCGACGGCCAGCCCAAGGTGTCCGACTTCGGCATCAGCGCGTTCATGGACAACACCATTGCGCAGGTAGGGGTGGTGGTGGCGGGGCTTGAAGCGGTGGGGCAAGGGGCGAATGTGCCCCGTCCTCCCTGGTGCATCAGTCTCAATGCCGCACGATTGCCTTCTGCCGATACACACCCACCAGCACCTGCGCATGCCTCCCTGCCTCAGTGTCACACGTTTCTGGGCACGGTGACCTATATGAGCCCGGAGCGCATCAACGGTGAGGCTTACTCCTTTCCTGCCGACATCTGGGCGCTAGGGCTGACGCTGCTGGAGTGTGCCACCGGCAAGTATCCATATGACGCCAGCGGTGGAACCATCCAACTTATGATTCAGGTGCGAGTTTGATTCTGGGGCAGAGCGCTGCGTAGGGCTTGGATGGATGCGCTGTTGATGGCGGGCGGGAAGGCAGCAGTGCTTGATGATTGCACGGTGGCTGGCAGGCAATGCAGGCAGCTGCTTTGCTGCACCACATTTTGCTGGCAATGCGTGGTCGTCACCGCATGGAGAGGTTGTGCACTGCCTTGCTTGCCTGCTGCCCCCATCGAACCTGGCTTCCTCCATGCCTCCTCTTACCCTGACACAGCTAATGGAGGAGGACTGCCCGCTGCCACCGGCGGGCCAGTGCTCACCGGAGCTGCGCGATTTTGTGGCACAATGCATGCGGAAAGATCCCTGGCAGCGCCCCACAGCGGAGCAGCTCATGCAGCATCCGTTCATCACACAGCGAGGGTGCGGCCACCGCCCGTGGTGGTGCTGCTGTTGCAATTGCTGCATGCCGCAGCATGTTGGCGATGCGTTCTTGCGCTGCAGAAGCACATTTCCTGCAATTACCTGGCGAACTGCAAGCACACTGGTTTGACTGGGCTGTGTGTTCGCTGGACTATGGGTTGCAGGCAGCCGCCAGCAGACCTGCGGACGTTCATGCGCAGCTGCATGTACGACGCGGCGGAGAAACTGGAAGATGCGGTGGCAGTGCTGACCAGCCGCTTCTACAACAACTTGTCATACAACTGGCGGGACAGCGACAGCATAGCGGCCTACTATGCCTCTGATGCGGTGCGGGGTACTGCTGCTGTTGGCCATGCGAGTTTTGTTCTTGTGCTGCTCTAGGAGGGAGCCTTCTAACCTTTGCCATTGGCTTTGACACATTGGCATGCCTGCAGCAACTGTGCTACTGCGGGGAGAAGCTGAAGGGCCGCTACACCATCGCCAAGCACTTCCATGGTCTCATGCGCCAGGTGTCGGCGCTGGGCGACATCGTACTGGTGGTGGATAGGGTGGACCACCAGCCGCTGCAGGGCTCGGTGAGTGGATGTAAGAGGGTGGTCAGCTGCTGTTCAACCAGGTGGCAGGCACAGTCCTCCCGTGGCTGCCACACCATTTTTTAAACCTTCTCGCAATTGCCAGCCATTTACTTGCCATGCTGGATCACCATGCCACTGCTGTCCCTGGGCCCCATTGCTCATTCCAGGTTGACACTGTGCTGATCCAGACACGCGTGTCGGTGGTGCGCGAGGCGCCCAACAGCAGCAGCGGCGGCAGCGGGGGTGGCAGCCTGGCAGACGACTCGGAGGTGCTGGGCACTCTGGCAGACAGCTTGTGCGTGCGGATAGCCTCGGTGGACAACATGCTGCCTGGCAGCGGCTTCCAGCTGCACAGCCATCTGTGCAGGTGGCTCAAGCCGATTGTGGCATCAACCAAGCGTGGCGTGCTGGGTGCCAAGCAGTGCCGTGTGCAGTAGCAGTCGCAGTGAACTCCATTAGCTTCTTGGCAAGGATGCATCGTAACAACACTTACTGTTCTGTTCTTCGCTTCGCCTGTTCTTCTTGGCTAGATGCACCAAGTTGAGCCATGTGCGTGTATTGCATTGGTCTGGCACCATCAAATAAGAGCACAAAGCTTGCCCAAAACAGCGGAGCACAGAGACTGAGCAAGGGGATCCACCAGCGCTGGCAACACGAGGCAATTGTGTGAGTCAAGTTACGCACGCAAGCGGCTGATTGTTGCAGCAGTGAACTAGAAGTGAACGATCAGTCAAGCATCAGTGCTACCGGCATGCCAAGTTCCTTGCTGGCTCCTACAGCATGATCAGGCCAACTTTGTTGGACGGCATCTCCTGTGCCACACGCCAGTTAAAAAGGTAATAACGCAGCTTGCCATCGCCAATCCCAAACTTGAGCTCTGTGGAAGGCACGGAAGGAAGTGGGTAGATGTCAAGCGCAATGCGCAGGGGACCAAGAGATCGAATGTCTGCCGCATTCAAAGGACCGACCAGGCACCATCGCATCGGCCTACCCTTGAGGATTTTCTCATTCTCAAAGATGTCAAGTGCATTAAACACATCATGCCCCGTGGCATGTGCCAGGATCAGCGCGTCGTTCATCAGCTGTGGCAGCGGCGTGGCTGCTGGAACCGTGTAAAACATGTACGCCGCCTGCAATACAGGTGGGCAGCAGAAAGTCGTGGAACACATTCCGAATTGCCCTGGTGAATGGTGAGTAGATGGTGCTGTGCAGTGTGGTCCCACTTAAAAAGAGCAGCAGTCATGACGCAGCGTGTACCAGCATTAGCACCACGCATATGCGCCAGGATCCCACCTCACCTTGAGGTTGTCGTACTGCTCGTTGCCAATAACAGAGCTGGGCAGGGTGTAAAAACTGAGCAGGTCGGTGAGACGGCCATCTGGTGCTTCAACCACGTACGTGTGCACTACGTCAGGCTGTGCGGCGGGAAAAGACGCAGGAGACGGCACGCTGAACCAGCAGGAGGGAGGGCATACTGGGCACCAATGGTAGCAGGTGAGCACAAAACAACCAAATGGTCCAGTGAAGAATTAGGTGCACATCTGCAGCAAACCTGGTAGGACAGCCAATGCCGCACTTCTTCCTCATCTAGCACCGGCGCAATGGCGTAATCCTTCAAATATGCAGCCAGAAGTGTTGCTACCTGCGCATGACAGGATGCGGGCGGGGGGCTCGCTGATCATAGAACTGCTTGACTTGCAGAGGTGGCGTTTGTGTGGCAGATGTATCGTGAGCAGTTGCTGTAGCCCGCTATAGCATTTGCCGCACTTGCCTGTGGCACATCCCGTGCCTCCATCTGCCTCATCCCGGGCGTCTGTGGCTGCTTCGGCAACTTGTACAGCTTGAGCGTGCGCGCCATCGTCATGCGTGGCGCCAGGCGGCTGCAACCAATCAGTGCATACAGGGTGGCTGGTGGTGCAGGACAACAGCCTCACGGCAACGCATGGCCATCAACACCCATTTGTGCCGCAAGCCGCACCTAAACCCTATGCTGATGAGTTTTTTGGGGTTAAGCGAGCGGTGCCAGTACTGGCATTCTGCTACTGGCTTGGGAAGCAGCACGCCTGCGGTGTAGACAGCCTGCCAGATGTCGTGCAGGTTCACTCGCCGTGTGATCTCCTGCCGCAGGGGGATGGCAAGCCAGGGCGATACAATGGAAGTGGAATAGCAGCTCCAAACCCAGATCTAAACTTTGGCAGCAAGCCCTCCCATTGCAGCAGAGGCAAATGCAGGCCCTAGCCGCAGCATGCACGGGCCAGGAAAACAAATCCAGTCACAGACACGGCACCGTGGCAGTGCTCGCCTTAATCAGCACAGGTGCCAGGCGCTTGTGCCGCAGCTTCTTGTGAACGCACAGGAAGTTGATCTCCACGGTCTTCAGGCTGGTGGCATTGACGCGCACGGTGGCAGGGATGCCGGAGATGAAGGCCACAAGCTTGCCGGTGGATGACACGCGCACGCCGCAGTGCCACAACGCCTTGTATCCGGGCGGCTGTAAGGGCAAGCAGGAAGGGTCTCTCTCAACATGAACACCACGCGCCAACTTCAAGAAGGAGACAACTGACAACGCTGCGGAATTCATCGCAGTCCTGCGCATTGTCTGCCCACCCAGCTTCCCGAGCATCTGCACTGTAGGGCGCGTCGCACCCTACACATAGGGTGCCCTCCCCACCTGCAGCGCCCAGTGCAGGAACTCCCTGGAATAGGCAAAGCGGAACATGTTATCATCGTCCTCCACATAGTGCGCGCTGAGCAGCTCGTAAATCTCCTTGAGCTCGCCGTCGTTGTCAATGTTGCAGGTCACCCACTCAAAGCTGCGGGGAGGGAGGGCACACCGAGGCCATCTACGGCTCATCATCTGCGGCAGCACCACCTGCATGCAGTCCCACTTCTGCATTTGGCACCCACTTCTGCGGCAGGCCATAGGGCTCCTTGCGCACATCCGCCACAGTCTTGGGCTTGTCAATGGGCCCATCACTGACCTGTAATGCAGGGCAGGAGCTTGGGGTGGCAGAGCAGTGCACAAGTGGCGGCGCCGCTGCGGCCATCACCTCCAGCGCCCTCCCTCCCACTCTTCCAGCAGGCCCTCACCGACGTGCTGGGCTGCTCGTTGAACTGCGCCACGGGCTGGGTACCCCAGAAAGCGTAGTTCTGCTTGGGCCGCTGCGAGTCGTCCTCAATAGTGATGGCGCCCAGCGCTGCCCGCAGTCGTTCAGCCAGGCCATCCTGCTGCTGCAAGGCACCGGCCGGCGGGTTGTCCGCGCCCGACATGCGCGCGAATGATCCGCTGCCAAGCTTGTGTGTGTGCTGATCAATTTGCAATAGATTCAATCATTCAATGTTTTAAAACACGGATTCAGGGTGTGCCTCGTCATTTACATGTGGCAGTAACCGTGTGCTGCTTACAAAAGTGGCCCAGGCCAGCATTCAGCACAAGAGAGCAAGCAGGAAACAATGGGAAAGGCCATCAAAGGAAAATGCAGGACAGCGAAGGATGGCATTCTGAGTTCCGAAGACACAACATGTTGAGCGTGTAGAGGAAGCCAGCCTGGAAGCAAAGGAAGTTGCAGGCTTGGCCACTCGGCATCCTCAAAGATCAGATGTCAGATGTGAAGAATAATGGGCAACCTGGCCGTCCCGCGAAATCTCCCAGGCATCGCCTTGACCGGGGAACGTCGCAGGGCCACCCGGACGGGTTACCAGTATGTGTTGGTCTCTACCCAGCCCTTGGGCTTCTGGCGCATGCGCAGCTGCATGGGAGGCAGCAGGGCCAGAGCCATCAAAGTGACCACGCTTGGCGAACATGCATGGGTTGCACAGGCCACCGCATTGGCCCCAGCCCACCTTGCGCAGCTCGTCGTAGATGAAGATGCAAAAGAAGAAGGGCAGGCCGCAGCACACATACATGACGGGTGGGGGTCGCGTGTTGAAGACTGAAAGGCAAGGGGTGGGAGGGGAGCGATGCGGGAGGGGACAAGGATGGATTTCAGAATCCGGGACCAAGGTGGCAGCAGTCGATGGCCAGCTACTTGCGACGGAACAGTGCATGTATACCCAGATATCTGCAGACTGCCACTGACCAGTGTTCAGCGGGGGAATGTAGACGACGGCCGAGGCTACGAAGGTCTCGAACAGCAGCGCCCAGTTGAGAACGTTGTTGCGCATGCCCTGCAGATGGGATGGGGAGACAGTGCAACGCTGGGTCCAGAACCAGCAGCTGGATCAAAATAATGATCCTGCCATGCCCTGCACTCCACACCAAGCCAGAACACCCACCTGGTTGAAGATGGACTCCTTGCGGGTCTTGCACACCAGCAGATCAGCCCAGCGCGCGACCACGACTCCCAGAAAGTAGGCCGACTGCGCCATCAGCAGCACGTTCTGCTGGTTGTTCAGGTTGGGCCTGCATGTAGGGGGTGAAAAGGTTGGCGTAGACTGGAAGCACAGAGAAAGTAGCAGCAGCTAGGCTCGTTCTTTTCCGGCCTCACCAGTACTGGGGCAGGCCATTCCACCACCACCATCCGCCCTGCGGTGCCCTGTCCACATCCGAGTTGACGAGGCCACGGCCAGGGAAGCCGTATTGATCGCCGTTGGCCTGGCTGCAGTACTGCTCAAATTGCGTGTTCTCCGCTGCGCTGAGGATGAGCGCATACTGGGCATCCGGGGAGTATCCAAAGGGATTGTTCACATCCACCACGCCTGAAGGCAGTAGGCACACAGCACGCGCCGATCAATGCCTGTGGCAAGAATGGACTGCCAAAAATGCCAGATTGGAACCCACCTGCCGCAACGCGGGCCCGGAAGATGTTGTTCTGCTCAATCAAGAAGTCCGTTTTGGTCCCCAGGCTGCGCCACCAGCTGCAAGTGCGGCCGCACACGGCCTGGATGGAGTCTGAAAGCTGGTTGCCTGCACCAGGCAGGCGGCAGCGGTTTGCATTTCCAGTCAGAGCCCCAGCATCAGCGCAAAGATATATCCAGCCTGGCTTGGCAGATAGGGTGCAGTGGTTCCATCTGGCCAAGGGGACCCACCGGTGGGGAAACCGCGGAACCCAAACTCGGAGAACTCGACAAAGGCGTCGGCAGTGCCGTTGAAGGGGATTTGGCAGCCGGTCTCGCAGAAGAGGTAATCGTCGCCGCGGTCCTTGGCCTGCCCATACAGTGTCGTCTGCCCGTTGAACGTCTCCTGCAAACAGAGGCAGGATGGGGTTCATTGAGTAGGCCCGCCTTCTTCACAGCTTTCAACATATCAAGATCCCAGCTTGCCTGACACATGAGCCACACCATTTTTTAGCAACACAGCGATTGCCACCCACCGGCGGCTCCTCGCAACCAAAGCCACATGTCTTGCTGTTGATGCCCCAGCTGTTGGTGCCCACGGTGCAGATCATGGGGAAGTTGGGCCAGTTGATGCCCAGCCCCAGCAGCGTGTCCCAGTTGTAGCCGTAGTCGTTGAGCACCGCCATGAAGGCCAGGAAGCCAGCGCAGGTCTGCAGCGCAAGGCCAGCCCAGGGCATAGGTTCAGCTTTCGTGTGACGAGCTTTCGTGTGCCGAGGAGGGCAGCAACAAGCGCCAGCGTCCATGGCAGACCGGCTGGCTGGGTGATGGCAGCTAGCAGGCCGGATTCATGAATAGACCAACCTGCATGATGCCGATTTGGAAGTAGGAGAAGGAGATGAGGCGCCGCGACACCAGGCGCTCCACAGCTGGGTTGCGTGGCGGCCGCTGCATGATGTCAGCCTCCTTCGGCTCGTCTGCAGGCGGGGGGAAGGGGGCGGGTGGGTACATTGGGCAAGCAGAATGGACGAACAACAGAGGACCATGTTTGTTTGGAAGCCGCTGGGCACCGCCAGCTGGGCACCGAGCGGAGGGGAGCTCACAGGCCAGGGAGATGGCGGGGAACATGTCGCAGCCCAGGTCGATGGTCAGGATCAGGATGGTGGAGATGGCCAGCGGGAAGTTGATGGCCACGTAGAGCAGGAAGGGGATCTGCGGCGGGAGGGAAGGTGAGACTTTTCACAAGGTGAGCTGAAGGGCAGGTGCCCTCCGCTGCGTATGTGGAAGCCCAGGGTATGTGCAATTTACAGGATGGGAGGCAGTTGGTGCCAGCATGCCCACACCTGCTCAGGGAACTTGGAGGCTAGGGTGTAGGCAATGGATTTCTTCAGGTTGTCGAAAATCACGCGCCCCTCCTCGATGCCTACACACAGCGTGGAGCCAAACCTTTCAGTGGGGAGACCGATTTGAATGTAATCACTGCATCTTGCCAGGCGGTCCGTGACCCACCACAAGCACGCAGTAACGCAGCAGGCGCACCAGCAACGATGGAGGCAAAGTTGTCGTCCATCAGGATCATGTCAGCTGCCTCCTTGGACACATCTTTGCCCGAGATGCCCATGGCCAGTCCTGCGTGGATGGACCGCCACCAACGCCCCTTCTGGTGAGCACAACACACGTCCGCACATTATCCCAGCACAAGGCGCAACTGTGTTCCTTGCCATCCTCCTTCCTTTTGCAGCTTGCCACACCTGTGTTGGCCTTCTTCAGCGCCGGCGCATCATTCACGCCATCGCCAGTCACCGCCACGTTCTCGCCTGCATGCAAGTCAAGAAAGGAACAGCGCGGTGGTCAGCATGTCCCTCTACAAAACCTTTGCACACCTGCTATTCAGGATGACAGTTGTCCATAACTCAAATCAACCAAAGCAGATGGCCAGGACGAAGTCAGCAGCAACAGGCGCGCACCCCTGCGCTGGCAGTTCTCCACGATGAGCAGCTTGTGGGCAGGGGACACGCGAGCAAAGACAATCTGCTCGTGGTCCAGCGCCCAGTCCCACTTGGCCTGCAGCGCAGGAGACCAGGCAGCTAGTCCAGTGGGGAACCAGAGTGTTTGGCAAACGGGCGGGAAACGAGTGCGACAGGAACAGCACAAAGTAAAGCCTAGAGGTGGTCCAAGATCTTGCACACAGGGAGTGGCAGGAAATGCGGCAGTCTCACCTGGCGTGCCACCGGGTCCTCAATGTCCATCCAGTCGCGGATGTCGTCGCCTGCAAACAAACAGGCAGCGACACACCAGACCACCGTTCAACACACACTGTTTTGCACCTTGTGTTGCTCAGCATCACTAATTGTTTGGCATGCCAGCACGGCCCCGCCCCAGCACATGACGCACCCTTGACCACGATGGCTCTGCCGGCCGCATACATGTCCTCGTCGATGATGCCAATCTGCTTGGCAATTGCCTGCACCAAGTCAACCCCGCAAACAACCACATAATCAAACATTGCACATCTGACCACTGCTTGCCTAGAACAACCGAGTGCCGAGGGTAGTGCCAACAACAGCTGCCTGCCTGCATACCTGTGCGGTGATGGGGTGGTCGCCGGTAACCATGTACACCTTGATGCGGGCACGCTTGCACTTCTCCACCGCCTCCTTCACACCCTCGCGCGGCGGGTCGATCAGCGACATCAGGCCCACAAAGGTCAGGTTCTGCGGGGGGGACAGTGTGTAGGGTGGGACTATGTGTGTGATGAGAGAGGGCAATGTGCAGCGGAGTCACAGGCACAGGAAAAGGCTCTGGACACGGTGCACGCCAGCCGCTCCTCTGAACATGTTGGGGTTGCGGCATCTACCCACCTTGAACTCGAAATTGGGCTCCGGCTTGTTAGTGAAGGGGTAATCCAGCGCCACATCGGTCATCTCCCTGTAGGCAAAGCCCAGCACACGCTCGCCCATGGCGCCCAGCGCCTCGTAGGCCTCGTTGTACTTGGCCTGCCAGTTGGCATCCATGGGCACGCTCTCGCCATCAACCATGATGTGGGTGCACATGCGCAGCACGCGCTCCGGTGCGCCCTTGAGTGTCAGGATGGGGTGCTCCGCCGTGGGGTCCTCGGGGCGGTGGATGGTCAGCTGCAGTGGCGGCGGTGCAGTAGCGACCGCCAGCAAGGAGATGCTCAGACCCGGCCGCACTCCAGTTCTGCCCAGTAACCCCACTTGCTGCCGGTAAAGTTACGCACCTGCCACTTGTTGGTGGAGTTGAACTTAATCTCATGGATCTTCGGGTTGGCCTTGTGGTATTCCTCCACAGAGCGCAGCAGCTCCACGCACTTGATGAGGCCGCTCTCTGCACCGCCAGCAAGTGCAGCGTCACAGGCGTGCTGGCAGCAGCAGCAGATGGATGGGAGGTCATTATCAGGCATCACACCGCAGCACGGCTGTAGCTTACCCGAGGCGTCGCCGGTGCAGGTGAGGCCCAGCAGGTTGAAATCGGGGTTCTGCACCTCCTTGGCCTGCAAGCAGTGCACAAACAATCTAGCCTCAGACCCGCATTGCCAATGCGCAGCTTCACCTGCCCCGCGTTGGCAGTCCTAGACTCCACACAGAGCCACGAAACGCACTAGGTCCAGTGGCGGCCTAGTCTCTTTGCCCTCTTCCTCCTTCTCCACCACGACAAAGCGGGAGTTGTTGCACAGGGTGGCAACCATCTGCAGCTTCTGCCAGGTGGGGTCCTGCAGGGCCACCAGAGGCAATCCATAGCGGATTATGTAGCGAGTCAGTGAGGGAAGTGGCCTCTGCAGGTCCTCGATGACTGCTAGCATTGACACAACTCGAAGCCAGCTCCCATGCAAACCCACCAAGAGCTCACCTGCGGGTTGTAGACTGCGCCCTTGAGCACGCCTGGACGCATGCATGCCGTGAGCTGTGGCTTGTTTCGGGCCGCAGGGACAGACACCAACACGCCATTGTACCAGGCATGCTGGACGGTCATGCGGTTCTGAGTCAAGGTGCCGGTTTTGTCAGAAGCAATCACGGTGGTGCTGCCCAGGTTCTCCACCGATGGCATGCCCTGCAACACGTGGTAGCGCGCAGAACCTCGGCTCAGTGCAGTGCAGTGGCCGTTGCGGGCGTGCATAGGAAGAAGGAAAGGAGCAGCATGCTGCAGAACTGCGATCACACGTCTGGCGCACCTTCACCAGCACATTTCTGGCATACATGTTCCTGGCCGACAGCGACAGCGAGACGGTGAGCGTGACGAGCAGGCCCTCCGGCACAGTTCCCACGATGATACCTGTGGCAAGCGGCAGCGCAACATCAACACACCCACACATGTTGCCACAAGATAACAGCCATGAGCCATGCGGAGCCGACTCCAGCTCACCGATGGCAAACACAATCATTTCAATCACCGAGGCCTTGGCCACAAACACGCCGATGAGGACAAAGGTGATGCCTGCATGTGAGCAGGGCGACCATTCTATCATGTGTTCATCCCCCGTACCCATTATGATTCCAGGCTCAGCAACAGAGCCACTGCACAGTGCGGCGCACCGATGGTGATGGCGAGGACGGAGATGATCTTGATGAACGTGGCCACCTCGCGCTGGAACTGCGTCTGGCTCTCACCGCTGCTCTCCGCCGCCAGCCCTGCGATCTGGCCCATCACAGTCCTGCAACATGGTGCATGTCGGTGTGTAACCGGGTGAAATGTCCCTGTACAATGCGATTGGGTGGAACCTTTCCGCACCAAAGTAGAGAGTCCCAACCCCACTACCTCCAGCGCTTCACTGCACCTGTCACCAGTGCCGATGACCATGCCGCGACCGGAGCCGCTGGTGACGATTGTGGTGAAGAAGCAGAGGTTGGCGGCCTCCAGGGGCACCGTGATGAGCTTGCCGTTGGAGTCGCGTGCGAGCTCGGGATACCTCTCCACCGGCTCCGATTCGCCGGTGAGGCAGGAATTGTCCACCTTCAGGTCGTTGGCAAACAGCACACGAATGTCGGCGGGCACCTGGTCGCCGTCATTCATCTCCACCACATCGCCTGCAGGCTCACAAGCAGGGTCGGTCAATGCCAAGCAAACCAGGGAGGGCGCTGAGCAAGATGCCTGGCCACCCTCGATTGCGCACAGCGGCAGGTTGGCATGGTTCCACCTGCTGCCTGCCTCACCCTGCTACCACTGCAACCCACCTGGAACCAGCTCCTGGGCGTCCAGGATCGACACATGCCCATCGCGCAGCACCTTGCACTTTTTGGGCACTAGCTTCTTGAACCCTTCCATCACCCCTGCCGCCTTGGCCTCTTGATAGTAGCCAAAGGTGGCTGTGTGTGGGCACAGCGGGCGGGGGAACACAGCGTCAGGCAGAGGCAGCGTGTCAGGCAGAACAGTGAGCAATACATGACAGGCGGATGCTGGACGAAGGAGGGCGCATCATGCTGTTCCCAGGTTGTTTGAGCTCAGCTGATACACACCCGAGAGGAAGACCACAAGGAACAGCACCACTCCGAGGTACAGGTTGGTAAGGTCGCTCTGGTCGATGGAGAAGGCCACAAAGCACAGCACGCCACCCACAAGCAGCAGGATCATGAACACATCCGCGTAGCACATCAGGTACTTGATCCACCTGGGGGGGTCACGGTAGCGCAGCAGGCGGGTGCAAAGTGGGATCAGGAGATGGCCAGCAGCCGACCCCGCAGGAGCAACTTGCAGGGCCGGCAACGCCTCGCATCCCACTCACCAGGGGGTGGTGGCCGGCGGCGTCAGCATATTGGACCCGAACTTCTGCCGGTTCTGCAGCACCTGCGCGCCTGTGAGGCCGCCCTCGGGTGTCGCGCCGTAGTACGCATACAGCTTGTCTTCGGGCCAGGTGTGCTCCGTAAAGTCGATGTCCTTGCGCAGCTTTTCGGCCCGTGAGCTGCCGGTGCTCTTGGTGCGCTTGAGAAAGCTGAGGCTGCCGCCCAGCTTCTGGGACAGGCTCTTGCCGCCTACGGAGGCACCGCCGGGGGGCGCGCCATTTTGCGCTGCCGCATCGTCACCGCCGGTCTGCATAGGGCCTCCTGCCGGCTGGATCAACTGCTGCAAAACAACGACAAGGGAGGCCACAGTTCAGCAGCCTTTAAATTGGGCGCCCTCCTGTTGGTTGAAATTTGAAGTACTAGCAAACGTGTTTGTTGAACCGTTGACGTGAGGAGCGCAGCCAGCTCCGGGCCGACGGGAAGCCGGCGCCACGCCGCCGCCGCCGCTGCCAGCAGGGGCTCGGCGCTTAGGCCAGCAGCGGCGCATCTTAAGCGTGGGTCACCCTGCTAATCAAGTAGGACCTAGGGAGCGGCGGGAATGCGGCCGAGGGTTGCTGCCCCAGGCACTAACCTACAACCTGGGGGACGGAGGCCGCTGTTACTGGGGACTGATCGCTGGCATGAGATGCAGCTGCGGTGCCGAAGGGGAGGCTGGTGCAGCACTCCAGCAAAGAAGCCCTATTCTTTGGGAGGGTGTTGGCCACCACCAGCGGCTTCGCTTCAGGGCGTAAACACGTGCGATGGTTAATACACTCGCTTACTGCGAGCATATACCTAGGGCCGAGCCACTGCGGAGCATCGCATGCAAAGCAGGCGCGCGCAATGTCCGCAATTTGCGGCGCAAATCTGAGGCAGAAGCAAAAATACCAATGCAACAGGTTCGGTGCAACATTAGCCCCGATCCTCGGCAGGGCGCTACCCTGTCGAGTTGTTGCCCAGGGGCAAGGCAAGCTGCTGATGCTTTTGCGGTCCATGAAGACAGCACAGGGCTCATTGACGCCGGGTTGAGTGAGAGGAGGCAATGCCATTGCCTTGGCGGAAAGAGGGAGATCATGCAGTACGGGAGGCGCGGTACATTTCGCCTGCGCGCTCAGAAATTTCCGGAAATACTGGCCCGATCAGACACATGCCGTTTAGAAGCGCATGCGCTACAGTCCATAGCTGGCGGAGCCTCCATCGTTTGTGTTGGGCATCCTCCTCTGTGTTGCGTGCTTTCCGGCCAACAGGAACACCGAGCTGGGTGCACCTGTCAGGGCGCGGCTTGTGCTGGGGCGAGCGGCGTAGGCGGCGGCGTGACGGCGGCGGCGGCAGTGGCGGCAGCGAGGCGGCGGCTGCGTTTCTGCTCCCGTCCTCGCCCAGCAGCACGCAGCCATGTTCATTCTCAGCACCCTCGAGGACAATGTGAGGATTGCACCGCAGGTGAGCGCCGTCAAACTTGCGCGCACCCGCACGCTGCTAAGGCACAGGTGCCCATGAAACCCAAGGCAGCTCATTTCTGCAACCAAGCGCAGGACCTGGGCAAGCCGCCGGCGGTGGCCATCACGACGGCGCTTGAGAAGAGCTTCCTGGACAAGGCAGTGGCCGGCCTGGGGCTGGTCGTCACGCTGTACGACATCCTTTCTATCGGCGACGGTTACGTTTACCCTAGCGACGGCGGCGCACACTACAAGTGCGCTGCCGGTTCTGCATGCAGGGCTGGCAGGGCAGGCCGACCAGCGTGCAAACAGGCAGCAGCACGAGCTCCAGCCAACCGTGTGCCTTGCTGCTCTCCCATGCCATGCCTGCAGGGTGTGCTTCCGTGTGGTGGTCTTCCGTCCTTTCCGTGACGAGCTGCTGGTGGGCAAAGTGCACAAGATGACAAAGTGGGTGGCAGGGGGGCCTGCCCCGGGCATGTATTCTTATCGCTGCCCAGCCATGGTGTTTATGCCTCCTCTGCTGGTCGATCCATGTCGGTGCTGTTGCCACTGTGCTCTGCCAGGGAAGGCATGTACGTGGACCTGGGGTTCTTCAAAGATGTCATCATCCCGCCACACGGCATGCCAGAGCCATCATTCTGGAAGGGAGACGACGAGGCAAGCAACGCAGCGGCGACAAACTCAAGGGGCAAAGTTGGCTGTTCATGTTCAGTGCTGTGGCTGCAGCAGGGACCAGTAGCATACCATAGCATAGGGATCAGCACGGGCATGGCCATGCACCATTGTTGACGTTCCACGCCATGTCAACTGCAGGCGTGGCTGTGGAAAGTGGAGGGACAAGACCTGTTCTTCGAGCGGGGGCTACCACTGCGGTTCAAGGTGCAGATTGTGCGATTTAACCCGGTACCCACGTTGGCAAGCCAACAGAAGCAGGTGAGACCCAACTTGTGCTGTAAACATGGGGGTGCGCAAGTGCTTCTATGCGACCATCAGAGTGCATAACTGCTCTCTGAATGCAGCAGCAGGAGGGGGAGCCAGTGGTGGGAACCAGCGACCGCCCTTTTGTGCCGATGGAGGTGGTGGGCCGGGCAGATGGCGATGGGCTCGGCATGGTGCACTGGTAAGCATACTGCAGCGCACATGATGAGCCTGGTTCGCAAGGTCCTGAGCATCTACCCTCCATGCAACCCTGTCGTGTGTGCCTCTCTGCAGGTATGCTGCTGCTGATGATGACATGGCAGAATAATGCCAAATGTGTTTGTGTACGTATGCACTCTGTGTGTTGTTGCCTCTGCCCTGCTTGCTTTTGTTTGTCCAACATTGCTCTGCTCTTTTGGTTGATCCTCCCCCTGCTCCCTTCTTTGAGCTCCAGCCTGTTGCTTTCACTTGTTGCACGCATTCATGAGCATTCTCCACTGTTGACGTTTTCAGAACAATGTCAGTGGCCATTGTGGCACGTATCAACCAATGGCAATCCCAGGAAGGCAACGAAATTTCGACCGAAGTGTGTGGAATAGAGTAAAATAAAGCTGCTACGTCAGGCTTGCGAAGCAGTAGCTACAAGCTCTTCTGAAGGCTGGCCGAGAATGCGCTGCAGCTGCTCCTGCCGCCGCTGGGTGTTCGTGTGAGGTTGAAAGGTGCAGTCGCGCATGTGGTCGCACAGCGTGCTCTCCAAAAGAGCCGCCTGCTTCTCTGCGGCCTTGGCCTGCACAGAGCAAGAAGAGCCCTTTGCGACAACATGCACCAAGATGGCAAGTAAATGCCAATGCTAGCGGCACAGAGCCTCCACACACATCAATACTGTTCATTGCCCCGGGAACACATTGTGGGATTGCCATGCCTTACCTCTAGCAGTGCATGGCCAGCCAACTGGAACGGCTGTGGAACAGTGGTCCCCTGCTTGCCACATGGGTTAGTCAGAAACACCTTGGCCGCCCGCTCCTCCGCCTCCACCTTCTGCCGCTCTGCCAGTTGCTTGAGCTCCAGGTATCGCTCCAGGCCCCGCACCACCACAGGTCCCTGCAGCCTGGGCGCATTGGCACTGATGCCATGACTCTTGACAGGAGTGCGCACCATTGGCCACCAAGACACTCTACTTTGCTCACTCCCTCACTGCACTCAACAACCACCTTGGCCTGCACCCGCCGCCGGTTGATGTCGGGCGAAAAGCTGCACTCCAACAGTTGCTTGGATTCCTCCTCAGCCTTGGCTGCTGCACTGCGTGACTCCTTCTCTGCTTGGTAGTCAGCGATGCGCTGCGTCAGACCTTCAAAACCCTGCTGAGGCATGATGAAATGCCACACCTTCAGGCACAGCTCGCCCAGGCCCAAGAATGTGCCGGCGCCAGAGTAGCGTGCGCCAGCACTAAAAATACTGTCCGCACCTGCTTGGCAGCATGGGCGATGCTGATCGGAGCATGTGCCTTGGGGGGGTGGTATTCATCGTAGTAGCCCTTGACCCTCGGCTTACTCGTGTCCGGCTATAGGTGGCAGACAGCCAGCCAGCACAGGCAGGGGCAAACAGCTGCCTTTCACTTGCTGTAGACCCTGGGCATCAGAAGCCTTGCCAGGAACATCCTTCCCACATGCAGCTTTCACTCACCTGGAAAGTGCACTGCGAGCGCTGCCGCTCCTCCTCCTCCTGCCGCAGCTCTGCCAGCCGTTGCCGCTGCCTGTCGGCCACGCTGGCCAGCCCGTGCACACCACCGCTTCCAGTAGGTGCCAGTGCCACCGAGCGCGGGTTAAGCTGCGGCCTGAACTGCATTCCCCCATACACCTCGGCCTCTTTGGCAGCCCGCCGCGCTGCCATGCGCGCCGCCTCTTCACCTGCCATTCGCTCGTACCGCTCCTGTGAAACACAGAGCAGCAGATTAAACAAAAGTAACCTGTTGTGGTAACTGTTGCCACAACAGGCAACCAGCTCTCTCTACCAGCTTGCCTGTTCAGTCTCCAGTAGGTTGCCCGCTCGGCTGGCCGACAGCGCGAGCACCATTACAGCATTACCCGTGTCGGGCCGGAATGTGCAGGCCGCTGCATCTGCCGCCTCGGCGGCGGCTTGGCGCTTCAGCTGCTTGCGCAAGGAGTAGTAGCGCAGCCGCTCCTGGAAGTCTGCATACGGGCGGTGCAAGGTGTCGGGCAAACTCAGGAAAAGCAGCGAGCCGTCAAAGGAAAGCTCGCCAGTAAACCAGCTCAGCCTGTACAAAGCAACGCCTGGGCATGGGCAGCAAGCACTGGCCGGCAGTCCTGCTGCAATTGTTGCAGGCCCCTGCCTGTGGGCACAGTGGCACTGTCCTCCAGAAGCCGCTCGCTGGCTGTGTTGATGGAGGGTGAGAATGTGAAGGCACCGTCGCGCGCGCTGCCGCTATGCAGCGGGCCTACAGCAAGGCGCACACACAACCAGCAGCACTCAAATGATGCCAGGCAGAACGCTCAGCATGCTCAACAGAAAACCATTCTCTCAATGGCAGTATTTGCCAATGCCCGCACACCTGCACTGCTGGGCCGGCGGGCTGCTGCTGGCTGCTTAAACAACTGTTGCGTCTCCCGTTCTGCCGCCAGCTGCAGAGACCGCTGGTTCAGCTGCGGTTGGAAGGTGAGGTCGGCATCCGCCAAGTCCTGTGGGGCACAGTGCAGGGGCAACAAGGGCAATCATGGAAAGGGCAGCAGAGTGCACCATCTTTCTGCACGGCCTGACAAACTGTGCATGCACAAGTATCAGACAGCTTTATGTCCAATGACTGCCTGCTGCTGGCGTCACTGGCCCTCACACACCCTCCGCAGCTGAGCCTGCGCCATCTTGGTGGTGCGCCGCTTCTGTTCCTGTCCCACCCGTTTGTGCAGCGGAGTGTAATCTTGCCGCAAATGTCGCTCCGTCTCCGTCGCCAGCTGCGGCAGGAAGCAAAGCGGCAGCATGTCCAGGGCAGCATGCTGTGGCGCATGGAAATGCAGGCGTCAAGCTCATCCCATGCTGTGCAGCAGACAGGGGCTCCTTCCGGTGCCACACCCACACACGGGCATCGCCGCAATCAACCCAGTCTCCAGGTCAAACACACCTGGGGCGCAAAAGTGCAGTCTGCCAGCTGCTCTCGCTCTCTTGCCACCCGCGCCCGCTCCAGCGCCTCCTGCCGCCCAATCTGTGACAGCTGCAGCCGCTCCTCAACTGGAAAGCCCGGTGCCAGGCGGTGCCGATTGGGCGGGCGCCCTGTCTTGGGCTTGAATGTGCACTCCTACGGGTGCGGGGGCTTGCTTCACAATGGTGGCAGCATGCGCCAACGTGGACATGCATCAGCAACAACGCCTGGACACACCTGTAGCTGAGCATTCTCCTCCTGCACCCTGATGTGAGCGCACTGCTGCCACAGATCGGTGCGTGGCTGCGCCAGCTGTGCAATGCGCTCATCTCCCCCATGCCGCAGCAACTCTGCAGCCATGGCACCACAAGCAATGCAATTCACGGAACGCTTTGCACTGTGCTGCGGGCTAGGTTGAAAGAAAAACTATCTGGCCTCAAACCCACCCGCTGTGCTGCTCTGCACGTGGTATTGCGGCAGGTCATCATCATTCATTCTCAGCTGTCGTCCCGGCATTCTGGCGCCGCTGCTGTCCACGCCAGCGCTGCACAGCGGCGCTGAGGCAGGTCGAGGGCCTGAGCTGTGGTTGTGCAGGCTGAGGCCAGGGCTGTGCTGTGCATCATTGCCTCTGCTGTGCCCTTGCTGATGCTGCGAGTTTGGCGGTGGCCCTGTTACGTGCTGGTGCGACCGCTCGCTGTCAGTTGCAGCCACATAGCCGCTGCCGCCCTGCAGCGGTCTCAGCGCTGTCGCTGCATGCCCAATGTCAACAAACAGCGGCCGACGCCCATTTGTGGAGGGGCGGTAGGCAGGCAGCGAGAAGTGCACGGCTTCACTGGGCGGGGCAGCCATGGCGTCATCCCATGCCAGGCTGTCGTGGCTGGTGCTGCGAGCGCTCGGGCTGCCGTGCCCGCCGCCGGCAAAGCTGGACTGCGGGCTGTACAGCAGTCGAGTGTCTATCTCAAAGGGCTGCCCTTCTGGCACACTGCTCAGCATTTCCAGCAGCTCTCCAGTTGTGCGCGCCTTGGCGGCAGAAGCGCCACCCGCCGCAGCTGGAGGTTTGGAAAGTGGCGATGGCAGCTGCTTCTGAGGCCTTTGACGCTGCGAGGGCGTTTGACGCTGCGACTGGGGCGTTTGACGCTGCGACCGCAGCTGCTGCTGCTTGTGCGGCAGCACAAACTCCACACCGCTGGCGCTGGCGCTCGGTGCAACTCGCTCTGGAGCAGTGCCCGCGCTGCCTACACGCCCTGCTTGTGCCAGGCCCCGCCGCATCGAAGGCAACTGCGATGCACTGTTCAAAACATCCTCGCAGAACTGGAGGTCCGCCTCTATCTGCGTGAGCGGCGGCGGGAGAGGTAACAGTGCCGTGTGGTGCAGTTGGCGGCAGGCGTCGCGTCTTGTCGCAACCACTCACCTCTATCGTGCTAAAGCCATCCATGGCTTGCCCAGCCTGGACAGCCTCTCCTCGTTACCAAACGTTACTGGGCCCTCGAGACCAGACCTCCAACTAATGGCCGCCTGCAGTTTCTGGGCCCTCCTACGACGCCCACCACCCCCAACAAACGGCCGTAGTGTCCTTGAGCTGTCACCGTGGTTCCAGCGACAGCTGCACGTCCAGCAAATGAACGCTACACGGAGTCAAAATTGCAAGACAATAGGAGTCAAGGAAACAGACAAGATCGAATGGAGGCCGGGTGGCAAAGATTATTGTGTAGGAGTGCATGTACATGTGCATGTCCCGCCATGGCCGCAAGTTCAGAATGCCCACGCCGACTTGAGGCCAAGGAAGGCCGTGTGTCTGCCGCTGGCCTGCTTCATAAGCAGCATGGCAGGCGTCAGCAGCAGGCCATCGCCCATGTTGAACTGCAGGTTGAGCTCGAAAAGGTTGGGCACCAGCAGGGTGCCGTTCTCGCTCCCAGCGCCGTTGGCCTCTGCGGTCGCCGACCTGCCCACGCCAAAGGCCCAGCCGCTGCCGCTGCCATCGGGGTAGGACCCCAGCAGCAGGCCCCATGCGCTTGGCCGCACCTCTGCCAGCTGCCCGCTGCGCACGCGGCGCTCCACCTCATCTCCATCGGCTGCTGCCCACCCATGCAGCACCGCCGCGTCTCCCAGCTTCCAAGCCAGAGTGGCACCCAGCTGGCGTTCTGACTCCACGCTTGCGCCGCCCGTGGCCGCCGCCGCCGCTGCCGCCAGCGGCGCAAACCGTTGCAGGGCGCCCAGCATTGCTGGCCGCTGCAAGCCGCCGCCGCCGCCATCAACCTCTGCTGCCTCTGCCCCATTGGTGCCAGCTCCCGCTCCTCCCGCCACCTCGCTGCGGTGCTCCAGGTAGGTGGCGCCCACTGATAGGCTGTTGAATGGTGCCACCACTGCTTGCGCCAGAAGGCTGCACGCTGCCGACCCCTCTGGCGATGCTGCGGGCCAGCGCAGGGTGCAAAGGTAAGGAGAGCCAGCGCGGCGCAGGGCCAGCCCTAACAAGCCAGCCACCAGCATCACAAGAACTATCTGCTGCGCGCAGCTGCATGAGCCGTCGCCGACAAGCTGGCAACATGGGCGACGGCAAACAGTCTCACCCCGAGCAAAGTAGCCAGCATTGAGCCAGGCCCGCGAGGCCTCCAGGCCCAACCCCACCAAGGATCCCAGCACGGGGCGGTGCAACGGGCTGCCATCACGCACCATGCTCGTCAGGCCCTGCATGCAAGGACAAAGCTGATGCGCATGTGGGCGACCCTCAGTCTCTGTTTCCGTTAAACGACCGTACCACATTCTGCCCAATCCGCGCTCACATGTATTTGCAGACCGCTCTGCTGCAGCCCAGCAGCCCACCTGGCCGGCAAGAGGGTTGAGTGTGTAGGCAGCGTCGCGGCCACGCGCCCCAAATGGCGCCAGCACCAGCCGCAAGTGAGAGCCTATCCTGCTGCTGTACAGCACCTTGCGCAGCGACAGCTGCTCCGCCGCCGTGTCGACTTTGCACTCCGCGTGCACGCTGTCGCGCCCGCCCCGCAGCAGCCCCGCCAGCTGCAGCAGCACGTCTGTGCCCAGCTTCACGCCCGCAACTCGCAACAAATCGCTCGACTCTGCCTCAGCGCCATCCTGCATAAAGGCAGCGGCAAGGGAGCCAACATGGACCAACAAGGCGGAGTGGAACAGGCCCCCCTGCTAGCCAGTCATGCCTCGGCCAGCGCTGAGTTGTGCCTCACCTCTGCCCACATCAGGCCGCCGCCCAGTCGCACCATGCCCGACAGGCGGTGCCTGGCCGTGCTGCTGGAGGCCGCGCTGCCATTGACAGCAACACCTCGGCGTGCCCCACCGCTGCTACTCCCGCTGCTGCTGCTGGACACCGGGGTGGCATCTGCAGGTGGTGCCCTGGTGCTGGTGAGGCCTGCATCCTGCTCCAGTGCATCCAGCCGCTCCTTGACATTGACCAGCTCCGCAAAGGCCTCTGAGCACAGGCGGATCAGCACGGCCACATCCTCAGCGCTGCACACAGGGACGCCGGATGGGATCGGGTTGATGATGGCGTGGAGCAAAGCAGAGGGAAGCAACAGACAGTGAGGAACACAGCGTTCAGGGGAGCAGTTGCGGGCAGGCTGACATGTATGTGGGCTGCTGTGCCCTCACCTGGCGGGCGTCGTGGTGCTGGTTGCCGCAAACGTGGCCTGCAGCTTGGCTTGCAGCCACTCCTTGCGCTGCTGCAGCTCCCTCTGCAACTCCTCGCCTTGCGGCCACTCCCGGCCCTGCAGCTGCGCTTTCTGCGCCTGCAGCCACTCCTTGCGGCTCACCAGCCACTCCTTGCCCTGCTGCTGCCATTCCTGCCCTTGCGGCCACTCCAGGCCCTGCAGCCACTCCAAACTCGCCTTGCGCAGCCGCAGCTTCTTAGAGCTGACCTTAAAGAGCCCCAGAGCGGCTGCCGATGCCAGCACCAGCACCCAAATGTTGCGGGCCAGGCCGCCGCCCTCTTCTTCCTCGTCGTCGCTGCCCTCGTCGCCGCCGCCGGTGGAGCCCCCTCCACCCCCATTGCTGCCGCCGCCACTCGACTCTTGTGGCGCTGCCTTTGAGCGCCAGGCCCAGCGCCGCCTGGGGCCTTTTGTGTGAGGAGCTCCAGGCGTCGCCGCGCCCATCCCGTGGGAGAGCCCCGGCCTGGGCCTAGCTATCAACTTTTGCTGCTTCGAGCTTGTAGAGAAGCGATGTGCAGGGCGCACGCCCGGTAGCCCGGCGGCAAACATGTAGCCAGACTGTGCAACAGAGCCTTGGGATCAGGCAACAGAGCAATGGGGATCAGGTTGAGTAGATGTGTGCAAACAGCTGGCCATGAGGGACTGCGCATCATGCACACCTGTTGGCGCCGCCCGCAAAGCGTCCACTACTGCTCAATTGAGGCTTGGCTTCAATTGGTGCATGCACGTCTCCCACAGGAGAAGTGAGCAGAATTGGGTCATATTGTCACCAACATGAGTGCATTTGTGTTCCACAGAAGAGCAGTGCTAGAATTCAATAAGTTCCATCAGAGAGTTTGACGCGGGCGAGACGTCTCCTACAAGCCAGGCCCCAAGCAGCAGCCCGCCAAGCGGGCAAACGCCCTTGTTATGCGCCGTGGCACTGCAGCCAGCTTGCTGCCGCCACCGCCGCTGCCGCTGCTTTGCCGTGCTGGGCTGCCTGCACCCCGCCGTGTGCGTCTGGTGGCAACGCCGCTACCTGGGGCGCCGAGCGCCAGCAGCGGGTTTAACATCTCCCCCGAGCGACCCATCTCCCCCTCCGCCGGCAATACCACCACCTGAACCATCGGCCGCTGCATCGCTGCGCCCGCACCGCTCCTGCTCGACTCTGCCTGCTGGCCGTGCTGCCGCTCGCTGCTCTCCTCACACGGCGCAAACTTGTGGGGCGCGGTCTGCGGGTAGCGCCAGTCGCCATCCCCATACACCAGCGTCATCAGCTCCGCCAGCTTGGGATCCCGCTCCTGCAGTTTGTGCCGCGTGTTGACGCCGCTCGTCACGTCTGCTCAAGCGTGGGCAGGGCAAGCGGAAGAGATTGGGGGCGGGATGGGTGGGAACACGACTGCCTGCCTAGAAAGCTGCTTGTGGTGGGGCAACTGCAACTGCTGCTGGTTACCCAGAGGTGGTGCCTCCACCATGGCCCACCGTGTGCCCATCAACTCACGCCCCGCCCTTCAGCTCACCCTCGCGCACGGTGGCATCAAACCATGCCTGCGTGCCCTCCGCCCAGTACTCGCTCTCATTCTCCATCATGTAACAGCTCAGGTCGTACCGCCCGCTTGCATGTGCCGCCTGATATGCATCCACAATGGACTCCTGGTGAAAGGTGCCAAAGTGGATGAGTTGGCAGGGAAGGAAGCAGCAGGCTAACAGAGGGGTGCAATTGGCATGCGTGGGGCATGAGCGCATCGCTCAAGAGCTGCCACAGCGCTCACCTGCAGCGGCTTGTCATGCAGGCCCAGGTCCATCACAGCATGACCAAATTCGTGAATCTGCGTTCAGCTGTGAAAAGGCTGTTGGCTGCCAGCCATCCATTACGTCCTGTCACCTGCCAGTTGCCACATTCCTTGAGCAGCAACCCGCGCGCCTTACCAAGATGTTTTCGTAGCGGTACCGGTCCTCTGGAAGCATCAGCAGGTTCTCTTCGCCACAGCTCGTCACCGGATTGCCTGCGGCAGCACATGACTGTCATGGATCTGCCGTGTCACCGACGCAGTGTTGCGCCGTGCCGCGTGAACACGGAAGCCCTGCAACTTCGCTGCTGCAGACGCCCGTAGCCCCACCTGGGTTGCCCCCCAGCCCACGTGTGGCCTTGTCGTAGTCGCCGCCACCATTCTCGCAATCCACACCGCGCAGGTGGCGGTACATGGGCAGGTCGGTGGTGACCTGCTTGCATTGGCAGCAGGGTGGTTGGTAGTGGCAGCGGTGGTGGCGGGTTGTGGTGGTTGGGGACGGGAGGCAACTGGCCTGGGTGGTAGCCAGCTGGTGTAGGCCGTCCATACCCTGCTCATCTGGCAGCAGTCACAACACCACGCACCTGGTTGCAGCCAATGATGGCCACTTCCGCCCCCGCCTCCACCATCGACTCCACGATGCTGCCATCTGCGTCAGCCAGCATGCTGAGCACGATGTGCGCCGCGGTCTCCACTGCCTCCTGGCACACGCAGTCAAAGGCCAGGATGGGGATGCCCAGCGCCTCGCCACGCTGCCGGTACGTTCCCCACCGTGGGTCGCTGACCTCTACCTGCACCGGAGAGAACGCACAAGGGTGTGTGATGTGTGGATCATAGGGGCCAAGGAGAGCTGGTTGGCAGGTTGCAAGAACAAACATGTGGGGCGGTGGTGCTCACCAGTGGCGGCCGGTGCAGGCCAGGCTCTATGTGGGTGCTCCCATCGTGCTGCAGCGTGATGGTGGCGGTGGGGCCGACATACCTGCAGCGACATGGGCACGGCCGGCGTTTGGGCCGCGGCCCCTTGCCCCACCCAGCAGCATGATCTGCCTCAATGGCGAATCAGCTCGACAGCTCAATGCTGCCACGGCCTTCAGAGCATAGGTGGCCGAACACACTCTGCCAGCAGGTCGCCCGAGGCGGCATCACGGAGGCGCCAAGGGTGGTTGACATAGGTGTCTTGGTTATAGTAGCACTGCACAGGATCACATCCTCCTTGCTGTAAGAACTCGGCTTGGGCAGTGCGGAGCAACTGTTTGTGCAAACCCCCACTCACCAGCTCGTCCAGCCGCGCATACTCCTTCTCCTTGCCGCTGAAGTCCACCCACAGCACCCGTGCAGTCACCCCTTCCCGGTTGTTGCAGAACCGAAGTATGCAGGGGGCCTCCGAGTTGCGCGAGCGCTTCTTTGCACGGCCCTTCGTCATGGTGCGGCCGAGGGCAGCGCCGTTCCTCCGCTCCTCAACAGCACCTGCAACCCCAAGATGTATCGGAAAGTGACGTACTGACAGTCGAACAGGACAAAACAGGGGCATAAAGCATCAGAAGTGCATATATCCGACCCTCTCCACCTCCCCTCTGGCTGCCGCCTGCCACCCCCACGCACATGGCGCACCGGGGCGGCGTGCAGCACCAGGGGAGGAGGCGCGGGCCAGGCAGCAGACTCCTCAGGCTGCGCCACAGAGTCCTCAGGCTGCGTTCAAAGGGCTGGGTCTCGACAGAGAGGGCGCAGGGCGCCGAAGGACGTGGCTGCTTCTGCAAATCACTCGGGGCTTCCCGAACAGACTTTGGAAAACTCTTTCCATTGGGATACAGGCTGCCCAGCGTGATACAGAGGGGTGGTTCTCGCAGGCAGGACAGTGGGGCGTAGTGCTTTGACCCGCGCGATGCCACATAAGCATCGTCTCTGATGGCAAGGGAAACATGCTGCCAGGCAGTAGAACTGCTCGACATGACGTCGACACGGACAAGTCGCCCGCGGGCATCGATGCACGCTGACAAACGAGCACGCTGGCAGCCCAATCAGGAGAGGTTTTGATGAAAAGAAATGCCGAATCACGACCTCAGTCCTCTTGCTGAGGCAGCGTGTGGCACCGGTGCACCTCACGTGAAGTATGACCTCACACGGCCCGAGCAACTCTAGGCCCTCCTCGAGGGATCTCCTCCCGACTCATTGCTGCTCCTGGTGCCGCCCCCCTTCGCCCGACGGTGTCCTGCTACCGGTTTGGGGCCTGCATCCCCTGCTCTCCCGCACGTGCCCAGACCTTTCAACGGCCCGTTCTGGCTCGTCTCACGCCCTGTACGATACCGCATTGCCTTCATTGTCCACAGCGAGAGGCCCGCCGCTCCACTTCAGCGCCACCCCACCTGACCCGCCGCCACCTCATGAGCGGCGCTGCCACAACAGCAACAGCCGAGGGCCGCTGCTACGGCACAACCTGGCAGCTCGTGCAGCGCATGTTCGAGCGCAAGCAGTTCAAGCTGTGGCCGTAAGTGTTGCCGTGCTGCATGCTTCCATGCTTCGTGACGCCTGACAGCTGGCGGCCGTGCACCTTGGGGCTGGTTGCGGCTAGCGGCTTGCTTGCCCATGTGCAATCTCACGCCGTGCGCTTCTTGTATTCTGCAGCTACACACCCTACTTTGGCGGCCTCGCATTTAGCATGGCCACCATCGTGCTGCGGAAACACATGAAGGCGAGTACTGTTTTTGGAACCCTCCTCAAACTTCTCATTATGCTGAAACATCTCTTCCCTTCTTTTGCATGCCTTACAGGCCATGCTGGCTACGCAGGCCATCATTGGCGTGGGGACTCTTGCCATGGGCAATGCCGTTGCCACCACAGCCATCGTGAAGGAGCGTTCGCACTCCTAAGCGGAGCAACAAACCAACACATTTCTGTATCCGACCATGGCCTTGATACGCCATGCCATGACTTACATTGAAGTTTGTCCTTTTTCACCTGGCCACCAAATTTTCTTCACTACCATCCGAATGTGCCACACGATGTCAGCAGCAGACCCGGCGCCTCGACTGTGGCGGGCTTGGTATGTGCCGTTCCACATTTGCAATGATTGGCAATGTTTGTTCTGCCATCATGCTCAATGCATGTCCACACATCAAATGTACAAACCTGCATCAACATGCAACACTAAAGGGACCCACATGCTGGGCCCAGGCAGCTGCCGGCGGAGCGGTGGCGGCGACTTGGTGTCTTTCCTTGCATGAGCGAGATGCGACGTTGTCTGCGTGCATCCAGAATTCTGGGGCGCTTCTCTGCTCTTGTGCATTTCGCCCCTGAGAGAGCCCGCCCAGCCCAGGCCAGCCCCGGCAAGCAGTTTTCTGTCGCGCAGAAGACCAGAGGGAAAGCGGTGAGCTCGGTGCCCTGAACTCAAATGGGCACGTTGCAGCTGGCGCGCGCCAGGAGCTTTCGGGGAGTCCCACCGCCGGCACCCGCCGCCGCTGGCGTCGCCTGTTGCCTGCTCGCGTCACCCGCTGTCGCTGTTTCCCTTGCAATTAAACGATGCAGAACATCAACGGATTTTCTGCCATTACCTTGAGCCTATCAGCCTTGAGCATCAGCACCTGTGAAGATGGGCGGCGGAGGCGCAAGGACCCGGTCTGCTGCAACACGCACCAGTCACAGCGGTGGGGAGGAGCCCTTTCAGGTCGGCTTTGCTATCTCCATGTGGCAAAACAGGCAAGCTTGGCGCCTTCTATGGCTATCCCTGTGGCCTGTGTGCTCTCCCGCCGCACCGCTCTGCCGTGCTCCAGCTCCGCCCCTCTCCTCTCGCCATCCCTCGCTCTGTGGTTTGGTTTCCGCCATTGCCACCTCCCCAACCACCTCCCTTCCTTTTCCCTCCCGCCACCTCAACAGCGGGGACCAGTTTAAGGAGGCCTCCAACTGGGGCATCTTCGAGCGCCAACGCACCTGGCTTCTCCAGGTGAAGGATGTGCATGCTTGGCGCTGCACTCGTGCAGTCTCATGTCGATGCATGCTGTACTCGAAGCTTGCATGCCCCTGTCCTGCTGCCACAGCCCACCATCTACAACGGCGACCGTTGCGGCGCCTCGTGCGACTTTTGGAACCGGTATGAGGAGGACCTGGAGCGTGCCGCGGCGCTGGGCAGCAACTGCTTCCGCATCAGCCTGGAGTGGCACCGCATTGAGCCGGCACGGGGGCAGGTGGACATGGAGGCGGTGCAGCGGTACAACAAGATCTTCGATTGCATGCACAGGTGGGCGATTGGCGGCACCTGAGTGACAGCGGTAGCATGATGGCGTTGAGGGTGCGTGTACATTGATCATGTTGATTTCAGGATGTGTCAGGAAGCATGCGACAGCAGGTCCAACCTGTTTGCTGGTGATGCGGGCTTGCCAGCCTCGCTGCGCCCCCACCCCCACCCCCCCACCCATTGTGCTACCTGCTGCAGCAAGGGGCTGGAGCCGCATGTGACGCTGCACCACTTTGTGCACCCGGCCTGGTTTGAGAGGCTGGGTGGCTTCACCAAGGAGGGTGAGGATAAGGTGCAGGTGCAGGGTGTTTGCTGTTTCGCACCCCGGCCCTCATGCTGCCCGATGCCCAGTTGGCTGGCCCTCATGTGCCCCCTCGCCACAGAGAACATCCCCTACTTTCTGGACTATGCCCAGACCGCATTCCGCTTGTTTGGCAAGCATGCCAAGTACTGGGCAACCTTTAATGAACCAGGCAAGCAAGCGAGGCGGCGCAGGGCTGCCCAAGGACTGCTGGCATGGAGTCGTGATACAGCACAAACAGTGCTCTTCGGATGTTGGTCTCTGAACAGTGATCATGGCCCCCCCCGGTCTTGTGCAGGCGTGACGAGCTTTGCGGGTCACATCTACGGCAGCTTCCCGCCAGGGCGCATCGGCCAGGTGGCGGGCTGCGCGCGCCAGATGCTCTTGATGCTGCGCTCGCATGCCCAGGCGTACGAAGTGCTCAAGGCGATGCCCGGTGAGTGGGCAAGGCCAGTGTGCACTTGATTGGTGTGGGGCGCCATCAGCCTAGCATTTGCTGAGCACGGCCGCTGCCTTTGTTCCCTTCCCCATCCACCTTGCAGGCGGCAAGGAGGCCCAGATCGGCATTGTGTGGAACTACTTTTGGTTCGAGCCCAAGCGTTCCAGTTGGACACCCTTCTACGTCCCCTGGGTCAGGTGGGTGGGTGGGTGGGGGAGGGGTGGAGGTTGGGGTGGGTCAGGCTGTGCTGTTGTTTCCTCAGTTTGCTGTCTGCACACAATATGAGCACCCAGCCTCACCATTCGTCCCACCCTCAGTCCTCACCCCACAACCCCTGCCGCCTGCTGCGCTTGCAGCCGCCTGCTCACCAGGATGTGGGGCAACGACATGTTTATGCAGTATATGCAGACGGGGGAGTTTGACTGGAACCCGCTGCCCTGGTGAGAGTGCGCCCCGCGTGCACTTTGCCTCTGTTTGCCAGAGCTAGCCCAGTCACTGCTTCTCCTGGTCATCCTCCCAGCCGTCATTCCTGCCTCCTGCTCCACCATGCTGCGCAGGGTCTTTTCGCGTGTGCATTACAAGGAGCCGGGCGGCCGCCCCGGGTGCGACTTCCTGGGCCTCAACTACTACTCTCGCGGCGTGATGGACTGGAAGCTGAGCCCCTGCTGCAACCTGGGCGAGGTCATGACCGACATGCCTTACGCTCTGTGAGCTGTGGGAACGGGCTGGTGGTGATGGCTCACGGGGCTGGTGGACAGGGTTGCCGCGGCTGGTTACCACTCTCATGCATGGATCGTGCGCTGGACTGCCATGTTCCTCCCCCTGCTGGCTGCAGCGTAGCCCAGTAATGCTTTTGCAGATTGCCCGCCGTTTCTTATCCCCGGCCCTCCCGCCACGCATTTGCGTCCGGTGCAGCTATGCCGAGGGCCTGGTGCTGGCGGTGCACCACATGAGCAAGTTGGGGGTGCCCATCTACATCACCGAGACGGGGGTGGCGGATGTGGGCGATGAGCGGCGGCCGCTCATGCTCCAGTCCTACATGGAGCAGGTGGAGCGTGCGGTGCAGATGGGCTACGACCTGCGTGGCATTATGTACTGGACACTGGTGGACAACTTCGAGTGGGGCTTTGGCTTTTCCATGCGGGTGCGTTGGCTGGTCTGTGGCCGCCATGACATCGGTGGCGGCGGGATCTCCGGCTGCTGTGGTTGTGCGGCCAGGACTGGACTGGGTCCGCGCTTCCCTGCCTCTGCGCTGCAGTTTGGCGTCTACAAGTGGGAAAACGATGGGAGCCAGAAGCGTGAGGCACACAGCAGCGTGAGCATCCTGCAAAAGTGGTACGAGCGGCTGCCCCAGCGTGTGACGGAGCTGCTGCGGCTGCGGCGGCAGCAGGAGGCGGATGGGGGGATGGCGGCCCCTGCCCTTGCTGCGGCATAGGCGGCGACTACCTTGTACACTGAGGTTGGATGCTTCTTTTGCCCTATTTTTGAGAGAAAATTCATTCAGTGATTTGCATCCCTTGCAATGTGTGAGACCCTGTCAGAAATCCAGGCGGCCGCCCGCGGCGGCGCTGTGTGCTGGGACCTTCTAGGCGCGTCCTTGGCCATTGTTGCAGCATCGTTTGTGCTCCGTTTCTTTGCTGCGCTTCCTCTAGCGACATGGGCACGACAGGCCGCTTCCGGCCGCTGCTAGCCCTCCTCGTTTTGCTGCCCGCTGCTTCGCTGGCCTCCTTGTTCTCCCCGTTCTCGCCGAGCACCTTCCCCAACCCTAAGATCGACCTCCAGGCGTGTGGACGAGACGTGCCGAGCAACGTGTGCGACCCAGACAGTTTGCTGAGGTAGGGGTGACATTTGCTGAGATAGTGGAGCAGCAATGATCGGAAGAAGGTCCACCCCGCAACGCCACCGCAAGCGCCACCACGACCGCCCCGGCCCTGCCGCCCCCACTCCCTCGCAGCAAAGCAGCAAAAGACTACATTGAAGGGGTCATCAAAGCAATATGGAATGGTGATCCGCCCTACAAGACGCAGGACTGTGCGGGGAAGCAGGCGGGCTACCAGGTTCGGCACCCGCCCAGCTTGCAACACGAGCATTCCTCGGCCTTCTCCGCCTTGTTCAGATCTCTGCCCACTTTGACACAGGTGGCGGTCGCGGTGATGCGGAAGATGGAGCTGCCAGCTGGAGCCACGCCAGCGGAGGCAGCGCAGGACTTTGCAGTGGCCCTTCATGAGAAGTGGGGCGTTGGGGACGCGGCTTGCAACAATGGCATTTTGTTTCTGCTTTCAGTGGATGACCGTCAAGTGTACGTCTCCACAGGCAAAGGTAGGGGGGTGTTGGGATAGCACGCGGGTGTGCGTGGGGATGAATATGATACAAAGAAAAAATAAAAGCAGTTGAGCTGGTTGCACCACAATGTTCAGGGCTGGTCGACGCCCCTGGCCCCCCGTCCCTGCCAATGCAGGTGCGCAAGAGGCGCTGCCAGATGCCAAGATCGCCGACGTGGTGGCTGATATCCGTGGCGAGCTGCGCGCAGCGGACTATGACGGCGCGGTCAAGAAGGCAATCGTCGACATAGGCCTGGGCCTGGCGGGGGGGCACCCCAAAGGTGGGGCTGCTGGTTGTGGCATGATTGTGGGCTGGGGCCAGGGCGTGCACGCATGGCTGTCTGCCAGTCCATACCAAGTTGAGTATCCCAGGCTGCCGTGCGGCCAGATGCTTCCAGCAACAGCAGCAGCAGAGGGCGCGCCCTTATGCACCTCCGTGAATCCCTCCTCGTGCCCAATGCCCATGCTCCCCCTCCGCCGTCCCTGCAGGCGATGGCGACGGCGGTGTGGATTGGTTCGGGGTGGGCATCCTTGGAGTGCTGGCCGCGGTGTTTGGGCGTGCGGTTTTCAAATCGCTGCGCCGTAAGCGCGAGTACCGCGAGTGCAAGCGCATGCTGGCCAAGCTGAAGCGGGTGAGTGGGGCAGGCAGAGGTTTGGGAGGCTTGGCTGGTGGGGAAGTGGGGGGAAAGCGAGGACATCAGGCCACCCAAGCCGAGCGCAGCAGGCAAAGGCTCCGGATTTGGTGCAGCACCGCTGTCTGATACACCGATGTGCCCTCCCGCCGCTGGCAGGAGCAGGAGAACCTGCGAAGCCACGCCTGGAGCTGCCCACAGTCGTGCCCAATCTGTCTCGAGGACTTTACGGTTCAGCCGCCCTGGCGCAACAGCAAGGCCGGGGACGACGGCGCCTCCTCTTCTGCCGCCCCCACCAGCACTGCAGGGCTGGATGAGGAGGCGGGGCCCTGTGCCTCGCTGCTGAGTGCTGGCGGGGGCAACTCTGAGGCCGAGTTCAGCAGGATGACTGCAGCGGGGCAGGCTGCCATGAGGAGGCTGCGCCAGCGCCGCCGCGCTGCGGCCGGCGACAGTGCCGGCGCGGGCGGGGCCGCGAGCGGGAGTGGGTGGGCCGAGGGCTCCGGCCCCTCCACCAGCCCCGCGGGTGGCGCTGCGGCGGGCGGCCAGGATGGCAGGCGCGATCGCACCCCCGTCACCTTGGGCTGCGGCCACACCTTTTGCGAACCCTGCATTGAGACGTGGCTGGATAAGGGCACCACCTGCCCCGTGTGCCGTAAGCCCATCAGCGACGGCAGCGGCACGGAGAGCGGCGACGACCACGCCTCCTCCGTGGCGGCGCGCCAGCGCGTGGCCGACGACTGGCTGGCCACCGACCTGGCCTTCCGCCTGGCAGTGCTGCAGCAGCGCTACCCAGCCTACATCACTCCCGCCATGGTGGACACCTGGAGCGGAGAGGCACAGGCAACTGGTGCGTGGGGGATGGGATGTGTCACGACAAAGCTCTTTATTGCCGAGCACCGATGCTCAGCCGCTGTGCACAACCTACGCACCTGCAGGCTCCTTCAGCTGGGAGACCACGCGTGACTTCCAGCTCAACGACCCCGGCGCCGCACAGCACTACGAGCACGGTGGCAGCGGTGGCTTTAGCACCTCGTTCGGTGGTGGCACCGCTTTCGGCGGCGGCGGGGGCGGGGGTTCGTGGTAAGGCGGTGGCGGGCCAAGAACAGGTCAAGAACCTCCTTTGTTTTGCAATTTTTGTTGATGACTTGCATTGAGCGTGTACACAAGGACCCTTCTCTGGGCAGACCTCTGTCAAGGTGCTGAACACTGTCCGCTGAGCTGGCCTGGCATCATGGCACTGGCCGGCGGGTGCCTCGTGATCTCCGGGTGGGAAGACAGTCTTTCGGCTGCCTCTCGTCACAGCAATGCAATCAGAAAATCAACACTTCAAGCCGTGCGCAGCCCGGAATCGCCGCCTACTCTTCCTTCTCGAGGCATTGCAGGTCGCCGCGCTTCAGACTCCCCCTCTGAGGTGTGCCCAGCCTCCCTTCGCGTTTGGCATGTTTTTTGCGTGCAAACTACCGCTTGAGGCGCAGTGAGTGGGGTGGCCATCTGCCACCGGCCGCCGCCGTCGCCTGCCGCTCAAGGCCCACGTGCACCCCCTCCCGATGCAGGCGTATCATGTTTTGCGGTCTGTGCCGCCCACAGCGACAGGTGGCTGCGGCAGGGGCCAGCCCTGCTGGACCTCAGCCGCAGCCTGTCGAGTCGCCGCCTGCACAGCCACAGGTGATGATGCGCAGCATGTCGGAGCAGCGCATTTTGCAGCTGGAGGCGGCCGAGAGCAGCAGCTTCAGCCGCTCGCAGAGCATGCCCTCTCTGACGCTGCTGGAGGCCAGTCGCCGACGCCTGCTGGCTATGAAGGAGCAGGTGAGGTGCCACAGGGAAGCAGGTGGAGGCTGGCGGTTGCAGCATCAACAATTTAAGGTCATAGTCATGCATGACACATGTTGGAAAGTGCATCATGCTCTGGCGGTGCGCAGGAGGCGGCAGTCGCGGCGCAGCAGCAGGTTGCCGTCGATGCTGCCACCGCTCAGGCGTTTGTGCACGCTTACATGGAGGCGATTAAGAATGGCAACGCAAGGTGAATGCCCGTCTTGAGAGGCAGCTTCGGAACGAATGCATGCGAGCTCCGCCCCCAGTCTTCCTGCATGGCACACATACAGAAGAAACGCCGCCGACGCCCCTCCCGCCTGTGTCTCCCCGCCGCTGCAGCTGGGCCTCGGAGCCCAGCGTGAGCCAGCTCTTTCTGGAGGATGCCCGTATGATTGCGGCAGACAGGTCTAGCTTCCATGGCCGCCCAGCCATCGTGCGGCGGCTGAACCAGGGGGTCAGCCAGCTCGCGCAGATGGCGGGGGAGCAGGTGGCGCTGCCAACCTTCAACCTGGAAGGGCCCACCCCAGACCCCAGCAGCGGCGACCTGGTGGTCAAGCTCAAGCTCCAGCGCGGGCGGCAGAGCATAACGTTCATCTTATTTTTCAAGATGCAGAAGGGCCTTATCGTGATGCTCCGCAATAGCCGTGGCAGCTGAGCGGGCATGAATGCCACACGGTTTTCAGATGCAACTTATTGTAAACCATTATCCTCGGCACCAGCCAGCAGCTGTGCATCGATGCGCCGCAACTGCTGCGCTACTCTCTCTCCAACAGCCGTTGGCGAATACTCGCTTGCCATGCGCTGCCGTGCCGCCCTGCCGCGCGCCGCCGCCTCCTGCCGGTGAGCCGCCACATGCCGCAGCAAATGCACCAGGTGTTCCACAGATGGTTGTGCCCAGCGATGACCTGCACGCATAGAGGGGAACATTTGGGCTTGCCAATGGCAGCACCGCCCGATGCACAAGCATCCACGGAGGAGTCTCCCCACTGGTACCCCCAACCTACCTTTAAACGCGCCCTCCTGCACCTCGGTCAGCAGGGAAACCTTGAGCGGGTAGCCAACGCTCTCATCAAGATATGCAGTCGGGCCCGACCAGTTTGTTACCACCACCGGCAGCTCCATGGCCATCGCCTCCACCACCGGCAGCCCCCAGCCCTCGCCCCGTGTAGGCAGCACAAAGCAGTCTGCCGTCTTGTACAGCCGAGGCCAGGTGTGCTGCGCGATGTGCTCGTGCACCACGTACGTACTGGGCATTCGGGTGGGGTCGGCGGCCGCGTCGCCCAGCTCCCGCCGCGCCCAGCCTGCCATCCGGTCCGCAAAGTTGGAATCGCTATGAAATGGCTTGGTGCTCAGCAGCAGCAAGACGTTGTCATCGGCGGTAAAGGCAGACAGGAAGGCCCGCAGCAGCACGTCCCAGCCCTTGCTTGTTGCTTGTGTGGGCTTAAAGTCTGGTAAAGCAAGAACTAGCTTGCAACATAGACTCCCCGCCGAAACGGGACGGGAACCGGGCGAAAGCAGAGAAAGCAATAAAACAGGGGTGGAGCAAGGCGACATGCAACGCAAGCAGCTGACAGGGCACGCATCGAAACGTGTGTATGACTGGCAAAGTGGCATGGCGCATTGGGGAGAAACGCAACGGTACGGGAGCATGGGCTGGCCAAACGGCAGTGCGGAACGCTAGGTCACTAGAAAAGCAGGGAAAGGCGCACTATGTATGCAATGAGGGCAGCCCCGGCTCGGGGCCGTTGAGAAAGCAGTGGGCGGGAGGGGGGAGGCCCCGGTGTGGGCGGGCCCCATCGAGGGGGGATGGGGCGCGCAAGCGGCCAGATGGGGCGGGGCGCGGGCGGCAGTGGAGTCCTGCGGCTGGGTGGGATATAGGGCAATGAGCGTTGAGCAGTGTGCGATGAGCAATGAGCAATGAGCAGTGAGCAGCCCCTCCCTAAACAAAGTGAAGCGCAGGACGGGGTCCGGTGGATGGGAGGCAAGGAAACGCGGGGGGTTGCCACGTGCGCTACCGCCGCCGCCGCAGGCAGCACCCCTGCGGCGGCGGCAGCGGCAGCAAGCCGTGGACCCAAACGCCGTGCCGCCGCCGCCGCAGGCAGCACCCNTGCGACGGCGGCGGCAGCAAGCCGTGGACCGAAACTCCGTGCCGCCGAGTCCCGTGGCTGTGGCCGTGGGCTTCTGGCAGGAAACTACGGCCGCAGCTCGGCAGCACGGGGGCGTCGCAGCGTGCCGCCGCCGCCGCCGCGCTGCCCCCCGGGCACGGCGGCGGCGGCAGCAAGCTTGGGCCCAAACGCCGTGCCGCCGAGTCCCGTGGCTGCGACCGTAGACCGTGGGCCGGAAACTGCGGCCGCAGCTCGGCGGCACGTGGTTCTGGTCAAATCGCCAAGCGTGCAGCAGCGCCGAACCACGCTTCCCGGCCTCGGCGCATGCCTTCAGGGGCCCCCTATCGCTGGGCACACCCCTCCAACACCGAACATGCGCCCGGGGGGGAGGGCGGCCCGGGCTGCCCAGGCCAAAGTGGGCCGCCCTCGAGCAAGAGGCGGCCGGGCTGTGTGCTGAATGAATGAATGAACCCCTGCAGGGGTCAGAGGCCGGCAGCATGCCGTCAAAGTCAATCTGGTAACTGCACCGGCAAGATGCAAAGGTGAACTTGCAGCAGCTGCCGCTCGCTGGTCACTCACCTTCCGAGTCTCCCACTTAAAAATGGACAGGAAAACGTACGGCTCCGAAGCCGTGGTCCTGCCGGCCGCTGAGGGATGCGGCCAGGTGGGCCCAAACACGCGCTCGCCCAGTGGAAGCGCCAGAGGTCGGTGCTTCTGCGGATCAAACTCATGAGTGTCCACCGCCTCGGGGACCACCACAACCTTGCTGGCATTCACGCCTGATTTGGTGAAGGTGCGGCGGTGGAACTCTGTCGGCACCCAGACCTCGGACATCTGGTTGATCCTGCGAACAAGAACACAGGGCAATGGCTCTGCTGCCTTGATGGTATCGAAAGGGTGCAGGAAACTGCTCAACCCAAAGCCAAGCCTCGCCGACCACAGCGGCTCCCACCTTTCTACATGAAGAGGGGTGAGGCGGTCCGTTTCGAACATGGCCCTGCCCACCACGAACGCAGCCTGCCCCAGCGGCAGTGGCGGGCATAGCGACGTCTGGAAGAGCGGCTGCGGCAGGGCCCAGGCCCCCGGCACGGAGTGGCAGACAATGATGGCGTGCCGTGCATCGTCCATGGTGGCGCGGCCGGCGGCCCCCACCATGCGCGCCACCTGGCTCTTTGTTTCTGCCGGGAGACCCGCGTAGACCTCCTCCAGGGCCAGGTCGCCATGAGAAGTGATCCACACCCGGTCTCGCCACTCTGTGTGGGACTGCAGCGCCCGCACAAGCTGCAGAGCCTCCATTCCCATGCCGCCTCCTGAAAAGAACGGCGCATGCCACCAGACGACTCGCCTGCTGGAACTGCGAGCTGCTTGCGGGTGTGGCGGTGGCGGCACGCCGAGTGGCGACGGCGGCACTACCCCCGCCAGGGGTCGGCGCCTTGCGTTGCTCTGGACATGGCTGAAAAGGACGAGCGTGGCTCCAGCGAACAACAAAACACCACACGGGAACAACACGAGAACGGGGGAGAGACGGGCGCCCTTCTTCCGGCGCCTGGAGCCCGCTGGCTCTCCAAGAACCCGCCGCTGCATGACACGACGGGCTTCCCAATTCGAGCAGCCCAAAAGAGAGGCACTACGCCCCACTGTGCTGCACACTGTCCTGTGCCAGCTCAGCATCACCTGCCTGGAAGACAAATTTGTTCTGGGCTGGGCCTTAGCTGAGCCTGTGCGGGCCCCGGGCGCACTGAACTGCCGCCGAGGTGTGCAGCCAACAACAGACGCTGAAAGCTGAGTCTAACTTGGCCCCTAACTTGGCCCCAAGCTCGCCTGGCGGTCCACGAGTGTGATACTTGCAGCGCGTGCAGCATCGAGCAGCACTGTCCGCAGCGGCGGTGACGGCAACGACGGCGGCGAGTGGAACCCCCAAAATGCCACAGACGTTTCTGGTGGTGCAGTGCTTTCAGTGTAAAGCATTTCAATCGGATCTTGAAAAAAAGTCCAATAAGTGAGTGCATTGGACTGTCTGCATACGTGCACCAGAGCGCAGCTGCTGGTGCAGCCTGCGACAGGTACGCCGCTCCTTTCACGCGTCGGCCTTCCCTCGCTTTGCTGCAGATGGCAGTGTAAGCTCTGCGGCGAAAAGCAGTCGTTGCAGCGCGTGTATGCAAGGAGCCACAGCGCCAAGGACTGCCGCCTGGTGGTGCAGCACTACAATGCGGCCCGCGGCGACATTCTGGAGGACGAGGATGCAGAACGTGCGCAAGCCGCAGCGTATGGCTCAGCTGAGGCAGCCGGGGGCGGCAACGGAGACTCGGGCGGCGAGCAGTGCTTGCCACAGCAGCAGCGCTGGCAGGCGTTCAAGGATGAGGGGGACGAGGTGCGCCCTGGGATCCATCGCTTAGCACCCCTCTGCTATGCACCCTTGCACGTGCGACGGCCTCTGTCCCGTCTCACTTCCCCCTTTGCAGTAGTGCAGGATGAGGGCTGGACGATTGCTGTGCCACAGCGTGCTGCTGCTGTCAAGCTCAAGTGCAGTGGCGGCCAGGCAGGCGGTGGCAGCAAGCGCCGTAGGGAGCAGCAGGACCAGGCGGTAGAAGACCATGAGCCGCAGCGGTGGGACCACGCAGCATGGGGCACCACTGCTGGGCACCAACAGCAGCAGCCAGCGCCTCCACAGGCGCGGCAGCCGCCGCAGCATCGCTGGCACGCAGGTGTAGATGAGGGCCAGCAGCAGCAGCCTGCCCCAGCTGAAGCACATTCCGTCCCAGGCAAATGGGGTGGGGTTGCTGCTAACAAGCTGCCGCCTCCTGTGTCTGCTAAGTGGGGTGCCTGGGCGGATGCCGCTGACGACTGGTAGCTGGCGCTGTTTGGCCTCGTTTATATGGTATTGCAGCAAATTGCACAGCAGAATGCATGTCCCAATGCATGCATACATAAGCAATCCTCAAACAACTTATTAACTTTGAAAAAAACAGAATGCCCGAGGAAGCGAAAGAATGAAGCAAGCGAAGCGCTTGCTGTTGTTTAGGCGGAGAAAGGTCCAACTATAGCTCTTAAAAACAACATGCAACTGGGGGAGGTAGCGCTTTGATAGGTCTAAACTAACAGTGTGCATGGCTGAGCTAACAGTGTGCAAGGCTGAGCTAACAAGTGTGCATCGGCTCTGCTCTCAGGTGTTTGGTGCCTGCTCAGCGCATGGCAAACCGCAGCGCATGCCGTTTGGCCGCTGCCATGCGCGCCTTGGCAGCCGCCGCTGCCACAGTTTCTCCCGACTCCAGGACAAATGCAGCTTCCTGGCGGCAGCTGGTTGTGAGGCAGGTGGTGGAAGTGTCCATGCTGAAGCAGCCGCCCTGCACGCCAATGCAAATGCGCGTGGCGGAGGCAGCATAGTGCTGCGTCACGTCGACGAGTGGCCTCCGCTCTGGGTGCTCCTTCTTGTTGGCAGCAAACTGTGGCAGCTGTGGTCCACCGAATGGAGTGTTGGCGGGCGCCACTGCAGATTGTGGGCAGTGGAGTGGGAATGAGCAATGTCGCTACGGCACGGGGAGCAGTACAGACCACGGGCAAGGGGGTCTACTTTGACTGTGCCTCGGAAACGAGATGTCATGCCTCACCATTCTCCTTGCCCTCCACTATCCGGCTGGCAGCAGGCGTGGGTTGGCTCAAGCCCTTTGTCGCCGCCGCGGCGGGCGGTGTGCCACAGTACACCTCCATTCTCTGCGTGTAGGCAATCCGAGTCGGTGCATTTCGCGGCGCAGGCGCCAAAGCAGCGGCAGGAGGCGAAGCGACGCAGAATTCAAGTGATGCTGGGCGGTTGTCTTTGTGCACTGTCAGTCTGTCATGGCGGTCTCCTGGCCGCCCTTGCAGGCCCAGGCACCAGCCGCATCGCTACATGCACACCCTTATCGCACCTCTTGCAGCGAAGGCGGGTCTGGCACACTCGAAAGCCCGGGCCCCGGAGGCTCCGAATGGTTGCTGCCACCACCTAGAGGAAATTAAGCGTTGATGGCCAAGAAGGATGAATCAATGGGCACATCTGTTGAGAAACCGGAGTGAGATGCTTGCCGGGAACTCAAAATCGCCCAATTTTGAGGCGAGGCGCCTCATGCATGCCGGAGGACGCTTTCCACCTGCGGAGTGGAAGTGTGGCATTGTTCTACTGCGTGCCTTGTTCAGCATTAGTTCCAGAATTCAGCCCTGAGTGTGTGACAGTGAATGTTTGCACACAGAGAGCAACAAGCACACACACAGGTAACGCAGCGACCCCAACACGCGCCGCAAGGATGCGTGGGTGGGGAATGCTACAGAATGCCAAAGGCCTTGCCCAACTTGTTCGAACGTGCCGTGTCGCCAAGCTTAAGCAGGGCGTCAGCCACCTGCCGAGCCGTCGCAGTGTCTGCAGCTGTTGTGCCACCGCCAGCAGCCTGCGCCTCCAGTACCCGCGCCAGCGTAGTCAGCAGCTCGGCGATGCCCTCGCTGCCACGGGGAGGTGGGGTGCCGCTGTGGAACCAGTCTGCTGGCAGTGCTGCCACGATGCGAGCGGCACGGTCTGCCGCTACTGCCGATGTGGCAGCCGCTGCCCGCGCATATGGCAGCAGATGCTGCGCCATCAGCCGCTCCAATGCCAGCCGCTGCAGCGCGCTCCGTGGCAGGCCGCCGTCAAAAGCACACACGCTGGCCAGCAGCCGCACGCCACGCCCAAAGCGCTGTGCCAGGTGGATGGCGGCACGCCGGGACGTCTCCAGGGCCGCGGGTGGCCAGGCCGGCAGCGCCAGGCCCCCCACTGCCTCCTCCAGCTTGGCCTGCACCGCACGCACCACCTCCTGCGCCGCACCGAATCGCAAGCAAAGACACCCAGTCATCTAAACTTGCTGAACTGGAAGCTGGCCGAGGCTGGGTGAACCAATGCAGTCAGCCCACGTCCATCCACCCACCCCCACCTCACCTGCAGCTCCTCCTGCTCTGCCGGCACATACACCAGTAGGTCTGCCAGCATTGCCGCAGCTGCCTGGCTCTGCCGGCGGCTGTAAGGGCTCCACACCCCCGCCAGCAGCTGCCTGGCAAGCGGTAACACCAGCTTCTGCAGGCGGTGAGCAGCAGGGCGCTCACAGTCACGTCAGCATAGGCTGCGCAATGCAGCGTGCCACGCACTTCAGGCCCGCACCTGCACAAGCTGCGGCACCAGGTTGGCATCGGGGTCTGTAGGGTCCAGGTCAGATGGATCCTGCGGCATTCCGTAGTCAAACAGCTGCTGGTACCACTGCTGCGAATCAAAGCCTGCATGCGACCAGTTGGCGCCGGTGAGGGGTGGGAGAGGAAGCAGTCGGTCGCAGGGTGGGCAACGGGCCAGACACAGCAAGCATCCACCAAACCCCACAAGCAAAAGCACACGAGGCAACCGGTCAGGCCCGCGCTGCACACCCACCCGCGTCGCCGCCGTGCAGCGGGCGCCACTTGAGCAGCTCCAGGCGCACAAAGGGCGCAAAGAGGGCGGGGGCAGAGAGGGAGACGTAGGCATCGCGGTATGCGCCCGGCTGCCGCGCTTTCCACTCCTCCAGCCGCCGCTTCACCGCCGCCAGGCTGCCAAACTCGTCGTCGGCATCCCGGAACACTGCAGGGTCCGCGGGCGGGGGGGAGAAGAAGGAGACGCATGGGCTCCGGCGGTGTGCGCTGGATGCAATCCAGCGGAGCCAATCCAGGGCCATCAGGCAGCCAGCAAGCACAACACGCCGAGCAGCGGAGCAGCTAGCTCGCGCCCCCTGCCAACCCACGCGGCATCCCACCTGCGTCTGCTGCCTCTTGCACCTCCCCCTGCCGCACACGGAAGTGAGACACCTCCCCCTCCGACTCCTCGCTGGTGTCCTCACCAAACCGTGGCTCTGCCGGCGCTGAACTGCCGCCTGCCTGCTGCTGCTCAAGCTGCTGCTCCAGCACCTCGAGGCGCCGCCGCCGCTGCTTGGCCCTGCAGATGGTGACCAAGCGGCATGCACTGTATCCGAATGCACAGAGTCGAGCACAGGCACAAGCCAATGTATCACACAGGTGGTGTATGCACATACTGGCAAGTGCACGCGCCGCCACGCCGGGCGCCACCTCACCTGTCTGCCAGCTCCGCCTTCTTCTCCGCATTCATATCCCGCCCAAACTCATCCAGCTCTACCGGAAGGTCCAGCCCCAGCAGCTTCTCCTCAGCCGCCTCTGCCGCCACCTCAGCCGCCGTCGCCGCTGCGCTCTGCGCACCGCCACGGGACAGCACCGCCATGGCCGCCGCCACTGCTGCCTCTGCGGGGCTGTGCGCCTCGGCGTCGCCCGCCGCCCGCCGCCGCTCCATGGCTGCTGCTCGCCCCTCGCACAGCTCAAGCAAGGCATCCTCCAGCTCCTCCACGAGCGGAGACTTGTCCTGCAGGGGGTCCAAACGTAGTGCCGCGTGGGTGGGCTGGTGGGCCAGCGGGTGCAGGGTGGCATGGTGAATGGCAGGTCCACACCCTAGTGCTCGGAGCCTGCACACACACATCGTCGCCAAAGCCAGAAGCTGGCGGCCCCACCCCCAGTTCGCCACCCACCTGCAGCATGTTGCACAGGTCTGCTACGTATGCCTTGAGCCCCTGCACCAGCACATACTTGCTGGAGGCTGCCTCCAGCTCGCCCTCCATCCGCGTGATGGCTGCCAGCGAGCTCTGCACAGGCACCAGGCACAGACCCCGTGGCTACAGTTCCGCAAACAAAGCCCCCTATCTGCCTGCCCCCCCGGTGAAGTCTGGGGCCTGCCAATGAGCCAGCCAGCGAGCCAGCCATGGCAGCCCATCCATGCCCACCTGCAGGCTATTGGACGTGCGCTCCAAGTTTTTGTCTGCCTGCTTGCGAGACATCTGCAGCCGCTGCAGCCCCGCTTGCAGCGTCTTCAACACCTCGGCCGCCGCCGCCTGGATGGCCGCATGCTGCGAGCCACCGGCTGCCAGCGCTGCAGCCGCCGCCGGCCTGCTGCCTGGCACGCCGCCCTCGCCTGCCGCAGAGCCAGGTCGGCTGCCAGGCGGCGGGGCCCCAGGCGCCGCCAGGCCACCCATGCCCTTGCGGATCTGCTCCTGCGCCCACTCTTCATCCTCCTCCCCATCCTCCTCTGCCTCCGCCGCCGATGCCGACGCGCCGGCGCCCCTGCCTCTGCCGTGCCGTCCGCCAGGGGGCGGCGGTGGTGCCCCCATGAACTTGATGCGCATCTCCTCCTCCGCTTCCTCCCCTTCCGACCCGCTCCCTGCCACCACCACCTCCTCTTCAGCCTTCTTCTTGTCACGCAGCCTGCAGGCAGCACACCGGGACATTCAAGAAATCAGGCAGGCGGTGAAGGGGCTGGCATCTGTCGCAAACAGCTGCATCAGCGTCCCAGCCTCTGTCGCAAACACAGCTACATCAGCATCCCAGCCTGTGTCGCAACCAGCTTCATCAGCATCCCAGCCTCTGTCCTTTACAGCATGCTGCGCGCCGCAAGCCACCCACCTGCTGAGCCCCGGCGGCAGGGATGCGGTGGGGATGTAGTCTGGCGCCAGGTGGGCGCCACGTAGGCGCTCCCGCTTGGCCTTCGCCCACGCAATCATCTCCTCATCCGGAATGTCTGACTCATCATCTTCATCCTCTGCGGCTGCTGCTGTAGCCTGCTGGGTAAGCGACGGCGGCGGTGCACCTGCTGCGGGGGGCGGTGGCTCCGAGGGCGGGGGCAGTGGCATGTCGCCGGGCGCACCGCCGCCGCCACGGCTGCGGCTGCTTGGGCGCTGCAGCGACAGGTCCTCTGCAGGCGGGCGCACCACTGCTGCTGCGCTGACATTGTACTGGAACCGATCGTCCTTCGGGGGAGCTGCGGGCTTGAAGCTGCCAGACAGCTTGAAGGCTGGCGCCGCTGGCTTGGCGCTGGCGGGCACGCTGCGTGCATTGTTCTGGAGCTCCTTGAGCCGTTCCGCAGTGTACTCGCCTGCATGGGGCGGCAGATCACAAACAGGTGGGTAAGAGGGCACAGACGCGGCAGCCTCGGTGGCCGCAGTTGCTGCTTGGCTGTGTGCGGCAGCAGCAGCTGCGGTCCAGGCCGTGGCACACCCAGACTGCCTCCAGCTGCTGACAACCTCGACCACTGTGCCCCTCACCTGCGCCAGACATCTGAGTGTAGACACGCTGCGCACGCTCGTCTGCAGGCGGCGGCGCCGCTGCGCCGGGTGCCCGCACGATGCCCTTGAGCTTGCTGGACTTGGGCTTGGCGGTCGGTCCGCCGCCATCCTCGCCTCCAGCATCGTCCTCAAAACTCAGCAGCGCCTTCTTCTCCGCCTTTTGCTGCTTGTTTCTGACCCTCTGAGCTGCCTTGGCTGCGGGAGGCAGCCCAAAGCCTCCCGCCCCTGCCTGCTCCTCATCCTCATCGGCTTCGAAGCTCGTCAGGGCCTTCTTGCGTATGTTTCTCTGCCTGCCAGACATCGCAGGCGGTGCACACGGACACTGATGGTGCTAGGGACCAATGCAGCGCACAGTGCATGCTGCCAGAAGCACTGCCAGAATGCAGAGCCATCGGAGGAGGCGAAATCCCAGAAAAGGTTGCTGAGTGGCACAGCACAGCATGCTGTTGTCACCCAGCTCCTCTGCAATCCCATTTGGATGGGAGTAACCGGGCATTCCATCACTGCACCAAACCAGCGTCAGTGGATCCTGCTTGAGCGTGCACCCGCCGACTGTGCATCACCCGCGTGCAAGGCAACCACAGCCAGGCCGGCATTTGAAGCTCCCCGAGACAAGGAAACGGTCTGCAAGGCCAAGCGGCGCGCCCAGCTTCGGTCGCTTGCAGCAACTGGCAGCAGGCGGCAGCGGCGGCGGGGCTCCAGTCGATACACACACGAAGTCCAACACACACGAAGTCCAACGGAGGTGGCACCAAAGAGGCAGACAGACAGAAGCACTGCAGCCTGAATGGCCCCGGCTGCGGCGGCCGCCCCCGCCAAGAAGCACAAGAGCAAGACGGCCTCGGTGGTGTCTGGGTCGCTGTCGGGTGCAGTGGTGTCGGCCTGCGTGCAGCCGCTGGATGTCATCCGCACCCGCATGCAGGCAGACATGGCGCATGGCGTGGTGCGCAACACGCTGCACACCATGCAGACCATCATGGCAGAGGTGCGGCACGTGGCTGTGGTGCTCTCCTGTGCCGTGCCATCAGGCTGTGTCGCATGGCAGGCAGGCACATGCTGCACAACAGCTGTGGCTGTCGCATGCTGCTGCCTGCCAACCCTGCCGCTTCTTCTGCACTGCCTGCTACTATGCCGTGCAGGGAGGCGTGCGCACGTTGTGGAAGGGCACGCAGCCTACAGTGATCCGGCTGGGCTTGGGCGCCGGACTGCACTTCTTCTTCTTGGAATCGATTAAGCCGCTGTTCGAGCGGCAGCAGCCAGATGGCAGCGTGGGAATGACCGCCATGGGGGCCATGGTCACTGGTGGGTGGTGGGCACATGCCGCTCGCCCGCGCGTGTGTGTTGGGCAGCATGCCTCAGGTTTGCCCGCTTGGGAGAGGGGGGATGCTGCCTTCCTGATGTGTTAGCCAAGTTGCAGGCATGCCAGAGCAACGGCGCCAAACCTGCAAAAACCGGGTTGCTGCCTGCTCGCCCTGCCTGCAGGTGGCATGTCCCGCACGTTGGCAGCGGTGGCTGCCTGCCCCTTTACCATTGTTAAGACCCGCATGGAGTACTCTGGGGCAGGTGGCCATGCCTACACCAGCACCATGCACGCCCTCTCCTCCATCTGGCGCACCGAGGGCCTGCGCGGCATGTACGCCGGCCTGGGGCCCACCGCGCTGAGCCAGGCGCCCTTCTCCGCCCTCTACTACATGTTTTACACCCGCCTGCAGGTGCGCTGCAGGGCGCGCTGGTGCTGGGTGGGGCAGCAGGGCTCGTTGCCTGGCTGTGATGCCCTGTGCCAGGAGGTCACGGCTGAGGAAGGGAGGCTAGGGAGATGACCAGTCAACAGTCTCCCTCCCGGTGGCTGGGGCTTGAATGTGCTGCAGGACAAGCTCAAGGCCACAGAGATGCCGAGTGTGGGCGTCAACTTTGTGTCTGGCACGCTGGCAGCAGTGGCGGCGACGGTGCTGACGCAGCCGGCGGACGTCATCCGCACTAGCATGCAGCTCAATCTGGCCACTGCCACCTCAGCAGCAGGCGGCCCTGCTGCAGCGGCAGCAGCAGCGGCAGCAGCAGCCGTTCCACCCAAGACGACAGCAGGCATCTTCCGGCACATTGTAGCGCAGCACGGCCTGCGCGGGCTGCTGTCGGGCGCGGCGCCGCGCATCGCCAAGCGCACGCTGCAGACGGCGCTGCTGTGGACGCTGTACGAGGAGTTGTACCCTGCGCTCACCAAGGCTGGGGAGTTGGTGAAAGCTGGCATGGATGAGAGCCGGGGCGGAGGGAGCAGCAACGTGTCGAAACAGCTTTAGTTACCGTGGGCAGGCACTCTTAACCCCCCTACATACATCTTTCATCCATTCAATCCATTTCACTTCATCAACTTGTTGCCTACCTGCACTGCCATTCGTTCTCCCCTCCTTTCTTCTCCCCATTGCTGCCCAGCTATGTGTCATGCAGCTATCAGGGAGATGTACATGCCTGGAGTTGCAACAATTGGTTGAGCAGCATGAGATAGAGATAGACAGCACCACAGCAACAGCCAAGAAGCCTGCAATCAACAAGGGAAGGACCCTTGGGCCAGAATCTGAGGCTCCAGCAGGCTGCCATCGCCGCCCTCTAGCACTGCTGTGGCATCGAAGTGGAGCAGGCACAGGGGTTGCAGAGGTTCATGCTCGCCGCGCATGCGGCTGCCCCTGGTGTTGCTGGGATGCCGCTGCACGCACACCGCAGCCATGTGGTCTGGGGCGGGCTGCAGCAATGCAAACTCCCAGTGCCGCATGTCGGGAGCTAATGTGTGGAACTCTATTCTGCTGCCACTGCCATCGCTGCTGTCGCTGCTGCTGCCATCCGCCGTGCTGTGCCGAGTACTGCTTTGCACGGGTGGCAAACAGCTGCCAGTGCCTCCTGGTGCATTGGGCGACTGCCACTGCTGCTGCTGCTGCTGCTGCTGGCGGTACTGCGGGAAGCCGCTCAGTCTGAAGCTGAAGCTGCGCAGCCCCGGCGGAGCGCTGATGCCACGCCCCAGGGCCTTCACGTACGCTTCCTTCAGCGTCCACAACTGCAGGAAGCGGGCCGCCCGGCTGTCATCATCCGGGCAGGCTGTACAGCAGTGGGTGAAACAGGACAGTGTCAAGAGCTCGTAACCAAGGGGGGGCAGGCAGGCAGGCAGACTCATGCCCAAGCCCGCACAGCACCACAGGCAGATGCCACTGATGGCATAGTCACGGTGCACCATGCACCCACCCAGCAAGTCTGCGATCTCGGTTTCTGAGAAGCGGCGCCGGGCCAGGCGCAGCGGGTCACGCCGTGTGCGCCGCGCAGAGCCCTCCACATCTAGCCCCACCAGCCCATCGACTGCAGGCAGGCAGGTGGAGTCGCTAGTCGGTGACGTGGCAAGCATGAAACCCAGTGATTCAACCCCAGGCAGGATCAGGCAGCACTGAGGCAGCCACGCCGCACCTGTCACTGCCAGGCCTATCAGGGTGGCAGTGTGGGTGAGGCTGAAGCTCAGCACATGATCGCTGCGGGCTGCGCTGGGCCACAGCAGGCGCGGCTTGCCATGCGGGTTCCTTTCAAACAGCAGGCTGCTAGGATGGGCACCTCCAGGGATGTATCCCGCAAGCACAGACCTGCGGGCAGGCACAGAGATGTGCTGGGAAAATTGAAGTGCCAGAAACGGAGCTGCCTGTGCCGCCAGGGCCCCGCAAAGGCGGCAAAGGCCGAGGTGCTCAGCAGTGGGCCACGAGGGCATGCACCTGACCAGCGCTCGTGCCAGCAGCCGCTCGCGCCGTACTGCTGCCTCATCAGAGGCGCTGCAATCCTGCAGCTCCTGCTGCGTCAGCAGCTCACTGCAACACTGCTCCAGCTCGCCACCAACCTATGGAGGAATAGGGTGGCTGGTGGGCGCCGAGCAGGTTTGTTACAAGCCGACTCATGCTGTAAACAACAAAGGCACCGGTCCAAACTCACTTTTGCGGGGTCAAGCCACCAGATGTGCACCTCGCCAGGCCGTATGAGCCGCCCGCCACCGGGGGCGGTGGTGGCGGCGGCGCCCGTCCCGGCGGCACCGGCGTCATAGCCCACTGCTTGCAACTGCTGTGCCGCATAGCAGCGCCAAGCTCCTCGTGGCTGCTGGTGCCCCGACCAACTCAGGGGCTGCTGTAACTGCGCCGCAGCGAAACTGGCATGTCGGGTGCGCCAGGCTGCAGGGTTTGCACTAAACTGCCGCAGGCTGATGATCATCTGCAGGCGCTGCAGGCGGCCGTGGAAGTGCATCACAAAACAGAGCGCTTCGCTGGAGGGCAGAGCAGGACAGTGGCGTAGTGCTGCGGTGGACTTTGCGGCGTGCGGCACGGCGCGCCTTGCCGGAACGCACTTGTTTGTTACACCAAGAGATGGCAGCCCAACGAAGCGCAGCCAGCGAGAGGTGGGTCCAACCCGGCCACGCCGAACTGGCCGCTGCCGGCTTGGCAGCGGGGCACGGAATAGGAAGAGAGTGAACCTGCCGAAGCTGCCGGGCCAGCCGGCAGCGCGATGGGGTTGGGTGGTCGTCAGCGAGTTAGCGGCGGGCGGGAGAGCGAGGTGCCGTTAGGGGCACTAGGGGCTTGCGTCCAGTGCTATTCAACAGCTCACACACACAGTGTGGCTTGCCCATGGCGTCCCATGTGGCTATTGCTAAAGTGTTTAATCTCCTGCCACGCTGCCGCCCCCTGCAGCCACGCCTCGCCGGATGCGGCAGCGCCGACGCGCCGCCTGGCGCTCATCGTGCACACGTGGGGCCACTCCAGCTCCTTCTTTGCCTGGACCTTCATGAAACAGTACATCTTGCGGCGCGTCGAGAAGGACGGCTGCACGGTGCTGGATCCCTCTGAACAACTGTTCATCGTCAAGGTGAGTTGGGTGGGGGACACTCGGCCTGCACACCAACCGCACCCTGGCCGCAGGCGCCGAGCAAGCTGCCACTGCTGCTTGCCCATTGCACCTGCTTGCGGGGCACATGCTGCGGCTTCATGTGTGTCCACAGTGTGGGGGGCGACGCGTGCTGGGGTGCAGGCGGGCAAGGATGATGATGGTGACAAGTGGAAGATGGGCGGGCCACTCATTCCAGACCTGGACACAACGGTGGCTCACTACCCGTGCACTGTGGTGCGGCTTGAGGGCGGAGCCAAGTCCAGCATCCATGCCTGGCTGGACAGGAATGCCATCGACATACTCGTGGTTGGCGAGCATTGGCCTTCGGGAGGACTCAAGATGATGTCGGGTGCACAGCGCCGCTGCTGCCGTCATCGGGCCCAAGCTCAGCAGCGGGTTGCCTTCTGCCTGCCAGTTAGCATGGTGTGCTGAGCCCGGCTCGCTGGCGGCTGCTCTCTCCTGCCCGGCTCCATTGCCTGCAGTGAGTGAGTGGGTGAAGCAAAATGTGAGCTGCCCCTTCCTCATCATCCGCCGCTCTGCCGTCGCCAACGCGAGAATGAAGATCAGCTCGTCGCAAACCAACACCAGCAGCGTGACGGCGGCAACAGCGCCAGCTGCAAGCCCAGAGGCGTACTTAGGGTATGTGGCTGGCTGGCTGGCTGGGGGATGAACAGCCGTGCCTCGCATGTGTGTTTGGCATGCGTGTTTTTTGTTCGTGGGCAAGCCATCACTGCCGCTCCCATGGCTGCTGCGCAGGCGCACCTCCCCCGCCTGCCCACGCACGGCGGCCATGACGGGGCGGCGCATCGCAATTGCCTACACCAGCTTCACGGTGGGTCGCGGCCTCATGCAGTTTGCCAAGAGCAAGGTGCTGAGTCACAACGACACCATCTTCCTGTGCCACGTCTTCCCGGAGAGGAATGCCATGGAGAAGAACCCGGTGCGTATGCTGCTGCCTGGCCAGGGCAAACAGCTGGGGAGGAGACCACACATGGTGCCGCCTGGCGCTCTCGCTGGCATGACGTGGCTGCAGCATGCCTCGTCGGGCGCAGTGCTGTCCCTGCCGCGCTGCATGCATCCGGCACCCACTAGATGCCAGCCTCACTCCCCCCACCCGTAGGTGGTGCACCAGACGATGAAGCTGGTGCGGGTGATGACGCTGATGCAGCGGGGGGACTCCAACGACGAGGTGACGCGGGACAACTCCATCGATTTTGGCGCTGCTGAGCTGGCGGGCTACAACTTGAACCTGAACGTGTGCCTACAGGTAGTGAGCTGCCCGCACCACTGTTTTCGATTGTCAACCTGCGTTGTGCTGGGCTGATGGGACCCATTCTGTAACCCACTGCATTTCCTTTGCTGCTCACCCATTGCTGCCCCTCGTCCGCAGGGCGACGCCAAGTCTGCTCTCACCAGTTTTTGCGAGAGCGAGGACATTGAGCTGCTCATCATCGGCACACGCAGCGGCGGCAAAATCCGGAAGAAGCTTAGGTGGGGAGCACGGTTGCTGCAATTGCAGTGGCACAGCAGGAGCACTGCAGAATCTGTTGTGTCATGTCAGAGGCTGCTGTTGAATAGTGGAGAGGTGCAACTGCCGGGCATCCTGGAACATTGTTCTTGCGCGCTTAGGCCTCGCCGTCACCTGACACACACCACCTCTGTGCTGCAGCGGCGGCGGCGTGTCGAGCTTCCTGATTGACCATGCACCCTGCCCGTGCCTGGTGGTGCCATACAAGCACATGGGCATCGACGATGGGCGGGACACAGCAGACGAGGAACTGATGGGCACCTCCCCCAGCTCGCCATTGGGCTGGATGACGGCGGCCATGGATGCGGTCACAGGGTGGGTTTTCGGGGGCCAACGTACACCGATGTGCAGCTGCGTACATGGGCGTCCAACCGACCCCTGTTCCACACTGCTGTAGAGGAGGAGAGGGGGCAGCGGCGAATAGAGAGCGCGGCTCCAGCCCGACGCCGCCTGGTGTCACAGTGGCAGCAGACGTGGCGGCAGGTGCGAGCAGCAGCGGCGTTGGGCACAGCACGCCGTCCGACCTGCTGGCAGCGCTGCAGAAGCAGCTGGAGGAGAAGGATCGGGTGATTGGGGAGCTGCGGCAGCAGGTGCACGAGCTGCAGCTGGCGGCAGCACAGCGGGAGGCCGAGGGAAGCCACGACGCGGGGCGGGCCAGTCAGGCTGTGTGATGGCGTGCCAGGCGGTGCTTGAATGCTCCTGCTCCTCCTGCTGTGGCTCTGCCTTGGCCTTGCTCAGTCTGCTTTTGACGCGCTAGTGATGCTGTGACATGGTCGTTTGCCGGCCAGCCAACCCCCTGTTTCTGCTAGCTGCCATTTTTGCACTGGCGTCGATGGGCCTCCTCTTGTAACATCAGGGCGGAGGAGGAGCGAGCTCTGTATGCAAGGGCACGTACACCGCGGAGATGCAAGCTGAAGATCAGGAGGCATTCAAGGGAGAGTGCACACATTGGCTTGTTGCTCACATGCTTGGCCCTGCATGCAGAATGCACACATATTCCTGGAGCCTGGAGGTGTGGGTATCTTCAACCTTGTCCGCTGACGGGGCGTACTTCCCCCCGCTATGAAGCATAGGAGGGCCCTGCTTTCATTGTTGACAACAAGTTTCTCGGCTGCTGATCGCGTGCACCCTACAAATCGATGCGACTGCTGCAGACCTCTGGCTCGGTGAGCCAATATGCTGGGTCTTTGCGTGGGTGTGGCCACCTGAGCCTCAAACGGCGCCCTTCGCGACTGTCTTTGTTGCCAGAGTGCTGCCGCGGGGCTCCTCACTGGTGCACCTGGGTGCCTTTGTGGGCGGCGGGCGGGCACCGCGCCCTGCCGCTGACCGGGGCAGTGTCGGACTGCAGGGCCCACAGGACTGCCTCCCTGGTGCAGATGAGGGCGCTGCACACTGCAGTGGGCAGCGCCAGGATGCTGGGGCTCAGCCCCGCCTCCTGCCGCCCCCGCCCAGCCAGCTCTGGCAGCTACCGGCGGTCCACGCCTGTGCGGGCTATGCTGGAGCAGTGGGTGACCCAGGAAGACGGGCGTGTGCGCTCCAATGCCACTGCGGCTGCTGCAGCAGCACCCGAGCAGGCGGTGAAGCCGGGGGACGATGACCGCACACGCTTCCAGCTGGTGAGTGTTTCGTCGCACTAGCCCTTGGTTTGCCCACACTCCATTGGCTTGTTCTCTCCAACTTTATCATGTGGTGCAATGCAGCACTTCAGCGTAGACATGTGGAGGTCGTTCTATCCGAGTCGCTGGTTAGAGGCCAGCATCGATAACGAGGCGGCACCACTGCAAGGTGGGCAAGGAGGGACGGCCTTGATGGCAGGCGCTGCCAAAAAAGGCAATGCTGGTGCTCAGCCATCCCTTTGCTGCGCAGATCGCATTCAAGCGTTCACCGACACGCTCTCAAACGCGGTCAGCACGGCGGGCATCCTGGGGTCCACCGACGCTGCCAGGTTCTGGTGCGACCGAGCTGCGATGCCACCTTGCAGCTGCGGTCTTGAGCAGCACATGCACAACTGCATTCTGACCAAAACACAACCTGGCCTGCTCTCCTTGCCATCATTGTGCAGGGCCTATCATCTCACGCGTAGCGGTTTCTTCATGATCCAGGTGAGGTGCTGCGCTGGCGTGCGTGTTGTGCTCCACGCGGCGCCAAGAATGGCAGCCGGGATATGATCGTGTCGGAGCGGCAACAGGCCTGGAAGGCGCAGTTGGGCTCGAGGCGACAGGCCCACAGCCCGGGGACCCTGCTGATTCGTGTCCCTTGCCGTGGTCCAGGGGGTGGCAAGCCTGCTGGCAACCCGCCAAGCCATTGGGCAGAATTCTCAGTCCCAAGCTCTTACTCGCTTTGAGACGATGTTCAGGTGGGCTGGGCCCTACATTTAGAACGCCATCTGTCCGCTTGTGCTGCACCATGTGTGCTCTCATCAGAAAGGCCTCCGCCCGTGTTCCTGCTGCCACGCAGGCGTGGCTGGGCTGGGCCGCTCACAGAGGCGCTGCTCACATTTTACCAAGATTTCGAGAACATCAAGGCAGGGGCGTACTCGCTGCCATGGGACATGATCACACTTGGCCATCGCCAGGCTAACCCGCTGTTCATTCTTCAACGAGCCTCCGCGTTCATTCGCGAGGCCACTGAAACCCTGCGCCGCAGGCAAGCTTACCAGCGTCTGTCATTGCCCGTTGCGGTCAGCGCAGTGGCTGTACACTCACTTACCTCCATCTTATAATCTGGCCTGCTGCAGAGATGCTGGCCAGCCGGAGCAGATTTGGCTGCGGTCCTCCCTCCTGCCCGATTACTTCCAGAACAGTGAGACAAGCCGTTGTTTTTGTGCCCAGTGGACTCATGTGTGCATTCAACTGAATATTGGCAAGGGAAGGTCGGCGGCGTCATGCCTGCACATACCCCGCCATTGCTGCAGCCTTCCACTATCAGACCGACGGCTGGCTCAGTGCTGAGAGCGGTGAGCCCTCAAATATCGATGCATACTATAGCCGCCGGTGCCGCCGGTGCCTGCTCACAAGGCTGCTCCTGTTCCTCGAGCTCGCCGCCCTCCGCCACCCCTGCTGCCTGCTCCGTGCAGCCAAGGTGTATGAGACGTCCACTGAGACGCTGTTTGTGGGCCGCCAGGTGTGGCTTGACGAGACCTGTGTTGACGATGGCCGATGGCAGCCGATTCCAAGCTGCTGAGATAGCAGCAATGCAAATAGAGTCCATGTTGCGCTCATGCCTGCAGGATGCGATGCAGCGCAGCACGCTGGTGCCGCTGCGAGAGTTTATGGAGGGCAAGGACGCCTCGCAGCTCAAAGTGGGTGAAGGGACAGGTTGGCGATGCAATGGCTGCAGCTGGGTCGCATGACCTGGGGGTTGCTGAATCTGTGACCGTTATCATGGCGCTGTGTTTGATGTTCACGCAATCTCCCTGCTGTGCCTGCAGGCGCTTGAAATCGGCGCGGGAACGGGCCGCTTTGCCACGTTTGTCAAGGACAACTATCCAGCCCTGCAGCTCACCGTGTCGGACCTGTCGCCCTTCTACCTCTCGGAGGCCAGGAGCAACATGCAGGTTCCATTCTGAGTTCATGTGCCTGCACATGCCCTCCCCTCCCGCGTGCCCATTCATTTCCCCACATGGCTGCAGTACTGGAAGAAAATGCGGGCCTCGGATGCGCAGCTGGGTGGCCTCGATGGCACGGGCGTGACATTCCTGCAGACGGCCGCAGAGAAGCTGGATGTGCCTGACAGCAGCCAGGACATTGTGTATGCCGTCTACCTCTTCCACGAGCTGCCCGCAGACGTCCGCAGGCAGGCGATCAAGGAGATGGCGCGCGTGACCAAGCCCGGCGGCATCGTCATCCTGACCGACAGCGCGCAACTGGGCGATCGCTTGGTTTACGACGACACGCTAGGCAGATTCTCAGACTTCAACGAGCCATTTTACTGCGACTACATCGCCACGCCGCTGGGGCCGCTCTTTGAGGAGGCGGGGCTGCAATGTGGCATCAAGGTATGTCGTGCGGGTGCAATCTGCCCGGACAGTTGCAGCCACCTGCCGCATTGAACTCACGGCTGGCGTGCTTCTTGTTTGCCTGCAGCTTGTGGCCAGCACAACGAAGACACTGTCCTTTCGGAAGCCGGTGGAGGGAGACATGTTTGCGCTGGGAGGCAATGCGGCAGCCGCTGCCACAGCAGCTGCAGCAGAGGTGGCGGCTGAGGCCCAAGAGGACGAGTGAATATGCTGCAGAGGTTTTGTGCACGTGCAGGGCGCTTGCTTCTGCCCGCTGGCTGAACACCCACAGCGTTCCCCAGCGGGATGCCGCTCAGGCGGCCACATCCCTGAAAATGAATCTACCAGGCGATCTAATGTTCATACTTCACATGTTGTGCAACATGTCATACCTCACCTTGTTGTGCAATATGCCCCCATTTTATGCCCTGCATCCAGCACGTTTTTGTTCATTTGATCTTTTCTCCAATCCCTCCTGGCATAGCGCCATGTTGCTTACCCCGCCAGCCTTCCCTGTTGGTGATGCCCAGCGATTGCCAATGACCCCATCCCAGCTGCATCAACTGTTCAGTTTGTCCGTGTCAGTTCAGATGAAAATCGTTTCGAGCGATCGGCGGCGGCCTTGTGCGGCGCCGGCAGTGGCGGCAGGTGCATCGGGCTTCAAGCAGCAACCCACCAGCGAGCCCACATTTTAACAACCGGGTTCTAGAGTCGATGACGTAGTACTGAGGGCGATCGGGGATGGAATTGCTTGATTGCTTGGCTCACATGATCGACAGTGCGAGAGAGCGGCCAATGTACCAGGTACACCAGCACACCCACGGCAGACAATCGCAATCGACAGAGTGCCGTTCCCCATGCAGAGGGCACCTCTGGCACCACTGCCACCTGTCTTGCAGGTTTTGCTTCTGCTTCTTTGTACGGGGTCATCATTTGAGTTGCACTGATCTACATCAGTCGCCAGGCTGGGAAGTTTTGTTGCAAAACTGCGTCGGCGCGCAGCAGGAGCTCCTCTCTCTGTCTCTCTCTTCCCCGCCCCTGCGGACGGCGGCAACTCCTCGCTGGGCTGCTGGCAGCAGGGGACAAAGGCACTGTAGACACTTCGCTCCCTCGACCAAAGCGGCCTGTAGCGGCCTGTAGCGGCCTTCAGCAGCAGCGACGCAGGGGCCGGTGGTGATGCCAGGCCCAAAGTGGCTGTGGGGAAAGGTGGGGGGCTGGGCACGGCGTGCGGCGGCGGCGGTGCTGGCAGCCGGACCCGTCCCCCGCCACGTCGCCCTGTGCATGGACGGCAACAGGCGCTACGCCCAGGCCCGCCACATGCGCCAGGTGGAGGGCCACACGTTTGGCTACCGCCGCCTGATTGACGCACTGGAGTGGTGTCTGGAGCTGGGGGTGCGCTACGTCAGCGTCTATGCCTTCTCCATCGACAACTACCGCCGCTGCGGCGAGGAGGTGGACACTCTGATGGCATTGGCCGAAGAGAAGCTGGCGCACATGCTGCAGGTGGGTGTGGCAGGTGCAAGGTGGGCCGCTTGGGTCCATTGCCGGATGTGCCGCTTGCATTCCTTTGCCCGTCGTTGTGGTGCATCTGCCAGGGTAACGTCTGCAACGAGGTGGGTGCTACGCTGCTTCCCACGCACTGCGCTTGCCGACACCTTGCTTGCCCGCAGGAGTATGACGTGCTGGTGAGGCATGGCGTGCAGGTGCGTGTTGTGGGCGACCTGAGCCTCGCACCGGCAGCGGTGCAGGTGGCTGCGACACGTATCATGGAAGCCACCGCTCAACATGACCGGGCTGTGCTCAACCTGTGCTTCTCATACACGTGCGTGCCCGCGGAGGGGAGGACCTAACAACGAGTCGCTTGCTGGGGCGGTTGTGCAGGCGTTGGCTGTGCTTGCTGCAGGTGTGGGACCTGGTGGCGTTGCTTTTGCAGCTGTAGATTGGCAGTTCCTAGCTTGTTGCAGGGCATCGGAGGAGCTCCAGCGAGCGCTAGATGACCTTGCTGCTCACCCAGCGCCCAGCAGCAGCAGTGGCAGTGGCTCTTTGACGGCAGCAGGCCTGGATGGCCAGCTGTACACACGTGGCTGCCCGCCGGTGGACCTGCTGGTGCGCACCAGCGGCGAGACGCGCCTCTCCGACTTCCTGCTGTGGCAGTGCCGCCACGCGCTGCTGGTGTTCACCCCGGTGTTGTGGCCCGACTTTGGCTTCTTGGACCTGGTTGCTGCCGTGCTGGAGTTCCAGCGGCATGCGCCCCGCTTGCAGCGCCTGCGCCACGCCGCAGAAGCCCAGGCAGCGGGCACGGGAGGTGCAGTACGAGTGGCAGCAACGTGCGGCACAGTGGTAGAAGCAGCAGCAGATGAAGCAGCAGACCAAGGGTTCTACAAGCAGCTGCAGGCAGTCAGTGTAGCACTGCAGAAGCGGCAGGGCTCGCCCCGCTCAGTCGCCTCCCCTGCCTCGCCCAGCAGTCCCAGCAGCTGCTCAGAGGAGTATGCTAGTGCGATGCCCGCAGCAGTAGCAGCAGAAGCGACCGATACGTTAGTCCTGCTGCGGCATCGACCACCGGTGGCTTCAGCTGGAGCGCAGCAGTACCAGAGCGGGGCCATTACGTAGCCGGGCAGGATCTATATATAGTAACACCAGCAGATTCCACTCATTCATTTTGACCATGCTTGTTGATTTGCACTGCATTCATAATCAATGTTTCATTTTTTACTCAATGATGCGCAATGCACAGATTGTGACAAGCGGCCGAGCTGGTTGGCTGGTGGACAACGGCTCCTGGCTGATGATCACACATGCCTATGCTGCCTTGCTGCCTATTTCACGCCTCCATCGCCTCATCTGCGTCGCTCTCTGTCTCGGATGCCTCGTCGCCAGAGGCTGCTTCGATGCTGTCACTGACGAAAGCGATGTGCTGCATCCTGATGCCCAAGGTCCAGGCGGCCATCAGCAGCGCCTCGGCCCGCCCGTGGTCCTTCTTGCGCCTGCAGTCCAGCGAGCGAGCATTAGAGCTGAAGAGAGATTCCAGCCACGAGCAGATACAGGCAGCACGCCTACTGGTGCATGTGTTGCGGCATTTCATGGCTGAAGTGGTGGCGGGCAAAGTGCAAGCGAGATGGAAAGTACGGCATTTGCTGCGCTCACTTGAGAAAGATTGAGGCGGTGGGCAACAAGTGGCGTGCCAGCGCGATGCTGCCATCCTTGCCCTGCTTCTTCAGCCCCATGGCCTGCTTCCAGGTGCTGGCTGCACAGCCAACCAGAGAGTTGGGAGGCGGTGGGGGATTTGTCGCGGAGGCAGCACTGGAAACAAAAATGGGGGTCCAGGAGCAGACACACGCATGCACCACGTCACCTTGCTCACCTGGCACACGGTGATAGGGGATGCCCTGGGCCGCCAGCAGCCCATTGAGCAGGCCCACCGCAAAGCCGATGCCATACCAGGCATACTTGCCGCAGACGTGGCCGGGCATGGAGTACTCCACCACTGCACGAACTACCGGCGGCAGCTCTGGTGGACTAGCCTGGCCGTCACCTAGACCGAGGCTGGTGACGCTGCTAGTAGGGACACTGTTTCCGCCATTTCTGACAATCTCCTCTGCTGCTGCTGCTGCTGCTGCTGCTGCTGCTGCTGCTGCTGATTTGCTTTCTGGCTCAAGCTCTGAGCCATTGCCAGCATTCTCCACCGTCTTGCTTCTTCTTCTTTTCCGTGTAGCACCAGACTCCTCTGCCTCCTCAACTTCCCAACTGCGCCTGATGCTGCTGCTGCTGTCCCCGCTGAACCCCAGGCCAAAGGCCCCGGTTCCGGCCGCCATGTCTGCGTAGCGCTGGAGGATGTGGATGAGGCCCTCGGCCTCGGGCTGCCGCTTGTCCCGCTTTCCGTACTTCCAAACTTCCACCGGCATGTCGTGCAGCTCCACAGACAGCTGGTCCAGCGGCGGCAGCGACGGCACAGGCAACGTTGGTGCTGCCTGCGGCGGCGCCCCATTAGCTGCTCGGGTGTTAGCTGAGCTGGAGCTGCCATCAGAACAGTCGCCATCAACGCTGCCGATTGCTCCTGCCGCAGCCTGTGCCATCGCCGGCGGGTTGAGCCAGCTCACCGCTGCCACCGCGCCGCCTATGTCGGGGTCCACTGCCAGCAGCACCGCCCGCCGCCCCGGCTGCAGCAGCTCGGGGAAGATGGGCGTCTCGGGTGGTGCCCGCTCAAAGCTGTACATCACCTCTGCAGCGAGCGAGGCGGAGAGGCTTGGCATGACGGCCACAGGGTGTTACACGCTGAGTGTCGCAAGCAGCATGGTTCCCCCCACCTGGTTGCGTGGCCTTGACGGCCTTGCTTCCGGCGGAGTGGCACTGGAGCAGCAAGCGCCTGCCGCCGCCTCGTGGAGCGGCAGCGGCTGCGGCGGCAGCTGGCGCCAACCGGCGCGCTACTAAACACGCCAGGGCCATCCTGTGGCTATGCTATAATGCCAGATGCAGATGGGTCCGATTGAAGGTCGCACTATGTTCGGCTCAAGGCTGGCAGGCATTCGCCTTGTCTGGCTGTTTGAGAGACTGCCAAGGCAGTCGAAATGCCTAACAATTGAAATGAGTTAGATGATGAGAAGCCAACTCACGCTGCTGGCCAGGCTGGCTGACCGGGGTTGGTGTGGGGGAGCCGTTTCGGCCGCTGCTTTGTTGCTTCCGGTGGTCCCTGGCTCAGGTGTTGCACTGTGCAGGGCGGGTGTTGGGGCCTGTTCGCAGTGCGACATGGTTTCTCTACACACGACGGCTATTCTAGCTGCGCTGGCTGCTGTCTGGGTGAGTGCGAGTTGTGTCGACCGAATGCATGGGCACTCGCGCCTCCTATCCACTGCAGACCACGGGTTCCTGCTGCCGCCGCTGCCCGCCGCCTCTGGCCGCCCCGTGCCTGCCGTTGGGGCAGGAGCCTGAAATGCATGCGAGGGAGGGACCTGTTGGGAGGAGGTAAGGCGGAAATGCCGCTCCACCCCATCGTTGGCATGAACAACGTGACGTCCCCGCCACCTGTCCTGCAGCTGCTAGTGGTGGGGTTCCGCATTCTGCCGCGCTGGCGGCTGCGGCACATCCCGCTCGTCAAGCCCCTGCCGTTTCTTCTTGGCCACCTGCTCGTGTTTGTCCGTCAACCCCTCCACGAATGTTACAAGCGTTGGGCTCGGGAGTACGGCAGCATCTTCCTGGTGTTCTTTGGGTGAGGGCTGGTGTGGTCGCTGGGGGTTGCGGGCTGGGACATCAAGCTGTGCTGTGGCTAATTCCATGCGTTCTACCAGCCTGCTCCACCTGCCTACCCATTCTTTGCCTCCTTGCAGAAAGAACCCCTGCGTCGTCTTGACCGGTGGGTTTTGATGCCGTAGGCTTTTGGTTTTATGATGTGGCATTGACAGTGGACTGGGCTGGCCTGCCTTACTTGCCCTCCCTCATGCCCTCCCTACCTACCTCTCAAAAACAGACCCGGATCTCATCCGCCAAGTGGCGGTCAAGCACTTTGCCAAGTTCCACGACCGCCCATCCATCCTCTCCGCCATCGGCTCCGCCAGCTCGTGCGCACCCGCTCTGCAGCTGCGCAGCCTGCTACCCACTTTGCGCTCACCATCTGCTCAGTGCCGCGTCTAAATCATTGACACTGCCCATGCCTGCCATGGGCTGCTGGGATGCCGTGCAGCAAGAACAAGCGGCTGACGGCACTTCGGTCGGGCTTGCTGGTCAGCCGCGGCGGCTTGTGGGGGAGCCTGAGGGCCGCCATGAACCCGCTCTTTCATACCACGGCCCTGCACAGCTATTCGCCCATTATGAATGACTCAGGTAGGCAGTCGGGCAGGGCTTGGTGGTTTGGGTGGCAAGGGCGCCTGCCCTGGCGTAAGGTACTCACGGGTTCACGCCTCATCCCTGCAGTCGGCCGCCTGCTGGAGCGGCTGGAGGGTGCAGCGGGCAGCGGCACAGTGCCGTTGGACATTCACATGCTGCTGGGACGCACGACTTTGGAGGTCATTGGACGAACGGCCTTTGGGTGCGAAGGCAGCGGCTGGTCGTGCCGCTGCTGGCGACGATGCATGGTGACAGCTCACATTGGCAGCATTGCAGCGGTTCGATTTACTCACCCTGCTTGCTACGACACCTCTCCACTTGTGCAGGGTTGAGTTCATCACAGACGGTGAGCGTGAGGACCGCCAGGCGGGGCGGCCCAACCTGGTGGCCGCAGTCAAAGTGAGCATTCAAAGCACGAGCGATCGGGGGCCTGGACGCGGGTTGGCAGCACTGAAGCCAGAGTAGGGGCTGGCCGTCTCCATTTGCGTTAAGCTTTTGCTGTGTTTTTGTCTGGTCACTCCGGTCCTGCCCGGTCCTTGCCCTGTTCCAGGTGATCTTTTCGGCTGGCGGCTTCATGCCAGGACAAGGCATCGGCATCCTGTTCAGGATAATGCCAGACTGGCTGGAGCCGGCGCTGTTCTGGCTCTTTTTCACCATGGTGGTAAGCAACGGCCGGGGATGGCAGGGTGGAGTACCAGCTCTCTGTAAAGCTGTCTGTGGATATACAGCCTGTGCTCATGTGCTGGCCTGCAGGGCGGGCTTGCTAAGAGGCTCGAGTATGCCCGCACCACCTTCATGTCCACGGCAGATCTACTCATTCAGGCAGGCCGCCGCCTCCGCCGCGCACTGTCAGCCTGCTGCTTGCCATTGCTGTGGTATGTGCGAGGCCCTGGCACCCGCCAATAGGATCTCGTGGGCGACCCCTGTTTGACCAGCGTCCGCCTCCACTGCCCCTGTCGTGTGCCCCTGCAGGCTGCAAAGCGGGCTGCGCTGGCGCGGGGGGATCAGGTGGTGCTGGTGGAGTCGGACTGGCGCTGGTGGTCCCTGTCTTCCGTCTTTGTGCAGCAGAACCCCTATAAAGTGAGTGTTAGGAGGCAGAGCAGGATGCACTGGGAAGTTTGCAAGCCGGCAGGCACAGGGGTGTAAGGTGGTGTGCAGCGACAGCTGGTGTCTGCTGCGCCCTCTGTGCAGAACGTCACCCCCGCCCCAAACAGCGTAATCGACATGCTCATGCGTGCAACCAACAAGGAGACGGGGCAGGGCTTGAAGGACGTCCAAGTGGCAGTGCAATGCAACACTCTTATTGCAGGTGAGCTGCTCGACCCGGTCGTCCGTTGGGGCATGCATGCTCCTGACACCCTGGTCTCACGATGCGCTCTTGTGTTCTGCTTGCCCTGCAGCCGGATATGAGACTTCAGCAAACGCTCTAGCATTCACAATCTACTGCCTGGCCACGCACCCCGAGACGGAGGCCCGGTTGCTGGACGAGATTGATGCCTTTGGCGGCAAGGTGGGGCCAGAACCTGAGCTAACTCAGCACATGCCAGCCTCCCTCTGCCCACGCTTTTGTGCCTCATCCCCTCCTCGCTATTAATGCAGGAGCCGGGCCTGGATGACCTGCCCCACTTTCCGTTCGTGGAAGCGGTCATCAACGAGTCGCTACGTCTGTACCCGCCTGCCCACACCACCAACCGCGAGTGCACAGCGCCGGGCGGCTGCACACTACTGGGCGCCGGTGGGCAGCAGTACCACCTCCCGCAGCACACATGGGTGCGCTGGGTGGCTGCCGCCTTTGCCGCCTGTCGGTCTGGTTTGCCTCTTCTGCACCCTGAGTCGTGTACTGAGCCCTGAGTCGTGTACTGCCTGCCGTTGGGTTGTTGGGCTTCGTTTGCAGGTGCACTTCGCCATCTTTGCGCTGCACCGCAGTGAGCAGCACTGGGTGCAGCCAGCAGCCTTCAGGCAAGCAAACTTTGTTTGCGGTAGATACTTGTGCCTACAAACCACCTCCCCAAGGTGTATCACTTAGCAACACCCTCATTACTCGGCTGCAGGCCGGAGCGCTTCCTGGATGCAGAGGAAGCCTCCAAGCGCCACCCAAATGCCTTCATGCCGTTTGGCCTAGGGCCCAGGATGTGCATTGGCTACCGCTTTGCGCTGCAGGAGCTGCAGATTGTGTTGATCAGGTGGGTCACTCGGGTAGTGGCTGCGGGTTGGCATGTGTGTGTGTGTGCAAGTGTCTCCCTGTTGCTGCAGGCACTGGGTTACCCAGCTGCAGGGCTCAGCGAATCAGTGGGAGTCCCACGCTCACACGGTGCTGGCAGCCCTCTGCCCACCCTGCAGGATCTATCAGCGCTTCACCTTCCGCCTGGCGGCCGAGCAGGTGCAGCCGCTGCCGCTGCGGGCTGGCCTCACGCTCAGCCCCAAGGATGGCCTCTGGGTGACAGCCCACCAGCGAGCGGACGGGGGCACAGCAGCGTCTGGCACCACCCCGCGGCCCTCTGTGCCAATGGCCGCTACAGCTGCTGCATAGCCAGGAACCGCAGCTTGGCTGGCAGCGCAGAAGCAAGGACCCCGATGCCAGTGCTGCTTGTCTCTTCGCTGTCCTGTATACTGTACAGTACGCTCTTTGCAAATTTGCCACCTGTACGTTTTCGACCTGTGCTACCTCAGTGTGGCTTTGCAACCATTTTGCAACACCCAAGCAGGCCAGAGCAGCATCAGCAGCGGCATCGGATAACAATGGCACCAGCAGGGACAACAGCAGGTGGCACGGCTGAGGGCTCCGTTCAGAGGCAGGCAGCATGCGCCACACCAATAAGCCCCTCAGGGCTGTTGGATTGAGGAATTGGAGTGGAAGAGAAGGTGGGTGGCGGGTTTTCCTTGCCGTGCGAGCGCTGGCAGGCCGTTCACCAGGGCGGGGACACCGGCCCAGAGAAGAGGGCCTCCTGCTTAGCGACGCATGTCCAGGTCCCTGTCGACCCATCGCATACCGCATGCTCGATGTTGCTCAGGGCCTTGTTGCTGCAAATAAGGCGGCGCAGCAAGGCAGCTTGTCGGCATCAAAGCATGCGCCTGGTTGATGGGAGCAGACGCTGCATGCGGCCGGCCGCAGGGCGGGATGCAAATCACCCTCCAGATGTCTGTTGACAAACCACTCACTTGGGACAGATGAGCGGCACGGGGGCGGAGGTGCAGTATGTGGCGTATGCAGGGGTGTCCTTCAAAAAGTAGGAGATCACTTCGCAGCTACCCATATTGCAGCCTCCCAGCGCCCAGGTGTTGCGCAGCTGCGTCAAATCGCCCAGCTTCTGTTCATAGGTCAGCTCATCAGGCACGCCACAGACGTAGCACGCCTTGCCGCACTTGAAGGCCTTGGTAAAGTTTCGCAAGACCTGATCACCGGGGCAGCTCACAGAGGCTCCGGTGCACAGTTCGGGTTTGTCACTGCAGGCAGTGGCAGGGCAGGCAGGGCAAGCAGGGAAGGGGGTTAGGCACCACTCACAACCGCGGGCGGCAATGGATGCCCAGCTGGCGTCATTCCCGGCGGCGAACCCACCACTTGTCCGCGGCCGCCCTGCAGACGTGGGTCGAGGGCTTGAAAGCGTCTGGGCCGCAGGTGGCCGCAACTCCATCACAAACTTCTTCCTGATCGCACACACCTGCAGATTGGATGGCATGGGGCAATGGTGAGGTGGCTCAGATGGGCAAATGGCAAATCAGTGAGTCACAACGAAAAAGCTGCATTTCAGTGATTGTCCCAGAGCTGGGTGTCTTTTGGGCTCCCGCCGGTAGGCTTCAGGGTGCCTGGCGACACGGCACCACCGCAAGGCGATAGGCTGGCGCGCAAACACATTGCCGCCCCAGTCAGTGTGCCCCAGTTTCTTGCATCTTCAACCCCCCCCCCCCATTGGTCTCATCACTCGGCTGAGACCAGCTCCAACCATTTGACCGCAGCACAGCAGCACACGCGACGCGTGACGGCGCGCGCAGCAGCGGCAGCGTCACACACCTGCGGCTTCCCGGCACACCGTGTCCTTGGGCAGCACGATGTCCTCGGGGCAGGCTTTGCCAATTCCGTCACACGTCTCCTCGATATCACAGAGGCCAGCCTGGGCGCGGCACACGACTGAGCTGTTGGCGACGGCATCTTCGGGACACTGGGCTTCGCCACGACACAGCTCGGGAAGATCGCAGTCGCCGCTGGCGGCGCGGCACAAAGTCCCCTCGGGCAGGAAGGTGTCAGATGGGCAGGCAGGACCTTCCCCCGAGCAAAATTCAGCCGAATCACAGGCGCCAGCGGCGGGACGGCAGATGGTGGTGGCGTCGGCAAAGGGGTTGGCGGGGCACTCCAGCGAGTCGCCAGTGCACACAGCGGGCAGGGCACAGACGTCAGGAGCATCCCGGCAGACGGTGCCGCGGGCCGCGGGCCGGGTGGCGCAGGTGCCGGCGGAGCAGAAGCCTTCCACGCAGGGGCGGTTGAGCGCCAAATAGGAGCATTGGCCGTCGCTGGTGCAGCCGTTGGGGGTGCCGGTGCCGGGGCCTCGGGGGCACGTCGCCAGGTCGATGACGTTCTCGCACACGCCACTCACAAAAGGCGTGCCCTCGCCCGAGCAGCTGGTGGCCGCCCCGCCGCAGCAGCGCCCCTCCTCAGTGCAATCGACAAAGCCGCCAGCCTTGCCTGTGGATGCATTGGCAGAAGCATGGATGCCATTGTGGGCTCAAGCCGGGAGAGGATGCTTGAGCAGGCAGCAGTTTTTGGCCTGCCTTTCGTAGCGTAGCGAAGAAGGCGAAGGCCTCCGGATCCCGACCATACTGGTGTTTGGCACACCCATTTCACGGCATTTCACGCTCAGTTTTGCCTTGTTGGCAACTCTAATTTCCTTGCACCGCATTTTAAGACTCGATTCCGGTTCATTAAACCTTTGGGAGCATTTCTGTTGCGAATTGGCCGCGAAAGAGTGCCAGACCACGAAGATTGAGGGGCGCCAACGTGGCGCCAGCCTTTCGCCGCCTTTGTGTCCTCCGGCTGCCGCAGCCACCCACATTCCTCCACCTCTTTGATTCCCGCCCCATCTGCCCTCTTCCCCCACGCTGCATCTACGACTCCTTTCAAGGGGGTCTGCATCCCGGGGCAGGCAGGCCCTCTCGCGCGAAAGCACGATTATGAAGTAGGAAGGGGCAGTCGGCCTGGGCTGCTCAGCCCTATGCTCTCGAAACGGATGCACCAGATGTAAGTGCATGCCCTGCTCCGCCGCCCTGCTGCTGGCCCATGCCGATGCATGCGAGGGCCATGGCCAGCACCCCTCACCCCTGCCCACACCTCGCTGACCGCGGGGGCTGCCACATCCAAGTGGCACATGCCATGCTCACCATCGTGGGTCTGGATGGTCAGCATGGTGGCGTTGGTAGGCACCGAGTAGACAGCAGATGTTACTTCGTTGCGCTTGTTCTTGCCTAGTTCGTACAGGTCCTCGGGTGCGGTGCCGTTGTTGCAGGAGCCGTCGACCAGGGAGCAGTCCAGAGGGGCGATGCCGTCGGCGGTTGAGCTGCGGCAGCACATCCAGCTGAGGGCGGAGCCCTTGCAGCCGGCCACGTCGATGGTGATGCGCAGGCTGGTCTCGCTGGTGATGGGGTCGGTGTAGCGGGTGGCGCCAGTGCAGACGGCACAGTTGTCGGTGCAGTCGTAGGAGCAGGTGGGGCCTCCTGCACAGTGCGCAGAGCGGAGGGGGAGGGGGGTTGGGCGGCGGGGTCGCATCAGCGAGCTGGGTCAGCAACTGGACACCGGCTGCAGTGGCGCAGACTGCAGGATCGCTGGTCGGTTGCCCCACAGCGTTGCCGCCCATCCCTCCCTACACACCCACGCCCACACCCACCCACCCACCCACCACACCACGCACACCACCTGGCCACCCACATTGGCCAGGCAGCTTGCATTATTATTGCAATTGATTGTTCCTGGTTTTCACTCACCATTAAGTCGCCTCCTGCCCATCATGGCCTTGGGCAGGTAGGAGTCAGAGGCGCCTGCAATCAGCCGGGGGCCCAAAGCCGCAGGGGTCACTAGGGGGTTGACGCCCTTGCGGCACGCCGGGAGGGAGGTTCCACTGATGCTGCCCAGCCGGGTTTGTTGTGACAGGCGCAGCAGGGAAAGAGCCCTCTTCCCAGTCCTCAACCCCACAAACTGATCAGAAGACTCCTCAAACCCACTGTGGCGTCGCCGGCCGCACGCGGCGGTACTCTGCTGGGAGCCAGCTGCAGTGGCGGCAGCAATGGAGACAATCCCCACTCGCCTGAGCAGTCGGCACAAGCCAGCAGCAGGGCCGCCATTGCCACGCAAAGCAGCCTGGACAAGGTGATGGGTGGGTGGCGGGAGGGCAAAAAGTGGGTTGGGTGTGGAAGGCTAGGTTGGCTGGGGACAGCCCTGTGCGTGGAAATAGAAGGCGGAATGGAGGCAAGGCTGGCTTCGCGGGCTTTTGAGGCGCCCAAAGCGCGCAGGACCATGTCGTACTAGAGCACGCTTCAGGACTTCGACTGGTCACATAAAGGGGGGAGCTTCAAGGCTCCCAAGAGGGCATGCACGAAGCAACAGACGGTTCCCCGCCTTGATTCAGAGTGAAAACCAGAGTGAAACCACTAGTTCCCCTCAAACACAGCCGCAACCGCCGCCAGTGGCCAGCTGCGGCAGGCTTTCCTGGGCGGGTTGATGTTGGAATATCATAATTCTGGAGACAGTGCTTGATGAACTGGAGACAGTGCTTGATCAACCTCATGAAGTTTCGTGCAGTAACTCCACCCCTTTCCCGTTGTCGCTTTGCCCCCCGCCTTTTGGGTTCGACCCCAACTGCTAGTTACAGCACTGGAACCCCTTGCCCCTCCACCTGCAACTGTGCGGTACATTTTGCCGCAAAGAGGCCCCCTTATCTGTTGCTGCCTGGCTATAGCATATCCGGCTCACACTGGCTCATTGTAGGACCAACAACAGCACAACAAACTCCACCTGGGAATTCAGCTGGCCGTGCACGGGACGGCCGTGGCCACAGCCGACCCATCAGCTGCGCGGCTGCTGCTGATGCACACGCGACCGGTCCTCCCAGCGCTGCTCCCCCATCAGCCACACGCGGTTGCTGCTCTGCAGCAGGGCAGGGCCGCCAGGCGGCGGCGGCGTCAGGGCATTTGCAAACTCGCAGTTCCCCGCCCCTCCTGCACATGTGCTGGCCCGCCGTCGCCTGCCGCATCCCGTATTCACGTCAGGTGCTGCACAGCCAAGCCCCGTGAACCTGCCCAACCCATTGCCCACCTGCATCGACAGGTCCTCATCGGCACTGTCGCCCGTGTGCAGGCTGAGCAGGTCGGCGGGCGTGGCGCTGGGGCCCAGCAGGAAGCGCCAGGTGGCGGCGTCACACACTCCACTCTCAGGGTAGCTGTTGCATGCCTGCAGATGACCATGACAGCACGAGGCAGGTAGGTACAGCTGCAGGCCGCAGAAAATGGTGGAGACCCACCCTGGTTGCAGGCTTTCGCCAGCAGCAAGAAACATGCCCTGCCACCAAGTTTTGCACGCACCTGGCACGTTTTCAGCGCTGCCATGGTGCCGTCGCCAAAAATCCACCACCGCATGTCGTCCTCTGCGGAAACCAGGCACACGAGCGATCCAGTGGGCCAGCAAAGGAACCAGCATGGCAGCCGCTCACCACAAACACTGTGTGTCCTCGTACTCCCCCACAGTGCTTCCTTCACCTCACCCAACCCAGCTGTGGTGGCCACACACCTGAGGGATAGTACCCCGCCCGCTCCAGGGCCACGTGCAGCGCATGCACCTCACGACCGCCGTCGCCGTCCATGAGCACGGGCCATTCTGCACATAGCACGACACACAAACACATAGCGGCCCGCAAGCTGCTTGCATCCTGACCAGGCACTGGCCATCGTGCTGGATGGCATGTGAAAACTACTATGGGAGCGGCATGCTCACACACACACACACACACAAATGCCGCACCTGTGTAGGTCTCCTTGTGCCCCACCTCCACCTTGGCGCTGACCTGCTCCGACCCAGCCCCCAGCTCCACGGTCTGGCTCACAGCCACAGTATCGCTGACCACCTTGCCACCAGCTGCATGATAAGGGAGAAGCGGCAGTTGTGCAAAGCAGCATAGCAAGCAAACCGTCTGCCAGCATTGAATGCATAAAGCCAGGCCAAGCCAAGCCAAAGCCTTGACGAGCGCTTTCAAGCTTCACAGATTCTGACCCACCTGCAACGGTGTCGGTGACAGTGAGCTGCTGCACATCCTGCAGACTGCCCTCGCCATTGGGCTGCACCGTCTCGCTAAAGGCAGCGCTGAACAGCTCCGCATATGCAGGCCTGGCTGGGGCATCTGCCGCCGGCTGCTGCATCTCGGTAGTGCTGCTGGGCTCGGCCTCCGCTTTGTTGCCGCCCAGGATCGACAGCCCCGGCACATTGAGCATCATGTCGGCAGTGAGGTCGCGGGTGGCCTTGGGCTGCAGCTCCGGGCCTAGCAGCTTCACCCAGGTGGCCTCGTCGGTGATGCCCGTCTCGGGCAGGCCCTCGCAGCACTGCCGCCGCAGAGCGACACGCAGGCAGGCAGTGGGAGCGCAGCCGCAGCAGTCAGTTGTGCACAACGGTGAGCAAGCCACGTGACCAACCTTCCCCACTGATTTCCCTGCCAGGCCGCTTCCTTCTTCCTCCCAACCATCGGTGTACGGCCAGCCGCCGCCCACCTGCATGGTCATCAGCGCGTTCATCGTGCCCTCCCCAAAGAAGAAGACGTCGATGTCGTCGTCGCCTGGGAAGTAGCCCAGGTCCACCAGCGCAGTGTGCAGCTGCAGAGCATGGCGAAGAGATGAGGCAGGTGCTGAGAGGGAGTGGGGGGCAAGGAGTGAGGCGTAGAAGAGACGGTCGGCTGGCACAGCTGCCCTAGGGCCGTCACCAGAGCGCGGCAGCGGGGCGCAGCGCTGGACGGCCTGCCTCCAGCAGCGCACGTGCCTGGTTGACCCAAAAGATGTCGTCAGCGCCTAGGGTGAGTGGTGGGGGCGGTCCGTGGGATGCCTCTGCATCCGCCTCGGCGGCGGCTGGCTGGGGCGGTGCTGCCACCGGCTGCTCCACTGGTGGAGCCACTCCTGGCTCCTCCACCGGCGTTGCCGCCAAGCTGCTGGCAGCGGCCTCAGCTTGCACAGCAGCCCGCCGCTCCTGCAGCTCAAACATGCCCACGCCCTTGAGCACATCTGTGGTGTCCACAGCTGCCACCGCTGCCGCCAGATCCACGGCATAAGAGGGCAGCTCCGAGTTGCTGCCCGCTGGCCATGCCGCGCTAGGGCTCACCACGCTGCTGCTGCTGACGCTGCTGGGGGCAACGGCAGGCGGGGGGGGCTGCGCTGTGCTGCCGCCAGCACCGGCCTTCATGGCATCCACAACCGCCTTGACCTGCTCTGCAGGGCTCACGGCGCTGCCAAAGCTGGTGCTGGCCAGCGCAGCGGCTGGCTCCCGCGCCGCAATGGCCGCCTGCTGGCTGCTGGCCATGTAGCTGCTGGTGCTGCTGGCGGCCGTGGCGGCGGCGCCTGGCTGTGCAGCTGCCGCCCCGCCGCCGGCCTGCCCGCTGTTGAGCTGGGCCAGCACATAGAGCAGCTGTGCACGCAGCTCGGCAGCCTCCTGCCGCAGCGCCGCCTCTGTGGCCTTCCATTCCAGGCGCTCCTCGGCAAAGCGCTGCTGCTCGTGGTCTGCCTGCTCAAGCAGCCGCTCGTACATGGCCGCCTGGCGCTGCCACAGCTCGTACTCGCGCGCAAGCAGTGCGTCGCCATACGGCGCTGGTGGCGCGGAGGCAGACAGGCTGCGAGGCAGGAAGATAGCAGAGGCAGAAGACAGCCTAAAAAAATGGGTATGGGTGCTCGAAGATGAATCAGGCAGCCAGGCATGTGGCATAGAACGGGTTTGTGAACAGCGGCGGCAAAAGCAGCGTCCAGCGGCGGCGGCAGCATCAGGCTCAGCCTGCCCCTCACTCGGATGCGCCTGCATCATCATCCGCCTGCACGACAGCCAGGCATGTGGGGCGGCAGGGTGAGGCGGTGGCTGGGCTGGGCGGCACGGTGCAATGCAGGGCTCCGGGTGTGGGCGGCACATCACCTTGGACGCCCGTGCTCGTCTTGCGCAAACTACAAGAGCGGGAGTGAGGGATCTCGCACTCCGTGCAGAGCGCGCAGAGCCGATCGCTGGCTGCGGGGCTCTCCCGAGCAGACGGCCTGTTGCTGCTTTCTGCATGGTGCTTCGCTGGGAATGGTGGGGTCCTCAGGCAGCAGGGGAAGCTCTTCCCCTGCAGTGCCACCATTGCCGGCCAGCTCGGATTTGGCTGTAGGATCCTGTCCTAAAGCGCCCTGCGTCCCCAGAGTTCGTAGAGCAGCAGGGAGGCACAGAACCAGCGCCAACCACCCCAACTGCCGCCTGGGAGTCCACGCCGCGTGCGGCAACAGCAAACAGCCGGCGCAGCCGTTGCAGCAGCAGAAGCAAGTGGCAGTGGCGCCGAGAGTCAACGCTTTGCAGCCTGCAGCCCCAGCGAGATGGCCGAGTCCGCTCAGGCCGCCCAGGCCTCCGAGGAACTAGTGGCCAGTAGGGCTGGTGTGGTCCTGGGCTACGTCGCTAAACTGAAGGAGAACGCAGCTGCCAGCTTCAGGGAGGTGAGTCCGCCGCGCGGCTTGGGGCGTCAGCGCCCGCGCCACCGCCGCCGCGGCTGGCCACAAACCTGCCCTGCCTCCTCCCGCTGTGCGATGCAGGCCAAGCCATGGTCCGAGGTGCTGGACCGCACCGCGTTTGCTAAGCCCAGCGGCATGGCGGAGGTGTGCTGCCCTGCGCAGCTGGCGCCGGGTCGCGTGCCTTGTCTGCGGCGCCATCCTGGCTAGCTTCCCTGCCCCGCTGCTGCCGACGATTGTCTGGGCTGCCCCGCCCTGCTATCATGCTGCGCAGGCCACCGGGCGCATGCGCAAGAATGTGGCCTACTTCAAGGTCAACTACGGCATTGTGGGGCTGGGCACCACCGCGCTGGTCATGTTCCTCAACCCCTGGTCCCTCATTGTGCTGGCCTTTCTGGCCCTGGTCTGGGCCTACTCGTACATTGTGCGCAGCACGCCCTTTGTGATCGGCGGCCGCGAGCTGAGGTGCGGGCCTGCAGAAACAGCGCCAACCAACCTGTCACGCCAGCCATTGAAGCCATCCTGCTGCATACCGGCAATGGTGATGGATGGACGCTGGCATGCCAGCACCCAGGCAGCATCCATCATCTGCACCCTCACCTTGCACACCCTGCAGCGATCGCGAGAAGTTCATGTCGCTGAGCGGCTTCTCGCTGGTGGTCATCTTCTTCCTCACCTCTGTCGGCTCCACTCTCTTCTACGCGCTCGGCCTCTCCATGCTGCTCATAAGCGCGCATGCCGCCTTCCATGTGCCCGGTGCGTGGTTCGGCATGGAGGATGTTCTGAGGGTGGGGCTGGGGGCCGCAGCAGTGGCAGCATGCAGTGGAGGTGGCCAGGTCGGCATGTGTCGCTGTGTTGTCCTGCCCCCTCCCACCCCCCATCCCCGCCCCCGACCCGCAGACGACTTGTTCCTGGATGAGGTGCCGGAGCAGTCGAGCGGCGGCTTCCTCAGCCTGCTCACAGGCGGCAGCAAGCCGGCTGCGGCGGTGGTGGCCTCGGTAGTCTGAGCCCCGGCAGCCGTTGTGCGGCCCAAGTTTGTGTGTGCATGACTCGTGCCTGGTTGCGGCGACCGCAACGTGGAAAGACTAGACCGCTGCTGATGCCGATGCGCCGCTGCGGCACCCTACTGCGGCTGGTCCGCGGGGAGCTGACTTCTGGGGTGTGGTTCCCACCACTGCTCGGTGCCGGGTGTAACGCTTCCTTGTCGCTTGGCCCACCATCCTGTCTGTCATGTGCCTTCTTTCATTCATTGACGCTTGACGGTTATGTTGTGCCTCGGGTGACAGAACTAGACTGGGGAGCGGGGATTTGCTGTGGCCATTCACCTAATAATGGGGGGCGGCGATGAGCGCGCTGGGCACGATGTGGCGGGGAGGTGGGGGAAGCACCTGAAAGTAGCATTGTGCTACCCTGTTAGTCATCAATGGCAGCTGCACACTGTTCTTGTAGCTATTCAGCAGCGGACACGCGGCTTCGACGACTTGTGCAGAGCGAGTGTCCTTCAGCTGCAGCGGGTGCAGTGGGGCGCGTTTACATCTTTACCTGGTACTCGTCGCCCGTGACCGCCTGCAGCGCCGCTTCATGCCCGCCAGCAGCACTGCCCGCCGCCTCCGGCTGCCAGTTCCGGTCACCATCGTCACCGGGGCACTAGCAGCCGGCAAGACGACCATGGTGGCCAGCCTGCTGCGGTGCAAGCCTGCCAACGAGGTGTGGGCGTGTCTGCTGAACGAGTTTGGGGCGGCTGGGCTGGACGCGGCACTGCTGGAAGGCGAGGCGGCTGCGGTCAGCGGTGGCGGCAGTATTATCATCCATCAGCTGGCAGGAGGCTGTCTGTGCTGCGTGCTGTCCAACGTGACGCCCCTGGCCATCGCCCAACTGTTGCGCCGCGTCAAGCCCGACAGGTGCGACGGCGCCCTGCTTTTTGGGGGGCATTCCACGTGACCTGCCCTCAGCCAAGCCGGGGCAGCTTCGACCTGTTTTTGCTGCCTGAAACAACAATGCTGCTCCTGACAACCGTCCATGCTGCTCGTGCCAGGTTGATCATCGAGCCCAGCGGTCTGGCCCACCCGGCCACCCTGCTGGACATGCTGCAGGGCGAGCACCTGGGCAGCTCGCTGGCGGTGCAGCCAGTGGTGTGTCTGGTGGGTGGCGGGGGGCTCTGGTACCATGCCGTTGCCTGCGACAGTGTTTTGCATGTACCACCTGTTGGATCATCGACCTTTTGCCAACTTCATGGGCTGCTTGGCGCAGGTGGATGCCACTCAGTTTGTGGGCGGCACCGGCCAGCCGGCCTGCCTCTCCAGCCAGCTGCTGGCTAACCAGATCAGCGTGGCAGACGTGCTGGTGGGCTCTAAAGCTGATATGTGCAACAGTGACACGCTGCGCGCTTTCCAGCGGTGGGCTGAGCAGCTCTTCCCTCCCAAGCAGCTCGTGACGACAGCGAGGCACGGCTGCTTGGCTGATGCCGTCACTGCCGCCATGTTTCCTGGCCTTACGGCGAGCAGCGGGGATGGGGCCCAGCAGCCAGCAGCAGCAGCAGAAAGGCAGCAGCAGCAGCAGCAGCAGGTGCAGCGACCGTGGCGCAGTGCCACAGGCTTGCCCTGGCTTAGTAGCAGCGCAGCCCATGACGGCGTCAGCAACGAAAGCGGCGCCCAGCAGCAAATGTTTCAGCGGCGAGAGGTGCAAGATGCGAGCAGCACCCATGCCGCCTGCGGCTGGATTTTCAACCGCAGCTGCCTCTTTGACCGCCCACGGCTGGTGGCTCTCCTGCAGCTGCTGGTGCCCAGCTGCCTGCGGGTGAAGGGCGTCTTCCGTATGGCGGCGGCACGATGGGAGGCGGTGTCGGCTGCGCCCGGGCCTTTTGCAGCAGCAGCAGCAGCTCCGGAGACAGAAGCAGTAACTGCGCCGGTGGCTGTGGAGCTCCGAGAGATGGCGTATCGCGCCGATAGCCGGGTGGAAATCATTCTGGGCATATCAGCGGCGACGTCCCCAGCGGCATGCCCCTCTGGCGGCAGCAACAATGACAGACGCGAGCAGCAGGCGTCGAGCTCCAGCCTGGCAGACGACGCCAGCAGCGTAGAGCTGCGGGTAGCCAAGGCACTGGGCGCAGCAGCGGCAGGGGACTGGGCGCTGCTGCAGGCGCTGTTGCTGGCGACCCTGCAGGAGGCCCAGGGTGCATGATGGCTGTGCGGTGCATACACTGCGCTGATGTTTGCTGGTTCGCCTTGTAATCTGTAACACAGTTCAAAAGCGACTTCAGAAGGGGTTGGTGCATCACCCGACAGCAGGTGCTGCGGCGGGCAGGCCCTGAATGGCAAGGAATGATCCATCAGGACCCCGCTGCATGGGAAGCTCCTGCAGAACTGCTGATGGGTCGATACTGCCATAGAGGTGCGGAAAGAGCGGCGCCTCGGCCAGCTGCTCGTCATCCTGCTGCTGGTCCTCCTGTCCCCCACACAGCAGCCCCTTGCTACTCGTGTTGCCCACCGGCGCTGCCGGCTCGTACTTGACCTGCAGAGAGCATAATGGGCCTGTTTGAGTCTTCCAGCAGGCAGGTGGCTCCGCCGCCGTGATTCATAGCGGCCAACCATGAGCCCCCACCTCGGCGGTGAGCTTGGATGCTTCCAACACTAGCACAATCCAATCTCCCGTCGATGACGTATAAAAATGGTTGGCGACCGTCAGGAGCAATGAGGGGTCACCCGTGAGATGAATGAAACCATCCTGATTGTAGCTGCAGGTCACATTAGGTAGTGAAATCTTCGCAACAGAAGGTGAGGGTCACCCATGCAGAGGCACCGCAGCGGCGGAGAGGGTGGCGGTTGAGGGTGGCGGCGCCTGGGCGGAGGGGCCCACACTTGACCGCCACAGCAGCATCATCAGCAGATCTTGCACGCCTACGTTGAAGAAAAATATGGCTTGGATCCTTGCTTGCAAGCCTCCCACTCAGAAGCCATCACCATGTGAAACAGGAGGGAGGCCATGCTTGCAGCCGAGCCAATCGTGTCTTGGGATGGCTTGGGCCGGCATGCAGCGGTCCGTTTATTAAAGCCCCGTTTGATTGATCATTTCAGTGCTTAGGTGTCTGCCACGTAGGCCCCGAGATGAGCCCACACCCAGCGCCCAGCCAACTGGTGCAAAAGACCATGGTTGCCCTGGCACCGCTGGCCCAGAGCCCGGCGGGCAGTAGCGTACTACCACCTGTTTCACAGCGAGGTACTCCACCACTACGCGTCCCACACAAGCGTGCAGCGGCACCCCGGCAGCTTAGAAGAAAACCACGCCCAGCAGCCGCAGCAGCCAGCTCGCACGATGAGGTGAGCGCGCACGAGGGGCGGCAAGGCCCCGACGCTCCGACGCGGGCGCCGTCCACACAGAGCCACCCTGCGGTCTTGGCACCTGCCACTCCATAGTCATCGGTTCCCTGTGGGTCAATGTGTTCTTGTCGCTGTGTTCTTGTCCTGTCCCCCGCTGGGCCTGCCTAGGTGGAGCCGGTGCCGCCGGCCATGCTCTCCCGCCTGGGCAGCGAGGACGAGCTGCTGGAGGAGTCGCAGTGGATCGCTGCCATGATCAGCTGCTGGTTGGACGAGGAGTGGCCTGCAGCAGAGCTGGTCGAGGTGCACGCCAGCCTGGGCGCTGCGGCTGGGCAGGCATACTTCAGGCTGCGCCAGCCGGAGGGCGGCCAGGAGGGCATAAAAGAGGTAATCCAACCACAAGGGCGGCAGCAATGGCGCTGCTTGGTGTGCTAACCTTGTACACGTCCTTCCACAGATGGGCGACCTGGTGCTGGCGCTGGCGGGTGAGCTCATGACTTTTGACTTCTGGCCGACATTTACTGACGCTTTCTCCGTCAGCAATAAAGTAAGCGAGGCAGCGGTTGGCTGGAGGGGGGGGGTCATCAGGTGCAGATGAACTCAGTGGCCCCTCGCTTCCTGCCCGCCTGCCTGTGCAGGCTTGTGAGTTTTTGATGCTTCGTCAAGGCTGTGCCGTGTGCTGCACCAGCGAGAGCGACAAGACTGCCATTGCTCGCTACGAGGCACAGTTGCAGCAGCGGCCGCAGACACGTGATGCGGTGTAATGAGGCTGCGTCCATCACGAGGCTGCTTCCATTAACGAGGCTGCTTACATCGGATCTTGGGCTGCGTTTTGAACCGTTGAACAACATGCATGTAGACAGAGGTGGCATGTTGGTCGGCCGTGCAGTGCAAAGCAGTGCACGGTCGCTGATTTGCATGAAGAACAGAAGAAGGAGAGAGCAACGCATAGCAAGGAGTAATACAAGATCTAGGTTTAACAAGATGGGCTTGAGTGGGAGCAAGTTATTCGTAGAGGGTTGACTTTTTAAAAAATGATGAAAGCAGGAACACGAGGACCTTGAAGTCAATCCGGTCATGTATTGCGTGCCCAGGTTTGCTGTGCGCAGCTCGACGGTTGGAGCAGGGGCACGGGCAGTATCGTTAAAAACACGCTATATACTCACTGGCTCCGTGCTCGGGCGCACAGGGCTGTGGAGAGTCACTGGTGCGATGTGCCCGCCAAGATGCGGCAGAAGGTGCGGCGGGCCGACAGCTCAATGTGGTATGCCAGCCCACAGGGGATGGCTACCTTGAGCAGCAACGACCTGCAGGAACAGGCACACAGGCAGAGTAGGGTGACTGATGTCGATCTCCTCTGCTGGGGTTTGTGACATCGGCACAGCATCGAATCGACCCCACCTGCCGGAATCGCCCAAAAAGCAGCCGCTTGCTGCTGCTGCTGCTCCTGGGCCCACCAGCGAGCAGGTCTGCGCCGCTGCACCCAGCAGCTGCACGCATCCTGGCTGCACCAGCGCCTTGAGCAGCAGGCTGCCCACCACCATCAGGCACTGGCCCACAAACTGCACCTGCAAGAAAAGCAACACAGCA